CCCAACAAAGTCAGACACTATACTACCCAACACAGCATCAGACACTATACTACCCAACAAAGTCAGACACTATACTACCCAACACAGTCAGACACTATACTACCCAACACAGTCAGACACTATACTACCCAACACAGTCAGACACTCTACTACCCAACAGTCAGACACTACACTACCAACACAGAATCATACACTATACTACCCAACACAGAATCATACACTATACTACCCAACACAGTCAGACACTATACTACCCAACACAGCGACAGACATTACACTACCCAACACAGCATCAGACACTATACTACTCAACACACTGTCAGACATTATACTACCCAACACAGTCAGACACCATACTACCCAACACAGTCAGACACTATACTACCCAACACAGCGACAGACATTATACTACCCAACACAGCATCAGACACTATACTACCCAACACACTGTCAGACATTATACTACCCAACACAGTCAGACACCATACTACCCAACACAGCGTCAGACACTATACTACCCAACACAGCATCAGACACTATACTACCCAAAAGACTGTCAGACACTATACTAACAACACAGTCAGACACTATACTACCCAACACAGCATCAGACACTATACTACCCAACACAGTCAGACACCATACTACCCAACACAGCATCAGACACTTTACTAACCAACACACAGTCAGACATTATACTACCCAACACAGCATCAGACACTATACTACCCAACACACTGTCAGACATTATACTACCCAACACAGTCAGACACTATACTACCCAACACAGCGTCAGACACTATACTACCCAACACAGTCGGACACCATACTACCCAACACAGCGTCAGACACTATACTACCCAACACAGCGTCAGACACTATACTACCCAACACAGTCAGACACTATACTACCCAACACAGTATCAGACACTATACTAACCAACACACAGTCAGACATTATACTACCCAACACAGCATCAGTCACTATACTACCCAACACAGTCAGACACTATACTACCCAACAGTCATACACTATACTACCCAACACACTGTCACACATTATACTACCCAATACAGTGAGACATTATACTACCCAACACAGCATCAGACACTATACTACCCAACACACCATCAGGCATTATATTATCCAACACACTGTCAGGCATTATACTACCCAACACAGCATCAGACATTATACTACCCAACACAGTCAGACATTATACTACCCAACACAGTCAGACATTATACTACCCAACACAGCATCAGACATTATACTACCCAACACAGTCAGACACTATACTAACCAACACAGACACTCTACTACCCAAAACACAGTCAGACACTATACTACCCAACACAGCATCAGACATTATACTACCCAACAGTCACACATTACACTACCCAACACAGTCAGACATTATACTACCCAACACCCTGTCACACACTGTACTACCCAACATAGTCAGACATTATACTACCCAACACAGCACCAGACACTATACTACCCAACACACCATCAGGCATTATACTATCCAACACACTGTCAGGCATTATACTACCCAACACAGCACCAGACACTATACTATCCAACACACCATCAGGCATTATACTATCCAACACACTGTCAGGCATTATACTACCCAACACAGCACCAGACACTATACTACCCAACACACCATCAGGCATTATACTATCCAACACACTGTCAGGCATTATACTACCCAACACAGCATCAGACACTATACTACCCAACACACCGTCAGGCATTATACTACCGAACACAGTGTCAGACATTATACTACCCAACAGTCACACATTATACTACCCAACACAGTCAGACATTATACTACCCAACACCCTGTCACACACTGTACTACCCAACACACTCAGACATTATACTACCCAACACAGCACCAGACACTATACTACCCAACACAGTCCGACATTATACTACCAACACACTGTCACACATTATACTACCCAACACAGTCAGACACTATACTACCCAACACACTGTCACACATTATACTACCCAACACAGTCAGACATTATACTACCCAACACAGCGTCAGACACTATACTACCCAACACATCGCCAGGCATTATACTATCCTGGCCCACTGTCCCATATTAATACCCAACACACTGTTCCATATTAATACCAACACACTGTCCCATATTAATACCCAACACACTGTTCCATATTAATACCCAACACACTGCTCCATATTAATACCAACACACTGTCCCATATTAATACCCAACACACTGTTCCATATTAATACCAACACACTGTCCCATATTAATACCCAACACACTGCTCCATATTAATACCAACACACTGCTCCATATTAATACCAACACACTGCTCCATATTAATACCAACACACTGTCCCATATTAATACCCAACACACTGTTCCATATTAATACCCAACACACTGCTCCATATTAATACCAACACACTGTCCCATATTAATACCCAACACACTGTTCCATATTAATACCAACACACTGTTCCATATTAATACCCAACACACTGTTCCATATTAATACCAACACACTGTTCCATATTAATACCCAACACACTGCTCCATATTAATACCAACACACTGCTCCATATTAATACCAACACACTGCTCCATATTAATACCAACACACTGTCCCATATTAATACCCAACACACTGTTCCATATTAATACCCAACACTGTCCCATATTAATACCCAACACACTGTTCCATATTAATACCAACACACTGTTCCATATTAATACCAACACACTGCTCCATATTAATACCAACACACTGTTCCATATTAATACCAACACACTGCTCCATATTAATACCAACACACTGTTCCATATTAATACCCAACACACTGTTCCATATTAATACCCAACACTGTCCCATATTAATACCCAACACACTGTTCCATATTAATACCAACACACTGTCCCATATTAATACCCAACACACTGCTCCATATTAATACCCAACACACTGCTCCATATTAATACCAACACACTGTTCCATATTAATACCAACACACTGTCCCATATTAATACCCAACACACTGCTCCATATTAATACCCAACACACTGTCCCATATTAATACCAACACACTGCTCCATATTAATACCAACACACTGTTCCATATTAATACCAACAAACTGCTCCATATTAATACCCAACACACTGCTCCATATTAATACCCAACACACTGTTCCATATTAATACCAACACACTGTCCCATATTAATACCAACACACTGTCCCATATTAATACCCAACACAATGTCCCATATTAATACCCAACACACTGCTCCATATTAATACCAACACACTGTCCCATATTAATACCAACACACTGTCCCATATTAATACCCAACACACTGCTCCATATTAATACCCAACACACTGTCCCATATTAATCCCAACACACTGTCCCATATTAATCCCAACACACTGTCCCATATTAATCCCAACACACTGTCCCATATTAATACCCAACACACTGTCCCATATTAATACCAACACACTGCTCCATATTAATACCAACACACTGTCCCATATTAATACCCAACACACTGTCCCATATTAATACCAACACACTGTCCCATATTAATACCAACACACTGTCCCATATTAATACCCAACACACTGTTCCATATTAATACCAACACACTGTCCCATATTAATACCAACACACTGTCCCATATTAATACCCAACACACTGTTCCATATTAATACCAACACACTGTCCCATATTAATACCCAACACACTGTCCCATATTAATACCAACACACTGCTCCATATTAATACCCAACACACTGTTCCATATTAATACCAACACACTGTCCCATATTAATACCCAACACACTGTCCCATATTAATACCCAACACTGTCCCATATTAATACCCAACACACTGTTCCATATTAATACCAACACACTGTCCCATATTAATACCCAACACACTGCTCCATATTAATACCCAACACACTGCTCCATATTAATACCAACACACTGTCCCATATTATACTACCCAACACACTGTCCCATATTAATACCCAACACACTGCTCCATATTAATACCCAACACACTGCTCCATATTAATACCAACACACTGTCCCATATTATACTACCCAACACACTGTCCCATATTATACTACCCAACACACTGTCCCATATTAATACCCAACACACTGTCCCATATTAAGACCCAACACACTGTCCCATATTAATACCAACACACTGTCCCATATTAATACCCAACACACTGTCCCATATTAATACCCAACACACTGCTCCATATTAATACCCAACACACTGTTCCATATTAAAACCAACACACTGTCCCATATTAAGACCCAACACACTGTCCCATATTAATACCAACACACTGTCCCATATTAATACCCAACACTGTTCCATATTAATACCAACACTGTCCCATATCAATACCCAACACACTGTTCCATATTAATACCCAACACAGACTTATATTAATACCCAGCACACTGTCCCATATCAATACTCAGCACACTGTTCCATATTAATACCCAACACAGACTTATATTAATACCCAGCACACTGTCCCATATCAATACCCAACATACTGTCATATACTTCCTGAGTCTAGTCCACCTGCTGTGGTCAGCAGTGCTAGTCTGACCACACACCACACTGGCCACAGTAGGCACTACCACTGGGTTCGGACCGCACCCTGCCCATCACGGACCGATCCACGGCCTACTCAACACACACACATACAGACTGCACACATCGGCGCTATAAATAAACCCACCGGAGCACCGGGACCGACCACCGCAGCGCCAATTAGCACGTAAACACAGCCATACACGCTGGAGACGCCTGGTTCCCCAGCCGCCCAGCGCCCTGTTCCGGTCCACCTTAAACAGGGCAGCGGTTACAGTCCGGGACGGACAGCCGCCCGACTGTTACTGCTGCATATTTAAGGTGGAACGGACTATTCGAATAAGAAGTTCAGCTCCGCGATACACACCGCCACACACACACACACACATACACACACCACCACACATTAAGACACGCTCGTGCACACACCGTACACACACGCGTTCACCCTCACACCTCCACACAGTGTGAAACTCACGCGCTCTCTCTGTCTCACACACATACACACTCGGTCTCGGGCTGTCCGCGCGCTCGGCCGGAGCGGCTCTTACCGAAACCTTCCGCCTTCTCACGCGCCGCCATCTTCTGCTGCACGGTGACGTCAGCGCGCAGAGTCAGAGGGGGAGGGGTGTCTGCGCGCGCGCGCGCGTGCCTCTGCGTTTCCGCGAGACTATTAGCTTATTTTAGGTTTCTTTTCTTTTCTTTTCCACAGTAAAACATTACGGCCGTGTTTCGGCCCTGTTTCAGTGTCACTGACATCCAGAATAAACCGCTGCGGTGGGGTAATAATGAGGAGGAGGAGGAGGAGGAGGAGGAGGAGGAGGACGAGGAGTCAGTATCAGTATTTATACGAGTTTAATACTTACAATGTGTTTTAATAACGCTCTGTTAATAATGATGCTCATTAGGCGAGAGAGAGAGAGAGAGAGAGAGAGAGAGAGAGGAGAGAGAAAGAGAGAGAAAGAGAGAGAGCGGGAGAGAGAGACAGAAAGAGAGAGAGAGAGAGAGAGAGAGAGAGAGAGAGAAAGAAAGAGAGAGTGGGAGAGAGAGAGAGGCAGAGAAATAAAATAGAGAAAGTAGAGAAACAGAAAGAGAGAGAAGGGGACTGGATGTAAACTGTATAGTGGATGTAAACTGTATAGTGGATGTAAACTGTATACAGTTTACATAAATAAATATGAAGGAGAGGCTCTTCTCCAAACTGCTGACACAAAGCTGGAAGCAGATAACTGTGTAAAATGTCTTTGTGCTGCAGCATCAACATCACCCTTCACTGGAACTGAGAGCCCAAACCCTGAAAAACAGCCCAGCCCATCATCCCTCCTCCACCAAACTGTACTGTTGGCTCTGCATTCCGGTAGGTAACGTTCTCCTGACCTCCACCAAACCCAGACTCATCATCAGACTGACAGATAGAGAAGCTGATTCATCACTCCAGAGAACACGGTTCCACTGCTCCAGAGTCCAGTGGTGGCGCTTTACACCCCTCCAGCCGACACTTGGCATTGGGCATAGTGATCTTAGGCTTGTGTGGAGCTGCTCAGACATGGAGGCCCATTTCATGAAGCTCCTGATGCTCAGTTATTCTGCTGATGTTGGAGCTCTGCAGTGACTGATGCACCAGAGGATGAACCATTATTGAGCACTAATCAGTGACCCTGCTCTGTGAGTTTGGGTGGTCCGCTTCGTGGCTGAGCTGTATATATATACATATATATACATATATATATATATATATATATACATATATATATATATATATATATAATGACGTATATATAATATATCTTGATAATCATTTTTATTTACAATTTTTCTACTGTCCCAACTTTTTGGGGATTGGTTTTGTAGGTTTGTATATGGTTCTGTATGGTTCCTTTTTGGAAATGGTTCCATATAGCACCTAAAAGGGTTCTTCTACTCTTACAAGCTTAACATCATAACAATAGAACCTTTTTGGTGCTACACAAAACCATATACGACACAGCCGCCATCAGGCTCAAGAACCATTTCACCATGTAAAGAACTCTTTAAACATCCAAATGGTTCTTTGAGTGTTCATGGTTCTATATAGAAAGATCGTCTTTACTAAGGAACCCTTGAGGAACCATCTTTTTTTAAGATTGTAAGGTGCTACTTACTTACAAATAAGACTACCCTTATAAAGCGTTTATGAATGGTTTAAAACAGCTTGTGATTAACTGCGTCATAAACACTTTGAAAGTCATTAACCATGATGAATATGAACGCGTGATGAAGCGGACGAGTTTACTGCTGACTGATGAAGACAAAGTCAGTAAACATCAAAGTCTGAGGTTTAACAGTGTGAATGAATGAGGATTCACTATTAGACAAACAACCGGTCACTGCTGCCCTTTTTATTTGTGTTGTAAATGCTTATTAATGACCTTAAGGTCTTTATGACAATCAATAACCATTAATCAACTCATTTTAAACCATGTATGAGTTCAAGGGTAGCCTTATTTTGAGGTGGTACCAAACTTTGTTTACGTCAGGGCGACAGCACTGAGGCACCGGGTGGCCTCTCCACTGAACGGTGATTATACGTGTTCATTTATCTCGTATTTAACAGGGCAGCTCCTGACCGATATCACGTTTACAGTGATGCCCTGATGTGCTCCGTTTGTGTACGGGGGTCTTTAACGAGACGCCCCGCTGTAGACGCTGAGTAGCAGTTTCTGTGGTTGAGAAAGGAGGCAGATTTAATCTTCCAGGAGGAGCAAATCAACTCAAATCTACCCAAACAGCCGCTGGAGCTGCTGAACCCGAACACTTTCACATCCACTGCAGTGCATCAGTGCAGTGAGCAGTGATCTCTGTTCATTCCACTTAGTCATTAACATTCAGCTCCTGATTCTCCTTTTCTGGGTTAGTTTTGATTCCGTGGTGCTGGTTTAGCTCCCAAAAGGACCCGAAACACAGAAGAGCAGAGCTGCACAAACGTCCTACACGACTTCCTTATTTGGGTTTCCTTACAGTGTATTTCATTTTCTAATAAAATCAAACAAAAAATGATAAATATTAGTAATGATAAACCAATTTGTAGGCTGTGGTTATGAGACTTAGAGTTAAAAATGTCAAAAAAAATTAAAAAATAAAACTTAGCTAAAGAAAGGTTTTGGTGTATCGTACAGAGCTCCATTTGTTCTACGCTATAAATTATGTACGTATCTAAATTATTAATTTTTTAATCTGTGTCATGCTTATGGTTTCGTGAGTCACGTAAACATAGATTTTATTTTTACCCAATTTTATTCCCAAGTTAATCATATCCAGTTCCCACCTGCTAATTGGTGGGTATAAGTGTCCATTGCTCTTTAGCTACATGAGCCTTAAATGAGGCCAGAATGTGACGGCTGCCCCATTTAAGGTGGAACAGAAGCTGCGACTAAGAAGATAAATCTAGCATAAAAAACATTTTAGCATAAAAAAAGCGATCATCATGAAAACAGCGGCGCGGAGGAAGGAGAAGACCGAGGTAGATGTACAGAAAATATGGTTTATTTGTATTGATTTGTATAAAATCCTTGCATAGCATCAGTCGCAGGGTGGGGGGGGGGTGTTGGGTGGGTTTGTGGGTGGGGGGATTGGGGGGGGGTTATGGCTGCTTCATCACTGCCGTTCATACAAAACAGTTCAGACAGAGATCAGAGACACGCCCTCCAACCAAATGGGCCAGAACAACAGAGGAAGATCCGAGACAGTGACCAGCTCTGACAGCCGGAGTCTTATAACCACGTTTATAACCACGTTTATAACCACGTCTTGAAAATGAACCTCACTCAGAAACGCTAACAGTGAAACCGTCAGCCCAGTCAGCAGTGCACACACGGACTCATGCTAATGTTGTCTGCTGTATTTGGTTGAGCTCCTCTGTGGTGAGAAACCCCTACACCTCCCTTCCTGTCGCCCCCGGCTAATTAACAAAGGAAGGAAAATGCTGGTCACCCTGTAAACTGAGCAGCTCCAGTGCAGCGTCCAGTGTTGGACAGTAAACAGCGCGGATGTCTGGCTGCAGCTCAGAAGCGACGTCTCCTAAAACAAACCATAAACGCGAGACAGTCTGGTGAAAAACCGACGTACCAGGTTTTCCAACTTACCCCAATGTAGTCGATCACATAAGACGTGCTGGGTGTGCTGAGTCTTAGCGCTGCAGCTACGAGGCTAATGCAGCTAACATGCGATGGAAGCCTATGGGCGAAAGCTGCTAATGCTAATATTGCTATAACATTAGCCCGTCTCTGTAGAGAGCAGTGTGTCTGAGTCAGAACAGTGATGCCTTATGAATAATTCAAAACTAACCTGACTGATTAAATTGATTTCAAAGAGATTTTAGCAACAGTTTTGAATTTAAATAATGAATTATTAAAACTGAAATTAAAGGATAAAACCACAAATAATGGTTTATTTTTTCTTCTTCTAATTTTCACAGTCTGTACACTGTTGTATTTCACAGCTAATTATTAAAATATATATATATTTTGTAAAATATAGCATTTAGCAGTTTTGTCTCATTACCGCAACACTGAGGTTTTTCTTTATAACTTGCGTCACATTTTGTTTTTTTTCTTACAGTTTGTAATGAGAACTTTAAAGAAATGTAACAGTTAGAAAGTAATAAAAACAAATGTTTTATAAATAAAAACAAAAAAAAGATAAATAACAGTAATGACAAACAGATAAGTGGGCGGCAGTAATGAGATTTAGAATTAAAAAACGATCGTTTTGGTGTATCGTATAGAGCTCCAGGTGTTTTACTAAGTATACTGATTTTTTATCTGTGATGTTTATGGCTCTCAAATATTTATAGACATGTTATAAGACGGTTTCATGGGTCACATTTACATATTTATCTTATTTTTGCCCAATTTTATCCCTAATTTACTCATATCCAGCTCATATGAGCTGGTCTATCCCCCCACCGCGCTGGGAGAGTGAAGGCCATGAGGAGTGTGCGATGGTTTAGTTGTGCAGTTAGCATCATGCTAATTGGTGGGTATAAGCGTCCATTACTCTTTGGCTACATGAGCCTCGTAGCTCCAGCTAAACTATAACAGTAAACCTCAGACGCTGAACACTCGGCTGATCGACGGTGTCAGGAGGGAAACGGGTTTTCACCGAACTGTCGCTGTAGTTAGCGCAGAAATGAACTCAGGCTCAGAAACGCACTGAGACGTAAACAGCTCACACAACCGCAGGTGAGACGAGAACTGCTCCACTGTACAGAACCGAAGAACGTCCAGAACGGAACCTAAACACTAACGGAGTGAAACTACTGAAGAAAACGGTGGGAAGAGATGATTGGCTGATGGGGGGATGGAGGCGGAGCCTGCCGTTTTTCCCGAGAAACTCCACCGACTCATCCACTCACTTCCGACTCTACAGACCCTGCCGGATACTCTGGATGATCTGGAAGATAGCTGAGAGAGAGAGAGAGACAGATAAAGAAAGGAGAGAGAGATAGAGAGAGAGAGAGAGAGAGAGAGAGAGAGAGAGAGAGAGAAAAGTGAGACAGAGATAGAGGAAGAGAGAGAGAGAGAACACAAAAAGAGAGTAAGGGCAAGAGAGAGAGAGACAGATAGAGAAAGGAGAGAGCACACACAGAGAGAGAGAAAACAGAAAAGTGAGAGAGAGAGGAGAGAGAGACAGAGAGAGAGAGAGAGAGAGGGACAGGAGAGAGAGGAGAGAGGGAGAGAGAGAGAGAGAGAGAGGGACAGGAGAGAGGGAGAGAGAGGGAGAGAGAGGGACAGGAGAGAGGGAGGGAGAGAGAAAGAAAAGAGAGGGAGAGAGAGAGAGAGAGAGAGGGACAGGAGAGAGGAGAGAGGGAGGGAGAGAGAAAGAAAGGAGAGGGAGAGAGAGAGAGAGAGAGGGACAGGAGAGAGAGGAGAGAGGGACAGGAGAGAGGAGAGAGGGAGGGAGAGAGAAAGAAAGGAGAGAGGGAGAGAGAGAGAGAGAGAGAGAGGGACAGGAGAGAGAGGAGAGAGGGAGAGAGAGGGACAGGAGAGAGGGAGGGAGAGAGAAAGAAAGGAGAGAGGGAGAGAGAGAGAGAGAGAGAGAGGGAAAAGGGGAGAAGGAAAGAAAGGGGAGTGTTATTGTTGTATTTGCGTTGGTTCAGACGTAATTTGTGACAATCTCGTTTGCATATTATTCAAATGAGGCTCTGCATCATGGAATATTCAAATTAAGCTGGTGAAATTTCCCTGAACTGACAGTGTGAAGAGTTCAGAACAAGCAGAACTGAACCTGACGATAAACACCTGCCCAGCAGCTCCACCGACACACTGAGCACTCCACCGACACACTGAGCACTCCACCGACACACTGAGCACTCCATGAAAAACACTGAGCACTCCACCGACACACTGAGCACTCCACCGACACACTGAGCACTCCATGAAAAACACTGAGCACTCCACCGACACACTGAGCACTCCACCGACACACTGAGCACTCCACGGACACACTGAGCACTCCACGGACACACTGAGCACTCCACGAAAAACACTGAGCACTCCACCGACACACTGAGCACTCCACGAAAAACACTGAGCACTCCACCGACACACTGAGCACTCCATTTACACACTGAGCACTCCACTGACACACTGAGCACTCCACTCGCACACTGAGCACTCCACTGACACAATAAACACCCCACCGACACACTGAGCACTCCACTGACACACTGAGCACTCCAATGACACACTGACCACTCCACCAGCACACTGAGCCCTCCACTGACACACTAAACACCCCACTGACACACTGAGCACTCCACCGACACACTGAGCACACTGAGCACTCCATTTACACACTGAGCACTCCACCGACACACTGAACACTCCACTGACACACTGAGCACTCCACCGACATACTGAGCATCCCACTGACACACTGAGCACTCCACTGACACACTAAACACCCCACCGACACACTAAACACCCCACTGACATACTGAGCACTCCCACTGACACACTGAGCTTTCCACCGACACACTAAACATCCCACCGACACACTGAGCACACTGAACACTCCTCTGACACACTGAGCACTCCACTGACACACTGAACACCCCACCGACACACTGACCCCTCCACCGACACACTAAACACCCCACGGACACACTGAGCATCCCACTGATACACCGACCACTCCACCGACACACTAAACACCCCATGGACACACTGAGCACCCCACTGATACACTGACCACTCCACCGACACACTAAACACCCCACCGACACACTGAGCACCCCACTGACACACTGAGCACCCCACTGACACACTGATACACTGACCACTCCACCGACACACTAAGCACCCCACCGACACACTAAACACCCCACTGACACACTGAGCACTCCACTGACACTGACACACTGAGCACTCCACTGACACTGACACACTGAACACCCCACCGACACACTGAGCACCCCACTGATACACTGACCACTCCACTGACACCGACACACTGAACACCCCACTGATACACTGACCACTCCACTGACACACTAAACACCCCACGGACACCCTGAGCACCCCACTGATACACTGACCACTCCACCGACACACTAAACACTCCATGGACACACTGAGCACCCCACTGATACACTGACCACTCCACTGACACCGACACACTGAACACCCCACTGATACATTGACCACTCCACCGACACACTAAACACCCCACCGACACACTGAGCACCCCACTGATACACTGACCACTCCACCGACACACTTAACACCCCACCGACACACTGAGTACCCCACTGACACACTGAGCACTCCACTGACACCGACACACTGAACACCCCACTGATACACTGACCACTCCACTGACACACTAAACACCCCATGGACACACTGAGCACCCCACTGACACACTTAACACCCCACCGACACACTGAGTACCCCACTGACACACTGAGCACTCCACTGACACCGACACACTGAACACCCCACTGATACACTGACCACTCCACTGACACACTAAACACCCCACGGACACACTGAGCACCCCACTGATACACTGACCACTCCACCGACACACTAAACACTCCATGGACACACTGAGCACCCCACTGATACACTGACCACTCCACTGACACACTAAACACCCCACCGACACACTGAGTACCCCACTGACACACTGAGCACTCCACTGACACTCCACTGACACTGACACACTGAGCACTCCACTGACACACTGAACACCCCACCGACACACTAAACACCCCACTGACACACTGAGCACTCCACTGACACTGACACACTGAGCACTCCACCGACACACTGAACACCCCATCGACACACTGAACACCCCACCGACACACTAAACACCTCACTGACACACTGAGCACTCCACTGACACTCCACCGACACTGACACACTGAGCACTCCACCGACACACTAAACACCCCACTGACACACTGAGCACTCTACTGACACTCCACTGACACTGACACACTGAGCACTCCACCGACACACTGAACACCCCATCGACACACTGAACACCCCATCGACACACTGAACACCCCACCGACACACTAAACACCTCACTGACACACTGAGCACTCCACTGACACTCCACCGACACTGACACACTGAGCACTCCACCGACACACTGAACACCCCACCGACACACTGAGCACCCCACTGATACACTGACCACTCCACCGACACACTAAACACCCCACGGACACACTGAGCACCCCACTGATACACTGAGCACCCCACCGATACACTAAACACCCCACTGACAGAGCGTTCCACCGACACACTGAGCACTCCACTGACACACTAAGCACTCCACCGACACACTGAACACCCCACCGACACACTGAGCACCCCACTGACACACTGAGCATCCCCACTGACACACTGAGCACCCCACTGACACACTGAGCATCCCACTGACACACTGAGCACCCCACTGACACACTGAGCACTCCATTGACACACTGAGCACTCCATTGACACACTGAGCACCCCACTGACACACTGAGCATCCCACTGACACAGTGAGCACTCCTTTGACACACTGAGCATCCCACTGACACACTGAGCATCCCACTGACACACTGAGCACTCCACTGACACACAGAACACTCCACTGACACACTGAGCACTTCACTGACACACTGAGCACTCCTTTGACACACTGAGCACCCCACTGACACACTGAGCACTCCACTGACACACAGAACACTCCACTGACACACTGAGCACTCCACTGACACACTGAGCACTCCACCGACACACTGAGCACAGCTCTGTTTATACATTAATGTAGTGTAATATGTAAAATCTAGAGAAACTCTGAACTATGGGGGAAATTTTGGACAGCAGGTGGAGTTCCCCTTCAAGTTTTTAGCTACGCTGATGAACTTTAGTCCATGTTTATAGATGAAAAAGCAAACTTCAGACTCCAAACATGACTTGGATGATCGACTGTAGTCGAGGTAAAGGGGTGAACAGGTGATGATGATGATGATGATGATGATGATGATGTCACACTCACCTGAGCCACACACCACGAACACGAACAGAGCGAGCAGCCACGGCCCCACCGGAGACTTCTCCTCATTCACCACGCGCTGAGAACACACCAACACAGAGCAGCTCAGACATCACTGTTATTTTACTGTACAGTCAGTTTACAGTGCGTATACACAGTCGTGTGCAGAAGTTTGTGCACCCCTGGTCAGATTCCCTGTTGTTACTGATGTCCTGAGTGTATATCAGTGAACACACACCCTCTCAGAGACACACACTCTGCACATTTTAATACACAGCTACTGTTTATTCACTGAATTTAACACACTGGGGAAAATAAACTGTTCCATAACTTGCACACAGGCCATAGTTTATACTTTCGTTTTTATGAAATATACGAGTGTGATGTGGTGAGTAAACACAGTTACAGGTTTCAAGAGGTGCCATTCGCTCCTTCAGTCCGGTCCACATAAGGACACCAAGCTGCAAAAACAGCCAGGATGGAACTCGTTGTTTTTGTGATGTGACAACAACAAATGCATTTACGTATATCCACCCATTCAACTAATAGCAGCTAAGCCCCACCCACTCATACAGACAATAAAAGGAGCGTTTCAACTCTGACTGCTTTTTAACTGAGAAGCAATATGCGACAGCCAATCAGAATAGAACTCATTTACATATCACTGCTGTCGGACGAAAACCATGTCCAAAATGGTAACTTTACAGGAGAAGGAAAAACATACTCTACTTTTAATGTAAGTCAATGGAACCAGACTTTTTTCAAGTCATTTTGGGTCATTTCTTTTGGTCCATTCATCATGAAATTTACACACAATGTAAATGAAAACAGGCATTTTCAAATTACACCAAAAACTGAAAATCAACAAAAATGGAGATACGAGGTTTTCTTCCAGCAGGAGTGATTTATCAGTCTCAAAGGCACAGTAACAAAACAGCCGGTTTAACTCTAAGGGATAAAGAGAGTCATAGAAAAATTAATCATGACTGTTTTAGGAACATTAAACCACACAAGTGTTAAAGTAGAGAAAATAAAACATGAGAAATGTAGAATATGAGCTCTTTAATTGGACTAATGCAAAAGCTGAGGTTATTTCATTCAGGCAGGCGTGGATGTAAACACTGAGTTTATGGTTCTTTAACAGTATTAATCTGTTTAGCTGGAAACGCTGTTGCTATTCTTCTTTAAAAGGGAAACTCCACCAATTTCCCAAAATCCCTGCATAATAAGCGGTTAAGATGTAAACAGAGCGGTTCAGAGCGGTTCAGAGTGGTTTGGTGTGAAACGCTCTGTTCTAGATAAACTTACCGAGTCAGAACTGTTCACAGTGGTGGAGATAGGAACCAGACGTCCCCCTCTAAAAGCTCCCTCACAGAAAGTTACTACAGTAAATGGTTATGAATTCACTGCCTGATGACTGAGACACTGTTTTATGATAGTTTAGAGAGCTTAAACTCCATTCATGGTGGAGGGATACATGCAGGGCGCTGTGAGGCAAAATAGTCCCCAAAGAAAACTTATTATTTCAGATTTTCCACTATTTTCCATCATCAACATTCATATAAACTCAGAAGACTCGTGTAGGTTCACTGGTGGTTCTGGATAGTAAATAAAATGTCTATATCTGTGTTGTAGTCATGGCGACCCCTGGTTCCTATCACCACCACTGTAAAGACATCTGAACCATTTCACACCAAACCCACTCTGAATCTCTCTGATTACACCTCACACACTGAGTTATACAGTGGAATTTTGGAAAGCTGGTGGAGTTCCCCTTTAAAACAGCAGTACTGTGTTATTGAGTGAGCTGTATCTCCTCTCTGATCTATCAGTCTATAATCTATCAGTCTGATCAGTGTATAACCTATCAGCCTGATCGATCAGTGTATAATCTATCAGTGTATAACCGATCAGTCTATAATCTATCAGTCTGATCGATCAGTGTATAACCTATCAGTGTATAACCGATCAGTCTATAATCTATCAGTCTGATCGATCAGTGTATAACCTATCAGTGTATAACCGATCAGTCTATAATCTATCAGTCTGTAATCTCTTCGCCTATCAGTCTGATCGATCAGCCCGCAGTGAGGGTCTCTGAGTACCGCGGTCTTCTGGACGTGTCCGCGCTGCGTGATGCTCTTGCTGTGCTTCTCGTTCGCCACCTTCATCCTCTGCACCGCAGACATGACGAAGACGAGGAGGAGGAGGATCAGGACGATGACGTAGCTCAGTCAGCACGCGCGCGGAGGAAGGAGCGCTCTGGTCTAATCGATAGCTTAAATAAGCGGAGATCAGAAACTGAAACCGATCATCAATAACCGATCATCAACAGTGCAGCTCCACTCCCTCTGAAGGACACGTGACCAGCAGCTCCGTGACCTCGGCAGCAGCTGCGCCAGAGTCATATGACTCATTTCAAAATAAAAGTCACTGCTGAAATCGGCGCTGCAGGTTTTCAGATTTAAGCTAATTTAATATAAAAGTAACTGAATACATGTTTAAGAGGAAATGAAGATCAGTAGTGTGAAGGGTGAATTCTGTGTAAGTAGAATATATTTATAATCTTTGTATCAGTGCAGGACCTGAACGTCTAAAGTCTGTTTGTGACCCACCACCTCATATATGCGGTGCCAGTCGGCCAAAGACCTCCATTTGTCTTCAAAATGACAATTTCCTCTCAGTTTTTAAAAATAAATTGTTATTTTTCAGTTTTGTGTTTCAAGACGTGATCTTAGGAATCTTTCAGGGCGGACTTTTATTTTGGCACAACAAGTTCGCTACAGTGGCCGAGCCACATTTTAGACTTTTTCGCTTTTAACTGCTTAGTTACCTTTTTTTTCTCCTGTAATAATTTATTTACTTTCCTTTTTTAAACAGTTTATCTTCGTTTATGTCTTCATTGTTTATTCACAGGCAGCACTAATCAATCCCCGCTGTAAAACCATTACAGTGAAATGTTCCGCAGTCTGAATGATAGAACGTGTTCTCTGTTCTGAAGCCTGAGCTTTTCACAGAACCAGAGAAAAGACAGATTTTACATTAGAGTGAACACACCGCCGACATCAGAAGAATTAGCAGCTAGGCTAACTGTGCTGTGGTGACAGGGGATTTAAGGCAGGGCTAAACCAGAGAGGGTGAGGCTAATGAAGGTCTGTGCTGAAAAACCGTTGTGATTGGTGTACAGAGATGCAAGGCGGGACTAATTCTAATTGAATCTGGAATTTTTAATAAGTAATAATAATAATAATAATAATTATAATAATTGCTCATAAGGCAGTTCTGCAGGCTCGATGGTGTCACTCAATCATTTTAAACTTGTAGTCTCTAACCACCTGGAGACTAGTTTAGTTTTAGTTGACTTTTCCTTTCTTCTTATTATTAGTATTATAATCATTATCTTACAATTTTATTGCAATGGCCTTAATTGATGTTAATTCTTTTATTATTCTAGTCTAATAAATAATTAGATTTTTATGTTACTGTTTATTATCTAAGTTGGGTCTTTTACTTCTTTTTTAAGTACTATTATTACTTTTTTTAAAGTACTTATTTTAAAGTATTATTACATATTTTATTGATATTTTATGCCCGTTTCCTATTTGAGCTGTTATTGTTGATTTTTAATTAGATTTTTTTATAAGTCTTTTTGTCTTGCTGATTTTCATTTGTTTTAGTTGATAAATTGCATTTAAACTTTGTCAATCCCTTGTAATTTGCTCGGCTACACTGTAAATGAGGGTCACCCTCAATGTACTTCTAAGTCAAAATAGAGTCTGATAGATAATACTATTATACTGCACTATAGAACTCTTATAGTTTCTCACAGTATTACTATAATATGATTCCTTTACCTCACCATAAAATTATGTAATAATAAAGATAATCAGGTTCACCCATAAGACGGTTCTGTAAGGACAGTGTTGTTAATTGGCTGTAAACAAATCTGACATAATAAAACAATGTTATATTTGCATTTTATAGGGTTAGCAGGGTTAGCAGGTAGCATTAGCTAGTTAGCCTGCTATTTTGGACGTATGACTAATTAAAAATCTATTTACAGTACATTTCTATTGGATACACACTGAAAGTGTTTATGAGAGATTCTATTTATATCTGCATGTATGTATAATGTCAGTTTGGCTGCATGCATCTTTTGTTGTTGTTGTTGTTGTTCTTGTTTTATTACTGTAATGTTTACTGGTTGTTGTAGACTCTTTCAGTTGCTCCAGGCTCATCACACCAGTCCTCCGGAGCTGAAGTTGCTAATTAACTAATTGCTATTTGCTTTTGGACTGATTCATGTACTGTAAACACAGTTTGAATTGTATTTATGTAATAGCAGTATGTTTTAACCAGATCTCTGAATTACATGACTTACAAACTCTAACAGTACACAGAGTTACCAGCAGGGGGCAGGAGAGCGCTCTGAACTTTTTATAACATCACCTCCAAACTCTAACAGTACACAAAGTGACCAGCAGGGGGCAGGAGAGCGCTTTGAACATTTAACTACACCGCTTACAAATTCTGTGCAGAGAGGAACATAAAGCGGTTCAGGAGAGAAAGACAGTGAGTCTGTAGATCTGAGCTGTAGTTTCTGACTGATATGAATCTGCAGTAGATAAAGATCAGTTCAGTAGGTTTTACCGGCTTAACTAACAGAACATTTCCCTGTAAGTAAACAGGCTGATGATGCAGGTCTAAATATACGAGAGTGATTTGGAGCCAAGTAACTGTGTGTCCTGCTCTGTTTCTCTGTGTGTGTCTGTTTGCAGGGTTCCAGCTGTGACCTGTAGGAGACATGAGCTCCAAAATGAGCTCCTCTGGAGAAGAACACACAGAGAGAGACCAGAGGTGAGAATAGTGTGACACTGTGAGCACAGATGTAGTGCTGTCGGTTAAACGGCCCATTTCCAAACTTTTTTTCGATATATATATACAGAGGTTAATGTGTGTTGCATGCAGTGTGACCAGTGTGAGAGTGTTTTATCAAGCTTAGGTAAAAGTTTAAAAAGTGTACATTTTCACACATCAATTGAACCTTGAAACTAGGATAACCCAATGTGGCACAGCAGTACAGGACACAGTAAAAACATGTCTTTGTGGTGTTTGTGAGAAAAAATACATTAAAATGTCATTCTCGGGTAAGCAAAAAAGAAGAACACACTGTGCATTCTTTTTTCATCATTAAGCACATAACACGTCATTCTTATTCTTTAATAATGGCTTTATTATGCTTGTCATAATTTAACCTGTTAGTTGATGTTTCATATTTAAAACTTTACACTATACTAGACTATATGGCCAAAAGACACCCCTCCAAATTACTGAGTTTGGGTGTTTCAGCCACAACCATTGCTAACAGGTATATGAAATCAAGTTCATAGCCATGTATCTCCATAGACAAATACTGGCAGTAGAATGGGTTGCACTGAGCAGCAAGTGAAGTCACCTTTATTTCTATAGCACATTTAAAAGATAACAAGTGTCGGCCAAAGTGCTGCACAATAATATGAATTAAAATAAACATGGCTAAATAATCAAAGCTACGCAATACGTTGAACAAGAAAATAACATGCATACAAAAAACAGGAGAAATAAAAACAATAAAACAAAATAGAAGAGCTACACTGGCAAGACAGAACAAACCAAGACAGAACAGATACTGAGTGCACAGTCATTAAAAAGACTCCAATGCCTGAGAAAATTATTATTATTTTTTTATTTGACTTGAAAACCTCTATAGTGGGGAATTCCTTTATGAAAAGTGGAAAACTGTTCCAGAGTCTTGGGGCAGCTACAGAAAAGGCCCATTTGCCTCTGAACCTCATCTGAGAGTGTGGAATGGCTAAGAGCAACCAGTTGAAAGATTATAGGCCTCATCAGGTGGAATAGAAGCAGAGGAGCGTAGAGATATTGCTTGGAGCCAAGCCATGCGAAGCTTTAAAAACTTTAAATTCAATGGTTACCAGTATTTTACTGGTAACCATTGTAATGTGCATTGCAATGTTCTTGGTACCAGTCAGGAGCCTCATGGCTGCGTTTTGGATGAGCTGCAGACGTGACAAGCTTGATTTACAGATTCCCAAGTACAGCAAGTTGCAATAATCGATACGAGAGGAAATAGAAGCATGAACAACTGAGTATTAACACCAAGAGTGTTTACATGGCTGTGTACATAAAATGATAATGCCCCCAGACCATTAGCTATAACTCTGGCCAAATATGGATTTGTGAAAATAATAATGTCTGGTTTGACTTGGTTTAGATTGAAAAAGTTCTTACATATCCAACAGTTTATATCACTCAGAGAGTCAAAAATGAGGTGCAGAAAGCCATTTTCACCTGATTTGAGCGGGAGGTAGAGCTGTGTGTCATCTGCGTAACAGTGATAAGGGATTTTGGATTTTGATAAATGGAGCATGTATAAAGAAAACAAAATAGGACCCAAGATAGAGCCCTGAGGTACCCCACAAGTAACAGGCGCTGAGGAGAAGGAAAAGTGACTCATCTTGACAGAAAAGGTTCTGTTTTCCAGAAAAAACAGAGGGAAACCACTTCAGCGCAGTACCCTGGATGACAACACTATACTTCAGGTGATTCACCAAAATGGTGTAATCAACTGTCAAAGGCTGCGCTAAGGTCTAAGAGAATTAAAATAGTATACTTTCCAGAATCGACGGCTAAAAGTCAGTCGTTAGATATCTTGAGAAGAGAAGACTCGGTATTATGATGTGGTCCAAAACCTAATTGAAAAGTATCTTGGATATTATGCATGCTTAAAAAGAAAAAAATTGAAAGAAAACAACCTCTCCAAAACTTTGACAACAACAGTAACTTAATGATTGGTCTCAGTTTGTTGAGGACTGAGGGATCTAAGGCAGGCTTTTTAAAAAGAGGCTGAATGACCGCATGTTTAAAACAAGAAGGAACTATGCTATTGATGAGACTGTTATTTGAACATCTTTAATAAACGGTGCAGGAAGCACATCCAGGGAGTGAGTGGTAGGACTCATGTGCATAATTATATCGGTTCCATAGTTCCATACTGCCTCTGGAAGCAACATCAGCACAAGAACTGAGCATCAGGAGCTTCATGAAATGTGTTTCAGTGGCTGAGCAGCTGCACACAAGCCAAGATCACTATGCGCAATGCCAAGCGTCGGCTGGAGTGGTGTAAAGCGCCACCACTGGACTCTGGATCAGTGGAAACGTGTTCTGTGGAGTGATGAATCAGCTTCTCTATCTGTCAGTCTGATGATGAATCTGGGTTTGGTGGAGGTCAGGAGAACGTTACCTACCGGAATGCAGAGCCAACAGTACAGTTTGGTGGAGGAGGGATGATGGGCTGGGCTGTTTTTCAGGGTTTGAGCCCCTCAGTTCCAGTGAAGGGTGATGTTGATGCTGCAGCACAAAGACATTTTACACAGTTATCTGCTTCCAGCTTTGTGTCAGCAGTTTTGGGGAAGAGCCTTTCCTGTTCCAGCATGACTGAGCCCCTGTGCACAAAGCAGCTCCATAAAAACATGGAGTGACCAGTTTGGTATGGAGGAACTCCAGTGACCCTCACAGAGCCCTGACTGGGATGAACTAGAACATTTTGGAACTGGAACTGGAAATTTTGTGGAAACCTTCCCAGAAGAGTGGAGGCTGTTATAGCCATAATGGTTGGCTGACTTCATGTTAACACAGATGTCCAACACAACAACAACAACAAAATAAACAAACAAAAACCACAAGAATCTCCAAAAATTGTCAATTTACATGAAAATTTTCTTTTCTAACCGTGATTGAACCTCATAAGACACTGTAGTTAGACAGCAGTGATGTCACCGCTTGTTCCCGCCCACTGCACGAGACCGGCATTTACTGACTTCAGCTATCAGAATTGCCTCAGCATTTTACCAACACTGATCCTGCTCTGGTGGTTTTAATAGCGATCTTACTTGTATTTCCTCTGCATTAAACAGCAGAATAGACAGGAGTTGTGGTCAAACGCAGAAATGTAAGAATTCAAGCACTACTTTCTGCTCTTGAACAGTTAAAATTTACAAAGGTAAACTTTCCTTTCAGCACTCTGAGAGTAAAAAACACCAGTAAACCCTTTTATCCACATCATACACAATTCATTATTCACCCAACTGCCAGTTAGACAAATAATGATTTTTTTAATTGAAATTTATTTGCTTTGAATATTTAAATAGGACCCCTGTATTAGCACTGCTGTGTCTGATCCACTCGCACCAGCGCAACACACACTAACACACCACCACCACGTCAGTGTTACTGCAGTGCTGAGAATGATCCACCACCCAAATAGTACCTGCTCTGTGGGGGTCCTGACCACTGAAGAACAGGGTAACAAAGTATGCAGAGAAACTGGAAGCTCTACCTGTCTGTGCAGCTGCAGGCTGTATGTGACCATCAGGCAAAATTTTTGGCTGTTTTTATAGGCTTTCCTGGATCAGTGCATGATGCAAGGGTCCGCCATGGCATTCTCCGCAGGCAGCATTGCGAGCTACTGGGTACATGATAGTTGTCAGTCCCACTCCAGGATGGTGGACACTTCAGCTTCTAAAACAAATGAAGACCAGTCATCTTAACCTCAGTTTTCTTTTTTTTGCCCAGCTGAATTATACTCAAGATTTTTTTTGGATATTTGAATTGTATATTTGAATTTTTGTGCCACCTTTTCCTGTAGCTCCAATTACAAAAGATAGTCCTATCAACGAGCAAACAAAATAGGATTTCGTTAAAGAAAAGGTAAAGAGATTAAAAATGATCCAGCTAAAACTTTAACCAGATGAGGCAGGTGCTTAATCACACAAGCAAAATACTTAATTTTACTTACTTTTAAGTTATGATTCAATAATAGTACATTTTATACTGTAACTGAGTAGCATGACTAAATCGGCGTCCAATCGTATCTGCAAAGTGCAGGTTTTCATGATTAAATGCTGTCTATATAGAGAGATCACTTGGTTTTGACAAGGAGATACCTCCATGTTTCTACACTCATTGTCCACTCTATCAGCTCCACTGACTGTGTAGTTTCACTCTGTAGTTCTACAGTTACTGATGACTGTAGTCCATCTGTTTCTCTGCATACTCTGTTACCCTGTTCTTCAGTGGTCAGGACCCCCACAGGACCCCCCACAGTGCATGTATTATTTGGGTGGTGGATCATTTTCTGACCCTCCCCCCACCACGAGCCCCAAAAACCGTGACATGCCTCACAACGCCTGACCGCTTCAGTGTAATACCACAGCTGCTACGTTCTATTTCCACTCTTTTTTATTTTAGTTATTTCACTTCCTATAATTCTATTGTTAATTCTTTAATAGTTTTATTTTTGTTTTACTTTTTTTATAATTTCAAGTTGTATAGTCTTTCCTTTAATATCTTGCATTTTATATTTTATGTTAGCCTATATCTTTGTCCCATTCCTAGTTTAATCTTTTTTTGTTTATGCACCGTATCGGATTGCTGCCCAATTTGGTTGTACCCTGTGCAATGACAATAACGAACCTTGAATCTTGAATCTAGACTGAATGAACTTACTGACTCCTTCTGCACTTTGTCTCTGCATTTTCTTGCTCTGATATCCAAACAAATCATGTACTTTCATTTCTTTGTTTGTTGCAACTTTCTGTTTTTTATCACTCCAGAAACACTGATTCTAACGGTATCTTTTCTCCACCGGTGTGTTTTAGTGTGATTCAGAGAGAGAGATCAGCCTCACCTGAGCCCAGCTGTGTGTCCATGAAGAGTGACAAGTCAATGGAACATCCATTACGCTTCAGAGAGGGAAAGAGTTCTCCTGCTGTGAGGTAAGGATAGTGTGATGGTTTACGATAGTTTTCCACACTCCCAGTCCAACCTGATCAAACTCACTCAAACATTGTTGCCAATCATTGTTTAATCATTGGGAGGGAAAAAAAATATTTTGAATTTATAAGTAATAATCAGTCCTTCATTATACACTTTTGTTATTATGTTGTGTTTGTTATGCACCTTTGGGGTGACCTAGAACGGAGATTGTGAGCCAGACCCTCTCATCCAACATCAGTGTCTGACCTCACAAATACTCTTTTGACTGAATGGACACAAATTCCCACAGACTCTCTCCAACATCTTGTAGAAGGCTTCCCAGAAGAGTGGAAGCTGTTAGAGCTGCAAAGGCAAAAACAAAATCACCTTTAAACTTTTAACAATTGCAGAACTAATGTATGTTTTTTAAAAGACTTGTATTTGTGAAATTGTCAGGCTTGGTGCAATACATAAAATTCAGAAATGTTCTGTGCCACAAGATAAATATTGTAAAGCCTACAACTGTATGTATATTCAAAGCCGTAATTTGTATTTCATGCTGAAGCTCCTTCTGGTGGCCAGAAAATTTATTGCCATTTCTGATTCTGTGATTAAGTCAAATTTCTATATACGCTGTGCAGTTTTGGAGCATACATATAATTGCAAAGGTTTAGATGTTAATGAGATGTGTAGTTTGGAACCATTATTTTTCTTTATTTCAATCATAGAAAGAAATACTAACATTTGAGTAAGTATGCATTACATTGAGTATTGTAGGGGCCCATGGAGACCAATATAATCAACACTTTGCATTCTTCCTCAGGTGATTGTTTTGTACAGTTTTTCCAAACTATAATCAGAGAACAACCAATGGATTTGTGACCAATTATGTCAGAAAAAGCAAAGCCAAACAGAGTAATTGATGTCTCATGGCTGTTCTTTGCAATAATATCAAGTCTTTCTTTGATAATCACTTACCAACAGACTACACAGATTGTTTCAAGACCAAATTGGAGGAAATTTTATTAAAATCCACAGACCACTTTAAAAACCTAATTTGTCAAGCTTTGAACATTTGCAGAAAAAAAGAATTTTAAAAGACTTGTATTTGACAAAATGTCAGTTTCTGTGCTATGCATGATGTGGAATAATTTATTTTTGAGAAAGAGAAAGAGATCAGACTCACCTGAGCCCAGCTGTGTGTCCATGAAGAGTGACAAGTCAATGGAACATCCAGTACGCTTCAGAGAGGGAGACAGTTGTCCTGCTGTGAGGTAAGGAGAATGTGATGGTTAAAGACAGTGTCCCTCAAAAATTTTGAATTTCTTAATAATTTGTTAACAGTATTTTTAAATTTGTTAGAATGCACTTTTGTTATTATATTATGTTTATTCAAAGTTATACAATGATGCTCACCCCTCCTCACCTCACCCCACTGTGTATGAAAAAGACATTTAGTGAACTCGAGCATCAGTTCAGGTTCATCTTTTGCAGGTACTCTGATTTCACCGGTCTGTGCGCTGTTCACTTGTAATCTAATGAACAGCACAGTTTAGCTTAGTTCAGCTCCCTCATTATACTCAGCTACAGCAACCAGAAAAACACTGTAGCAGAGTGAACTAAAATTCCAGCAGTAATTCAAAGTGTATTCCGGTCAAGTTGTGTCACACTAAAATATTTTGGAAACGACAAACATGATAAACCATATTACAGGTTTTCACCCATTTTCCGCCCCGTCATAGTTGCTGCCAACCAGAGAACCATCGGGTGAGTGATGTCAAAGCTTCCACCAAACTCGGAAAGTACGAAGCGAATTACAAACTCTATTGCAACTTTTATTGAAGGATTTGCATCCATACTCATTTGTGAACCAGGGCTTTCACTCTATGTTGTACCCTGTGGAGCCGAGTCCTGTCTCAAAGGTATTTTACTGACACAGCGACCTCCACTCTCTGCAACGAGACCAGAACCGAAGTTATAGAATCACTGAAGAAAACGGGTAGGATAACTGTAACATGATGCATGGCCACCTATTGCCACAGAACCATATGTCACTATAACGACACATTTTATCACAGATGAGTAACGGCTAGCGTCTCATGTGCTCCAAACAATGAGCAGTGAATGAGAGCCTTCCAGTTCACTTGCCACATCACTTCCATTTGATTTATTAATAAAAGATATTGGAAGTAAATTCATTATGGGTCATTACAAATACTTTGCTGTAAAAGTACCAAGTTGTCACACAGTGAGCAAAAAGAAATCCTGTATAGAAAAATAGTTGCATCAAGATACATCAATAATAATTTTATAATCACATCAAAGCCCCCTGAATCGTAATCGAATCATGAGGTGCCTAGAGATTCCCACCCCTATTCTCCACCAGTGGGTTCTTGGCTTGCCACCCTGTCAAGCACCAACAAGATTTTGGCCACAGCTATGCTTGGCGACTTCCACAATGGAGGTTTTGAACAGGGTCTCTTTGGAATCCATGTGCCCTACCTCCTCTGGTGCATGAGCAAAGTTTTAATGGAGGTGGGAATTAAAATAATTCTGGACAGGGTCCTCTGCCAGTCGTTCCCAGCACACCCTCACTGCTTGCTCGCATCTACCAGGTCTGACTGCAGGTCTTCCTTGCCATCTAATCCAGCATATGGTGATCTGTTGACTCAGCACTTCTCTTCACCAGAGTGTCCAGGACATATTATCCCAAGTCAGATGAAACAGCAAAGTTGATCATTGAGCTTTAACCCAAGGAGTTTTGGCACCAAGTACACTTACGAACATCCTTGCGCTCAAACGTAGTGTTCATTATGGACAATCCATGACAAGCATAGAAGTCCAATAACAATTCACCATTCGGGTTTAGATTGGGCAGGTTGTTCTTCCCAATCTCCCCCCCTCCTGGTTTCCTAGTCATTGCCAAAATGAGCATTGCAGTTTCCCTAGCTCCAGGTCCTGGTAACCCTCTCCCAGTCAGTGTACATGATATATTGTGTCCGATGTTCAAAGGTGATTTTATGATTTGGGATTGTGTTAGTGTGGGTCTTCACTCCAGACCTTTTCAAGTTGGGAGTCTCTACCCAGAAAATAGTACAAGGACAACAATTTTATTGTTTTTTTAAAAAATATACGCCCATTTTGAATTTGATGGCAGCAACACGCTCAAAAAAAGTTGGGACGGGGGCAACAAAAGACTGGTAAAGTTGCGTAATGCGACACAAAACACCTGGTGGTTAATTGGCAGCAGGTCAGTAACATGATTGAGTATAAAAGAACATCCCAGAGAGTGTTTCAGAAGTAAAGATGAGGAGGGGTTCACCACTCTGTGAAACACTGCACAGGCAAATATTGCAACAAGTCAAGAAGAACGTTTCTCAACATAAAATAGCAAGGAACTTTTGCTTTTCATCTACTGTACATAATACCATTAAAAGATAAAAAAAACAGTATTTGCTGGCCATGATATACAAAACCTGTATATTAGGGCATTCCCACATCATGTGCATCAACATGCCTAGCTCAGCTCCACAGCGCCAACAATAGAGTTCAATACGCTCTGTTTATGATTTTAAACTGAATGAGTTGTGTCTTCAGCTCTCTGGACATTGTCTTTGGGAGCCTCAGAATCCTATCCCACTCTGTTTGTGTAAAAGAGGCATTAAGATCTGTTTCCCAGGTTGTCTTAAGAGAGGATTCTTTACTGTTAAGGACTGGGTTAAGAATGGTGTAATACTTAGTGGCCTCATGGCCTTTACCAAAGTGTTCCGGGATCTGGTCAGAAATAACTGCCTTAGTGGGACATACTGTCAAGGAGCCAAAGGTTTGCGTCAATAAATTTCTTATCTGACAATATCTCCAGAATTGGTTTGGAGGCACATTAAACTGTTGTTTAAGACAGTCAATTGACTTAAGTGAGTCACTGCAGTATAAATCACCTATTGTTTTAATGCCTTTTTGAAACCATTCTTTCCGAAAGGAAGGGGATTTACCTATAAGTAGTCTGGTGTTATACCATATTCCAGTAGAGGAGGTTAGGTATGGGTTAAACTGAAGCAGTGACAAGGATTTCTTCCATATCCATTGTAGATGCGTCAAAATAGGGTGGCTTTTTTGCTCAGCCCTGAGCTTAGCAATAGTTGTAATGTATAGGGGGAAGGGGGTTGCAAATGGAAGTTTCTAATATAAACCACGCCTCTGGAGGGAGGGTCCAGTGTGCTAAATGTTGGAGGCAGAAGGCATAATGATAAAATCGCAAATTAGGAATTCTTGGCCATTTGCCATTCCAAAGAAATATGTGTTTTTCAAATTAGTCAAAATACTTAACAGGAATCCTTACTGGCAAAGTCTGAAGCAGATAATTGAATTTTGGGATTATGTTAATCTTGATAGTATTTATTCTACCCCATAGAGAAAGGTTGTGCGGGGTCTAGCATTCAATAATAGATTTAAATCTATCTAGCTGAGGTTCAGTGTTGGTTTTGACTAGTTCTGATAAAAGGTGTGGGAAAGTAATACCAAGATATTTTATGCCCTTTCTGGGCCAAGTGAAATTCCCAAAGTTGAAAAGAGACTGTGGGCAGTAGGCAATTAAAGGCAGAGCCTCTTATTTTTCCCAGTCAACCTTATAGCCTGAAATATTAGAGAATCTCCTAATTAAATTGATGAGTGATGGCAAAGACGTCTGGGGATTAGACACAAACTAAATAATGTCATGAGCATAAATTTTGTGCCTGAATGTCAAAGATTGTATCATCTTGCCATATGGCCATGGCCAGTGGTTCTAAGGCTAAGATGAAAAGAAGAGGAGACAGGGGACACCCCTGTCTCATACCTCTTTCCAAAACAAAAGGGGGAGATACACTATATTTCCAAAAGTATTCAGTCACCCATCCAAATCATTGAATTCAGGTGTTCCAATCACTTCCATGGCCACAGGTGTATAAAGCTAAGCACCTAGGCATGCAGACTGCTTCTACAAACATTTGTGAAAGAATGGCTCGCTCTCAGGAGCTCAGTGAATTCCAGCATGCTACCGTGATAGGATGCCACGTGTGCAAAAAGTCCAGTTGTGAAATTTCCTCACTAATAAATATTCCACAGTCAACTGTCAGTGGTATTATAACAAAGTGGAAGTGATTGGGAATGACAGCAACTCGGCCACGTAAAATGACAGAGCGGGGTCAGCGGATGCTGAGGCGCATAGTGTGCAGAGGTTGCCAACTTTCTGCAGAGTCAATCGCTACAGACCTCCAAACTTCATGTGGCCTTCAGATCAGCTCAAGAACAGCATAGGGAGCTTCATGGAATGGGTTTCCATTGCCGAGCAGCTGCATCCAAGCCTTACATCTCCAAGCTCAATGCAAAGCGTGGAATGCACTGGTGTAAAGCGCCACCACTGGACTCTAGAGCAGTGGAGACGTGTTCTCTGGAGTGACGAAACACGCTTCTCCATCTGGCAATCCGATGGACGAGTCTGGGTTTGGCGGTTGCCAGGAGAACGGTACTTGTCTGACTGCATTGTGCCGAGTGTAAAGTTTGGTGGAGGGGGGATTATAGTGTGGGGTTGTTTTTCAGAGGTTGGGCTTGGCTCCTTAGTTCCAGTGAAAGGAACTCTTAATGCTTCAGCAGACCAAGAGATTTCGGAGAATTTCATGCTCCCAACTTTGTGGGAACAGTTTGGGGATGGCCACTTCCTGTTCCAACATGCCTGCGCACCAGTGCACAAAGCAAGGTTCATAAAGACATGGATGAGCGAGTTTGGTGTGGAAGAACTTGACTGGCCTGCACAGAGTCCTGACCTCAACCCGATAGAACACCTTTGGGATGAATTAGAGCGGAGACTGCGAGCCAGGCCTTCTCGTCCAACATCAGTGTCTGACCTCACAAATGCGCTTCTGGAAGAAGGTCAAAAATTCCCATCAACACTCCTAAACCTTGTGGAAAGCCTTCCCAGAAGAGTTGAAGCTGTTATAACTGCAAAGGGGGGGCAGACATCATATTAAACCCTATGGATTTAGAATGAGATGGCACTGAAGTTCATATGCGTGTGAAGGCAGACGAGCGAATACTTTTGGAAATATAGTGTATAATGCCATTACCCTGGCCCTAGGTGAAGTATATATAAGCTTGATCCATCAAATAAAATTATTCCGAAAGCCAAAGGCTTCCATGGTTAAAAACAAATACTTTCACTCCACCCTGTCAAAAGCTTTTTCTGCATCAAGAGATATAGTGGTGACAGGAAAAGAGATTGGCGACGCCTCCCACACAATATTAATGAGACGTCTAACGTTGTCCATTATAGCGCGGGCCTTTATAAACCCAACCTGGTCTGGGTGGATCAATGATGGGATAACCTTGTCTAGTCTATTAGCTAGTATTTTAGAGATGATTTTGCTGTCACAGGGGATTAAGCTAATTGGTCTGTAGTTTTTGCACTCCAAAGGATCTTTATCCCTTTTCAGAATAAGAGAAATTAAGGCTTCTGATAGGGATGGAGGGAGGCTGCCTCTGGTCAGTGATTCATTGTACATGTCTAAAGCATCGGTGCTAGCTCCTCTACATAAGTTTTATAAAATTCAGATGTGATACCATCTAACCCTGGAGCTTTAGCATTAGGTAACTATTTGGTAACTGAAATTATAACTGTGGGGAGTCAAGCATACTTGTTTCATCCTCAGTTACTCTAGGCAGGTTACAAGCTGTCACGCTTCCGGGTTCTCCCTTGCCTAACACGCTCCAGGACTCCATTTCCCAGAATCCCGATACTTATCACGTCACCCCTTCCACCAATCACAGGCCTCTGCCTCGTTCTCAGTCACCTGACTAATAATTAAACACACCTGTACCCGTTTGCCTTAGACTATAAAAGGATTCTTGTTTGTTCTCCTCTTTGTGAGGTATTGCCACTGGTTTCATGGCCTGTGTACTGAACCCATTGCCTGTTTTTTGATTGTTACTCTTTTGGATTTACCCTTTTGCTCTGGTTGCTTGTGTTTTTGTATCTTCTGGTTTTTGACTTTTTGCGTGTTTTTGGGTACTGTTTTTGGATTTGCCCCGACTCTGTTCTCTCATTAAACCAACTTTCATTTTTAAGATCCGCGAGCATCTTTTTGTGCCTGTTCAGTGTTACACAAGCAGAAAGAAATGAAGTGATGTTTTGAGTATCTGGGTGTGTGCTTCTGCTGTATAAGTTTAATATAATACATTCTGAAGACCTCATTTATTTCTTGAGGGTTATAAAAGAGAGTATCTGTATCCCCCCTAATAACAGAGATATTACTTAAAGTCTCTTTCTGCTTTATACATCTAGCTAAGAACCTCCCCACCTTATTGCCCTCCTCAAGAAAATTCTGTCTGGGAGACAGGGAGAACTCTGCCTGTTTTGTTAAGATAGAATTTAAGTCATACTTGGGTCAATTTGACTAAATTCTTAGCAGTTGGACTGATCTTGAATTTATTTTCTGCAAATCCAATCTTGCCCTCTAAGTCCATTTGCTTAACTCTGTTAAGTTTGTTTTTATAGGAAGCATGTTGAATAATAAAGCCTCTTCTGTATGCTTTGAATTCTTCCCAAACCACAGATAGAGAGGGAACTGAAGTGATATTGGTTTCTTTAAAAAATTAATCTGGCTTTGCAGTGAAGTTGTAAAGTGCTGATCGTCCAGCAGACTAGAGTTTAGTCTCCACCTTGGAGTTTTACGTAATTTCCTGAATGTAATTAAAGATAGAGATACCAGGGCATGATCAGAGATAATTATACTTCCTATACTACAGACAGATACTGAGTTAATCACATTATTTGAAATAAGGAAAAAATCTATCCTAGAGAAAGTATTATGGGGGGGGGATAAAATGTGTAGTCCCTCCCATCTGGATTAAGCAGACACCAAATATTAACCAAGCCAACTTCCTTACACCAATCATGCAACCATCTGTCACCTTTGTAAGGACATAATGATGAAGCGCTATTATCAAGAAAAGGATCCATAATGTTATGGAAATCACCCCTAAAATTACTGGGAAATGCCCCATACTTTCACATTACTGTTTAATGAAGCAAAAGTCCAAAGGCCTGCCATAACTCATAGACATTTTTTAAGGGAGGAAACTAAAAGTTCCTAAGCACTTCAATGATGTTACCTTGTGTGAAATACCGTTAAATCACAAGCTTGCAAGTTTCACTCAGTCCCTGGCGGGGTGGGAATACCGCTGTGAATGAAAGCCAGTGCTGCCTTCGGATCTTCGAACTCGCATCAGCACTCTGGAGAATGGATGACTAGCACTGGTGGATTGACGAGGGCGAAACGAATCCACTGTTCGGAGAGCAGCCTTTTGCGTTCGTTAAACCGAAGTCTCTTTTCTGTGAGGTGTTTGGAAAAGTCCAGGAAAACCATTATTCTCTTTCCTTTCCAGAGTACATGACCCTGGTTACGTGCCACCTCTGCAATGTGAACCCTGTCCTGGTATTTGAAGAACCTAGCTATGAGAGCTCTGGGTGGTTGGTCTGATTTTGCATGCGGAGCACCAAGTCTGAGTGCCCGCTCTATCTCAAGCGGTTAGCTCTATCCAAGGCGGTTAGCAAGTCACAGTAATGTGGAGATTTATAACTGGAACTGAGTGTAATGTAGAGAATATAACAGTAATGTGGAGATTTATAACTGGAACTGAGTGTAATGTAGAGAATATAACAGTAATGTGGAGATTTATACCTGGAACTGAGTGTAATGTAGGGAATATAACGGTAATGTGGAGATTTATACCTGGAACTGAGTGTAATGTAGAAACAATATAACGGTAATGTGGAGATTTATACCTGGAACTGAGTGTAATGTAGGGAATATAACGGTAATGTGGAGATTTATACCTGGAACTGAGTGTAATGTAGAAACAATATAACGGTAATGTGGAGATTTATACCTGGAACTGAGTGTAATGTAGAGAATATAACAGTAATGTGGAGATTTATACCTGGAACTGAGTGTAATGTAGAGAGAATATAACAGTAATGTGGAGATTTATACCTGGAACTGAGATAATCGTTTTTTGAATAACTGTCAAAAATTCAAATAAAAAATTGATCTCTCTGTATTGTTTTTTTCTGTGTATTCCCCAATTAACAGTATCCAAAAGGACAAAATGACTAACATAAATGATCTGGAGTCTATATTTAAGGTATGTACAAATACATTTCACATTTTCACTCTGATTCATATCTCAGTTTTATGTTCTTTTGTCTGTGTAGGATGATCATGATAAATTTAAGTTTAATCCACTATTATCAGGGTTTTAGTTAATGAGACTGATTTTTAGTTGAGTCTGTGATAATGGACAGTAGTTGTCCATCTTATAATAAAATCATAAAAAATCTCTCTCTCTGTAGGAACCTTTTGTACATGCTACAATTACTATTTTGATCCTTTTTTCTATTTTTAAATCTATCTGTCAAATAAAGGTGTTTTATCTATTTTATCTGTTTATTCCTAATCAGGATCTGGAGAACAAAGTGATCTCTCTGGTGAAGAAAGAGCTGAAGAGGTTCAAGAAACTGCTGAGTGCAGTTTACCCAGCATGCTCTGAGAGAGAGGTGGAGGATGAGGAGGATCAGAGCAGTTCCAGAGAGGGGGTGCTGAAGATCACACTGAACATGCTGAGGAACATGGAGCAGACAGACCTCGCTAACACACTACAGAGCAGTAAGAGCTGTGGGCGGGGCTTTATTACATCACTGTTACTTTAGAGGTGAACTTTAGATGAAGTCAGTTATATGGATAGAAGGAAATGATATTATATCTGCACTCTGACCTTAAATACAAATCAAAGATGGTCACTCTGTTCTGATCAGTGACTGATGGTGATGTTCATAGAACTTTAGATTTTTAAATATTTTATTTTATATTTTTTTAATGTTATATTTTATTTTTTAATACATGTTCATATTTTTGATGTTCAGATTTACATCCTCATTCATTGGTATTTTACAAATAATATTAAATTTGATGGTGTGGTGAGTACTCATGGGCGGCACGGTGGCGCAGTGGGTAGCGCTGTCGCCTCACAGCAAGAATGGCCTGGGTTCGATTCCCGGCCGGGTGACCAGGGTCCTTTCTGTGTGGAGTTTGCCTGTTCTCCCCGTGTCTGCGTGGGTTTCCTCCCACAGTCCAAAAACATGCAGTCAGGCTGATTGGACATGCTAAATTGCCCCTAGGTGTGAATGTGTATGTCTGTCTGCCCTGCGATGGACTGGCGACCTGTCCAGGGTGTATCCTGCCTTCCGCCCAATGACAGCTGGGATAGGCTCCAGCACCCCACCGCGACCCAGAAGGATAAGCGGTTTAGATGATGGATGGATGGATGGTGAGTACTCATAGACTCATATTTATCATCATATTCTTCTTCTGTTCATCAGAGTTGGTCTTTATGTATCATGAAGAACTAAAATCCAAACTCATGGAGAAATGTAACAAAATGAATGAAGGAATTTCACAGCATGGAGCACTAATCCTTCTGAAGGAAATATACACAGAGCTCTACATCACAGAGGGAGAGAGTGGAGAGGTTAATGATGAACACGAGGTCAGACAGATTGAGACAGCATCCAGGAGACCAGCAACAGAGGAGAAAGCCATCAAATGCAATGACCTCTTTAAAGACAAATCCATCAGAACTGTGCTGACTAAAGGAGTTGCTGGAATTGGAAAAACAGTCTCTGTGCAGAAGTTCATTCTGGACTGGGCTGAAGGAAAAGCAAATCGGGACGTCCTCTTCATATTTCCACTTCCTTTTAGGGAGCTAAACTTGATGAAGGAGAAGAAGCTCAGTTTGATGGAACTTCTTTATCAATTTTTCCCAGAAATAAAACAATTAGAATCAATAGACAGTAATGCCCATAGAGTCATGTTCATCTTTGATGGTCTGGATGAGTGTCGACTTCCTCTAGATTTCCAGAACAATGAGAGCTTGTGTGATGTAACAGATTCAGCCTCAGTGGATGTGCTACTGACAAACCTCATCAAGGGGAATCTGCTTCCCTCTGCTCTCCTCTGGATAACCACTCGACCTGCAGCAGCCCATCAGATCCCTCGTGAGTGTGTTGACCTGGTAACAGAGGTACGAGGGTTTAGTGACCCTCAGAAAGAGGAGTACTTCAGGAAGAGAATCAGTGACCAGAGCCTGGCCATTAAAATCATCTCACACATTAAGTCCTCAAGAAGCCTCTACATCATGTGCCACATCCCAGTCTTCTGTTGGATTGCAGCCTCTGTTCTAGAGAGACTGTTGGGTGAAGCAGAGAGTGGAGAGATCCCCAAGACTCTGACTCAAATGTTCATACACTTCCTGATCTTTCAGATCAAACACAAGGACCAAAAGTACCATGGGAAATGTGACACTGATCCTCAGCAGACTAGAGAGATGATTCTGGCACTGGGAAAACTGGCTTTCCAACAGCTGGAAAAAGGCAATCTGATCTTCTATGAGGAAGACCTGAGAGAGTGTGGCATTGATGTCAGAGAAATGTCCGTGTACTCAGGAGTTTGTACCCAGATCTTCAGAGAGGAATTTTGGATGTACCTGGGGAAGGTGTTCAGCTTTGTGCACCTGAATGTTCAGGAGTTTCTGGCTGCTTTATATGCATTTCTCTCCTTCATTGGGAGAGATGAAACAAATCAGCTGACCACTTATCTCTCTAGTATTTTCAAAGAGTCCAACTTGTCAGAATTCCTCAAATGTGCAGTGGACAAGGCCTTACAAAGTGACAATGGACACCTGGATCTTTTCCTCCGCTTCCTTCTGGGCCTCTCACTGGAGTCCAATCAGACTCTCTTACGAGGCCTAGTGAAACAGACAGGAAGCAGCTCTCACAGCAAAGAGGAAACAGTCCAGTACATCAAGGAGAAGATAAGGGAGAATCCCTCTCCAGAGAAATCCATCAATCTGTTCCACTGTCTGAATGAACTGAATGATCATTCTCTACTGCAAGAAGTCCAAACATACCTGAGTAAGAAAGATTACAGTCGTCTCCGTGGACTCAGTCTGTCTCCTGCCCAGTGGTCAGCTCTGGTGTTTGTGTTGCTGAACTCAGAAGAAAACCTGGACGATTTTGACTTGCGTAAATATGACAGATCTGAGGAATGTCTTTTAAGATTACTGCCAGTCATTAAAGCATCCAGAAGAGCTATGTGAGTATTTTCAGTCATGAATGTGTTACTGTATTATTTCTTATTTACTGCACCGATTAAGAAATGCTTTTCATTAGTTACTCTAATCAGCTTCTATAAAACCACCAGTGGTTTAAAAGACTAGAATGTATGTGTGTGATATTGTTCTAATGCATCATCATTTCTCTCCCAGATTGTGTAATTGTAATCTCACAGAGAAAAGCTGCACAGTTCTGTCCTCAGCTATCTCCTCAAATTCCTGTCTAAGAGAATTGAACCTCACTAACAATGACCTGCTGCAGGATTCAGGGGTGGAGCTGCTCTCTGCTGGATTGAAGAGTCCTCACTGTAAACTGGAGAGACTGAAGTGAGATTATGAGATTACTTCTCACTGTGGGGGGGTTGATGGTGGTGGTGGTGGTGGTGGTGTGTGTGTGTGTGTGTGTGTGTGTGTGTGTGTGTGTGTGTGTGTGATATTGTTCTGATGTATTGTCATTTCTCTTCCAGGCTGTGTGACTGTAATCTCACAGAGAAAAGCTGTGCAGCTCTGGCCTCAGCTCTCAGCTCAAAATATTCAAGTCTGAGAGAACTGAACCTGAGTTACAATGAACTGCTGCAGGATTCAGGAGTGAAGCTGCTCTCTGCTGGACTGGAGAATCCACACTGTCAGCTAGAGATATTGGGGTGAGATCATCACTTCCACACTGTGTGCAGCTGGAGTTTGTTTCAGAGGACAAGAGGTTTGCCACAATGTGAACTAAAATCGTCTTGCTGGGAGACTTCAGTGCACATGTTGGCAATGACTGGGAGACCTGGTGGGAAGAACAGCCTGCCTGATCTAATCTCGAATGGTGAATTCTTATTGGGTTTCTGTGCTAGGCATGGATTATTCATAATGAACACCAAGTTCAAACACAAGGGTGTTCATAAGTGCACATGGTTCCAGAGCTCCTTGAGTCAGAGCACAATGATCAACTTTTTTGTCGTTTCATCTGGCTTGGGGCCATATGTTCTAGACATTCAGGTGAAGAGAGCTGCTGAGCTGTCAACTGATCATCATCTGGTGGTAAGTTGGATCAGATGGCAGGAAAGACTGATGGTCAGACGTGGTAGGCCCAACCTAATAGTGAGGGTGAGCTGGGAACAACTGTCAGAGGCCCCTGTTCAGACTGATTTTAACTTCCTCCTCTGGGAGAGCTTTTCTCATGTTCCAGAGGAGATAGGGGACATGGAGTCTGAATGGACCCTGTTCAAAACCTCCATTGTGGAAGCTGCCAGGTGTAGCTGTGGTCTGTTGAGGTGGTTCGGGCATCTAATCTGGATGCAGCCAGGATGCCTCCTGGTGGGGGTGTACCAGGCACCGTCTACTGGGACAAGATCCCATGGTCGTCCTAGGACCTGCTGGAGGAAGTATACCTCCAATTTTATTTTACCATGAGACACACATTCCTACTTGCCAAAGAAGATCCTGTAAATGGAATATGGCATCTTCAGCATGAACAGCTCCTTCATTTTTGAATCATGTGCACAAAGTAACTCTCTCAAGAACAATGAAAACTTGACTGTAAAAACATGCCACATAATCATTTTTCCTTTGCTAGCCATGCTGTATTGCACAAGCAGCCATGCACAAAACTAGGGTAGATTTTTGATGCTTCTCTTTAGAATATATGCATAATACACTTCTGTGGCGTTTTCACTCTAAAAGCTGCACCAAACAAAAGCATCACAGAAACATTTCACTTCACTGACTGTAATCTAAACATCTGTTTTTCCAGTATTGTTTTATGTTCACAAATAAGCTATTGCTGTAATTTCCCATTAATTGCACTAAGTTTCTAAATTGCTGAGTCAGCTTCATCAGAATTCCAAAAGTAGTTTATTCTCACAATGAATTCCTCACAATGTGTGAAACTGGTGTGTGTGTATTGATCTGTAAGTGTGAGGAGTTTTTCTCTTTCTCTGTGCAGGCTGTCTAACTGCAGTATTGCAGATGAAGGCTTTGCTGTTCTGGCTTCAGCTCTAAAATCAAACCCCTCCTCTTGCCTGAGAGAGCTGAACCTGTACAATAATAAACCAGGAGAGTCAGGAGTGAAGCTGCTCTCTGATCTACTGGAGGATCCACACTGTAAACTGGAGAAACTATAGTAAGTTACTGGCCTAATGACTCTACACCCACCTAACAACCAATATTCAGGAACTTTCTATTTGTGTACCAATGGATAAAAGCTATCAACAAGATCAAGACAATAGAGAAAATGAAAAATTTGGGAGGAGTACCATGGACTGTTTAATGTGACAGAATGAGCCAGATGCTCGCAGATAAAAAGGAAAAAAAGGCTTCAATGTTAGAATCGTTATCCAAAAACATGATCATAATTTGTGGACGTAATTTAGTCAACAGTTATCCACTTATCATGCCTTTGTGGGGATGGTCAAAAACAATTCAGAATTCCTTCAAAACTGAGGAAACTGTTGGGGCTTGCTTATGGTTCAGCAGTACTCCAGGTTTGACGGTGGTTGGCTAGACCCACACTCGCCATGAGTTGTACCAGCTGGGCTTGTTGCTGTTGTGCCAACGACTCGAGTGAATGAGTAACTCCTGCTAATACCTGCTGATGACAGCCCAATAAGTGGCCCAGCTCAATGAGAGATTTCTGAAAAGCCTCCAGATCCACCGTCTGCATTAGTGGTGAGGTATTCTGTAATGTCACAGATAAAAAAGGAAAAAAAGGCTTTACTGTTAGAATCATTAGGCAAAATCGTGGTAAGTATACATGCACAGGTTACATCTTAAAAAAAGACTAAAAATACAAAAACACAAAACATAACACCAGGCAAACAGTCCAAAATACGGGTCAGGCAAAAAGGCAAAGTCAGTTTACAGAATGTCAGTCAGAACTGGGAGATCACAACACAGGTATGAACCACTCAGTAGTTCTAGGAAAGAAGCAGTACCTCGCAAGGAGCTGAACTAAAAGCCCAGGCCTTATACTAAAGGACAACAGGTGAAATAAATAAGTATTCAGGAGACAGGAGCAGTGATTGGAGCATGATAGGTGGGTCAGGAGTCATGTGATCCCCCAGAGGGTTCTGGGAGAGGAAGTCTATGGAGGCCTCTGAGCTAGAGGGATGCGTGACAAACTGCAAGCGCACATTGCAGCATCATGGAACATTCTGTGCTGCATTTTCTCACATTATTCCTCTGATCTTGAAAGTGAAATTGTGATTAATTTTATGGCAAAAATTCTTTCTGCAGTTCTTCAAGGCTTTATCTAAAACTAGCTGATGCTGCCATTGTTGATGAAAGCTTTCCAACAACATGCTATTGAGACACTAAAGCAAATTTATGGCTGATTTTAGAAAGTAGAGAAAATTGAATGCAAAATTGTCAATCGCCAGTTCTTTTGTAAATCAAGTGGCATACATACTCAGCCACACTTTTAATATCTCTCCCCTTTTTATGAGCAGTTCTCCTATGTTTTCCATGTTGCTTCTTCAAATGTATTTGCATACTGGAAAGAAGCATATTCTGCATTTTTCACTGCACATCCCATATACCTTAGGGTCGCATATCAGTGTGACACAAAAAGTGAAAGGTGCATAACACAAAAGGCAAAGCTTGCATTATGGTGTTGAATCCTGTACAGTATTTATATTTGTGTGACAGTTAGAGGAAAGAGACAGATGGATATACGTTTTTTATTAGGATCACTCTAGCAGTTATGATCACTGTTTATATTGGGGAGTTGAAGAACAGGCAAAATTGGTGTTAGGCAAATCCAAATCAAATCAAACAACAAGTCACTTTCATTGGGAATCTTCTTCTGTGCTGCTAAATGAGAGTTCAGGAGACCCAGGGTTGCAGAAATGATGTCTTTATTCAAAGAGAGCACTCTGTCCATCTACAGAAAACCCCATCTGAACAACAGGTCTGCATGCAGGGTTTTAAAATATTTGCCCTGTAGCTGTTGGATGTGCATCTGTTATGTTTTATGTCACGGCAATAACTATTCTATTGTAATGCAGACAAGTGACTATTTGTGCATGTACTAAGGACAGTAAACATTAGTTGGAAACCTATCAAAGTAGCTGTTTGTGTCATTACTAGGAACAAAAACACCCAGGAAACACCTATGCAAAGTAGACATCTGCTAGCCAAGTGATCAGGGAGCGCTCTGCAGTTTCAAATTAGGAAGAAGCAACTTAAATAGACATTAAATAAACAAAACAAAGACAATTTATACACAAGATATATTGAAGAAGAACAAGGACTACTGTTGAATAATTTCTACAATTTCTTTTCTGAAGAAAGGTCAACAATGCTGTTCATTTGCTACAGCTCTGCATTCAACATTGTTATCAGATCCAAGCTCACTGAATGGCTCCAGACCCGTGGACTGACACCCTCCTTGTGTAACTGGGTGCTGGATTTCCTGATGGGCAGACACCAGTCTGTCAGAATTGGGAAGTACACCTCTAGAACATGTAATAAACACAGGGAGCCCCCCAGGAGTGCACACTGAGTCCAATGCTGTTCACCCATGACTGTGTTGCCTTCCACAGTAACACCACCACCATCAAAATTGCTGATGATACCACTGTAATGGGGCTGATTGTTGGGGATGATGAGACTTTATAGGGCAGAGGTGGCAAAATACTGGCATTTCAGCCAGAACTCTAAGAAATTTCTATAGGTGCAGCATAGAGAGTATTCTAACCAGTTCCATCACAGTCTGGTTTGGAAACTTCTCTGCCCAGGACCGCAAATGTCTGCATCAGATGATCAGGGCAGCCCAAACAACCTCACGGACAGCCTTCTTACCACTAGACAACATCTACCACTCCAGGAGAGCCCACAAGTTATCAAGAACAAAACCTGCCCTAAACACAATCTCTTCACGCTTAGCAAGAAATGAAAGACCACCAGATTACAGAAGAGTTTTTGCTCTTAAACTAAACACTTCACATCTTCTGTTGTCCCAGAACCCCCTCACACCCACGCCTTTTACCCCTCTCCCACTAAATGGCTGCTAGAAATTGATATAGATTTATTTGCCTCCTGTAATGAGTATGGCTACCACAGCGTAAGTCTTTGTACATGTTCCAGCCAGCATACACCATGGCATGTAGACCCTCTGCTGCCCAGAACAATATAAATCAATACATTGGTCTAAATATATTTTCAAAGTAAACCAATGACATAAGAGATATAAGTTCACGAAAATAATACAATTACCTTTACAAATGACCATGATCGTATAGTGGTGAAAGTGCTTGTGTTTTCATATTATGTTCAGTTTTTAAATTTATACACATCTACATTTTACATTTTTATTCAGGGTCAATTGTTAAAGTGTCAATATGAATTATATTTTACAGCTACATCATCCTTTAACATAAACCAAAAGTAAAATATGAAATACTGCCATCTGGTGGCGAACACAAAATATGGCATCCAGACCACATAGTACCGCTAAGGATAAGCTAGGTAAACCAGCTAGCATTGGTGTGCTCATTAATGTTGTTCTTAATAAACATTAAATATGAACGGAACATACCTGTAATGAGTATGGCAACCGCAGAGTAAGTCTTTGTACTTGCTTCGGCCAGCATATAAATAAAGAAACAGGCTAATGTCAGCATTTTTTAGGTTTAGCTTCGAATTTATAACTCTTTAAATAATGTGTTTTGAAAAAGCCCAGCTGGGTATATTGGTCACATGTATTATATATATATATATATATATATATTATATATATATATATATAATATACACCATACAAAAGTGGAATATTACAACACTTTACAGAGTTATTTGCAGTTTTCCTGAGCTAAACATATGAAGCTGTACTGACCATGGCAGCATGTAGACCCTCTACTGCTGGGGCCACATCAGTTGTAATATGCTGACCAACCAGCAGGTGGTCCCATTTAGCAGAAATTTCACCACATAACATTTATACAACCGTTGTACACCGTCATATATGTATGTGACAATAAACTCTTGAAATTTGAAAACTGAACCTTAAGTGTGTAGTAAGGCTGTTTCTGCTGATTATGTTCTTGAGTGGAGTCTGATATCTGACTGGTTTGAGTTCATGTCTGATGATTCTCTCCTCTTCTCTGTCTTACAGCATCTGAACACCACCCAGCTGATCTGCTCTCACACCCAGAGGGCTATGAGGAGAGGATGAAGTCTTAGTACAAACACACACACTCAGTATATGGTTCTACATGGTACCGTGTGTGTTTGGATTCCTGCCTGTCAAATCTGTGAATTCGACTGTGATCAAGTCATAACATCACTTTCTGTACATCAGTGGCTGCAACTCCAGCTATTCGTCTGTCAAATAATTCATGTTGGTGGAGGATGACCCCACACCGGGGACAGAATTAATAAGTTTGGCTATTTTAATGTATCACTTTCTATGTGACAGGACTGTGTATTTTTTCATAGTACATTTTTACATTATGTGTATGATAATTTACCTTTCACAATCTTTCATGACTTTGGCTTGCAAAATACATAAAAACATGGAGAGGCATCTTTCGGTTATTATGCTTCTGAACTGTGGGGCTCAGTTCCACCTTCTATTAGACAGTCAAGCTCAATTCAGACATTTAAGAAACACTTGAAAAAGTATCTCTTTAATTCAGTGTTGGATTTAAATTCTACGTCTCTTCTGTATTTCTTTTTAACTTGACCTTTTGTTGTTGTGTCTATTACTCTAAAACATTATTACCTGTCTGTAAACCACTTTGAGCTGCCACCGGTATGAAAAGTGTTCTATAAATAAAGATATTATTATCACCATTATTATTACCATGAGCCTTAAATGCCTCACTGGTCATGTCAACATGAGCCTTATGCTCATTCAATCATGGCAACATGCAATGAACTTTGTCCCTCCCTTGTTAACCTTTTAAATTAATTCAAGTCTATTTTATAAAGATGGTCAGTTGGTCATTGAGACTCATTCATAGATCCTGTTGAGTGATCTATCACAGCAGGACTAAATTTTTATGATGGGATACACACAAAAAAATAAAAGAGGAGGACCATGAACTGGAATCCAAATAGAAAGATGCTAAAACTTAATAGAAAAAAGATGCTTTTTATGTACAAATTAAAAATGTACAATATAAACACTAAAAGGGAGCAGCAAGAGAAAACTGTGCTATGCCAATTTGCAGGACCAAGACACAAATAACAATTTCAGATTATCTCTAACAGAAAACAAACATGTTGACCAGTAAGTATTTTTCATTTGCACTTCATTTCCACCATGTGCTAAAATGGTGGAGCTCCAGGCCAAGGAAATGCAGTATTATGTACACCAACACTGGACTTATGTAATGAATGATTATGATCCAAGAAACTGTTCTGTTAGCAGAACATCAGGAACATCACTGAAAACCTCATTCCAGAGTCTCAGTGTGGCTCTAGGAAACATGCAAAAGTACACTGGACATGCTATTTATGGCTTGACAGCAGCTGGAAAAATGTACTAAGCAAAATAAAACTTATTCATTGCCTTTTGGGATCTCTCTGGGAGATCCTCTGTAATTTGGGAGGTCATTGTGCAGTTTGGCAGCTCCAGAAACACTATCAATATTTAGTGCTCCTTCCATGATAAATGACAGCTCACATCACTGTTAGTGGTCAAAAACCATAATATTTTGAATATCTGGTGTTTGGCGGGGCTGTGTACTTGCACCTGTTCTTTTAATGACTCTGTATGGTGTTACAACAGTTTTGTACAAAGATATTGAAGGCTGGAGTGATTTCTGACTACAGAATGGATGGAAAACTCTTGAATACCAGGGGGTTCAATGTCCCCACAAAACACAAGACAAATAATATCCTTAAGCTATAGTTTGCACATCATTGTCCCTGAAGCTCTTCAAGCCACCCTGACAGCTGCTGCAAGATCAAATAGCAGAATGGGATTATCCATCAACATCAAGCAGATAGAGGTTCTGTGTCAGAACTGCCCTTCTTTATCTCTGGTCTTTCATTAGCCACAGTACCAAACCTGAAGTATTTACACAGCTTCCTGTCAGAAGAATGCAATATTAACCATTATGTACATCAAGTGGAGGTAGTGGGGTGTCAGGTGCCATGCATATCCACTCACCACACGTGGATGAGAAACAGTGAAATTTCAGTAACACTTTACATTAAGGGTACATGATCTGTCAGTATTCAAGGCATTTACTTATGATTAACTAATCAGAAAATAATGAGTTATTAATCAGGAACAAATGAATAAGTCATGTATTAACAACCACAAGACTAAATTACTAACGCATGTACTAATGAATGAAGATGAAGGTAATAAAGGCTTTATTCAGTGCCTGAATTTATTAGGAATTCAAGTGTTAATTAAGCATACAAAAAGAATGTTAGTACACATTGGCAAACTGCCAGAAGCTCTGTTAGTTTCATTCTATTCATGCAATTCATGATTACCTATGTCATACTGCAATGTCATACTTTTACAACAGAAACATAAACTGTTGTATGTTTAGTAAACTGTAAACTAGTTTATTTACTGAAAACAGGCATTTGATTTAATTAAAACTGTGAATTATCTTAATATGTGCCACAGTTATTCTGAGAAATACCACCTTCAGAAAATGAAAATGTGTTTCCCATTTACTCGTGGTATTGTTGTCTGAGTGTCGTGAGTGCTAGTATGTATGTTCGTGCCTCACCTCTTTTTAGACTAAGCTGTAAAACACGCAGCTGTTATCTGTGGTGAAACAGAACGGATTTGCAGGAACCATTATTTCTAAATTCGTTATAAAGTAGCTTAAATATTTGGTTTAGTGCTTAGTTATTTGCAATAAACCTTTTTGGTTTTAACAGTAAGGTGTTTGTGTTTCTCACGAGCATCGTGTGATTGTAGTAGTAATACGTGGCGTCAGGCTCGTCTGTTCTGTCTGGTTAAAATGACGTTAATTTTACGCGGCTTGGTTCATTTGTTATTCCTACTTTGAAAGGGACTCTTATTGTGAAGGGCTGTGTGTGCAGTGGCAGTGCCTCACAGGGCCCAGTAGTAAACAGACTGAGCTGAGACAGCGAGAGGGCGCTGACTGCACTTAGCCGAGCGCTAACCTAGCGCCGTATTCTCCCCTTTCTTTAGTACCCCATTCTGAGTTTGTCAGTAACGCTGAGTCTCAGACTCGATCTTCAGCTTGTGTGAGTAATCTGGAAACACCGCTGCAGTATGAATATCTCTGTAACTTTAATTAGCCAGCAGTTCTGTCCATTTTACAGATGTTTGTGGAACTACAGAACCAGTATGTATTGGTTCCTCTTCATTCTCCGTGTTACAGTGACAGATTCACCTGCTCTGGTTCTGTGTATTGTGTAGAAGTCATAAGATGATAATAAAATATGCTTTTTTATTCCTGTGAAATTCGTCAATGTCATGTTTTTATATGAGCCATATTGTAGCTACTTATCCTTCATCACCGTTCTTGAAAGGGCAAAAGAATGACTGTCAGTTTGGTAAGTAAAATGATTAATCCTGCTATTTTATTAGCTTTCAATCAGTAATAAAGTGTGACCGGTTCATCACTTTACTTTAGGAGCACAAACATTATGAACTCATCATGAAGAATCAGTATTTAATGAGTAATAAAGTGTGACTGTTCATCACTTTACTTAAGGGGGCTCAAACATTATGACTTCATCATGAGTTATCAATAATCACTGCTTTCTTTATAGTGAATTGAGAATTGACACTGTATAGTTTTGTATTTTTCTCACTCTGACACACCTCAACCAGCACAACAGGAGCTTGTAAATCAGCAGTTGAGTTCAATCAGGTGTACTAGATCTGGGAAAGCACAAAAATGTGCATACAATTAAGCATTCTTATGACCCCAGGAGAAAGACACTCCAATAATGAACTCATTTCTGAGTTCAGTGGTAACTGTAGGCTAAACCATTCCCTCATGAGGCTCTCCCTCAAGTAGCACTATTGTTTACCCTGGATTATGGTGATATAATGTATAGAAATGCATCTGCAACTACTATAAGCTCTCTGAACTCTGTACTCTTCTTTAAGATCTATTACTGTGTACTGTATGAAAAGGTTGGCTGGTCATCTCTGTCTGTGCGTTGGGAGACACATTGGCTTCTCTTTATCTATAAAACTCTTACTGGCCATTTGCCTTCATACATCACAGAAATGCTCAGTGTAAATAATGCCGTTTAACAGACTCGTTATAGTGATTGGATTGCCCTCCAGGTGCTGAGAGCTTTTAACCCTAAACTGGGAAAATCTGCTTTTAGCTACAATTCAATTCATTACAGGAATCTCTAAAGCTTCGCTCGCTGGTGTCACATGAACTGTTTAAACTTTTAGTTTCTACACACAGCCTGTTTCACCTGATTTTAGTTAGTTTTAATTTGATTTTGGTATATATTTTAGCTATTATTTAAATTGAATTATGTTTTCTTATTCATTCATTTATTTTTGATTGTTTTACATCTTTTTATTCCTTTATTTATTTCATTATGATATTTTTTAAGTTACTATATTGTTGTAATTTATGGTTTATTGTTTTTTTTTTTTTACTTTTTTACTATCAAATGTGCTACAATGATTATTATTACATTTTAGGACTTGATTTGTTTTTTACTATTCCAACTTCCCAATCCCTAATTTCTGTATTGGCTTGGCTACATTGTAAATGAAGGTCTCCCTCAATGTACTCTGAGTTTAAATAAAGGTTGACTGATTGATTGATTGATTGACTGATTGATTGATTTAAGTAAAAAGCTAAACCTCTTCTGTGTCTTACAGCATCTGAACACCATTCAGCTGATCTGCTTTCACACACAGAGGGTTATGAGGAGAGGATGAAGTCTTACTACAAACACATATACTCACTTTATGGTTCTACATGGTACCTGTATGGATGTTTCAGTTCTTATTTGTCAAATCTGTGAACGTGTCTGTACCACAGAGCTGTGTAGTCTCCCTATGACATCACTTCCTGTTCACCAGTCACTGCAACCATCAAATGTCTCTTGCTGGAGGAAGACTTCACATTTCCAAAGTATGAACGCTGAGACAGGAGCCTCAGGGATCATGGCAACAGCATGAGCTCAGCATCTCTAAACCAGAGATACGATTGAATGTTGCTTTTTTCAGCACAGAGATCATCATGAAGAACAGCTGAATGATCTGAAACTCTGCTGCCCCTCTGTTCTTCAGTAGTCATTAATTTTCTGGGGTTTTCTGTAGTTAAGAGTTTACTTTCATAATGATTTATTCTTGTTAAACACACAATACACACCATGGCTGGACTTCATCAGCTGTGCATAATTTAAGTGTAATTATGCTGTAAAGCAGCTGTAACACCTGCAATGAACTATAGCAGTTATTTCAAATAATACTTTTAATGTAACCAAACAATTCAGTGCACAACCCATTTCCAAAAAAGTTGGGATACCGTACAAAGAATGCATGATGTGCAAATCATTGAAAACATATAGATCATTAAAAATAGTACAAAGACAATGTATCAAGTGTTTAAACTCAGAAATGTTATTGTTTTTGAAAAACAATATGATGCCCATTTGAATTTGATGCCCGCAACATGTTTCAAAACAGTTGGGACTTTTTTTAAATGGGGCAACAAAAGACTGGGAAAGTTGTGCAATACTAAACAACACCTAGTGTTAATTTGGAAAAGGTAACATGATTGGATATAAAGGAGCCTCTCCGAGAGGCTGAGTCTTTCAGAAGTAAAGATGAGGAGGGGTTCACCACAAATTGTTTGGAATGTGTAGCTAGCATCAAATTCAAATTGGTCATATATTGTTTAAAAACAATAAAATTGTTGTCTTTGTACTATTTTCAAATAAATATAGGGTTTAAATGATTTGCAAAACATTGCATTGTATGTTTATTTACATTTTGCACAGCGTTCCAACTGTTTTGGAAATTAAATCTTGCACAGTGGGAACAACAAAGAATCTTGTAAATGTAGTTCAAATTTTTCTATTAATTTATGTCTGTCTCTAACATTCATTGGTAAATATTTATTAAGGAGTTATGTTCTACTATCTCTTCATTAATATATTTAACTCTTTTTGTATTTAAGCTTCTCTGTGTGATTTAGATTGTTTTTGGAGATGTGTTGATATTTTGAGATGATTTATCTGTTTTTAAATAAATTAATTTTCTTTGGTATTTTACTTTTTTATGCTCTTGTAATACAGGGAATTAGAAACACCCTTTTTATTTTTCTATTGATTAGTCCGATTTAGGGCTGAAATGTTAGAGATATTTGTGATATGAATGTTTTTGATCCTTGTTTCCTGTTTGACAAGTAGCTTGTGTTCTGTTTGGGTCCATCATCATTCAGTGGTCAGTTATGCTGTAGGAAAACCCCCTTTACAGCCAGGGGCAGTGCTGCATTAGAGCAGCAGCAGCGCCTCCCCCAGGTTGCGCCCTGGTATCACAGTGTATTGTGAATGAGAATAAACTATAGATAATTTTAACTAGTCACATAAGTTTATTTTGGAAGGGGGGGCAAAATAACATTCAAACTGGCCTAGCAACATTCATGCTTACAGCAGAAAGCAGAAGAGAGGGAAAAGTAATTTACTGTTTGTGTATTTTATTACACAAAGATTAGCTAAGAAGTTATTAACATGTTATAATGCTGGAAAATCTAGTTATAGTAGACTACTATATAACTGTTACATATAATTATACTTCATTTAATCTGGTTAGCTACTTAGAGAAAGAAAGTGTATATGCATTCAAAAATGTTTCAGCAACTGATTAAAAATCAACAATGGTCTATTTTAAAAAAAGCTGACCATTCACCAGTAGCCAGCAGTTGCTCTGCACATTGTGGCAACAATGATACTTTCAAAGCGAGATATAACCATTGGACTGAAATTGTTTGTGGGAATCTCGTCTTCAAATGTTATTCAAGAATTTTGTTTGAAGTTAGAAAGTAAATGAGGTATTTTCACATTTTCTTGTGGCTGTACCACTCTGTTTTCTGCAGGGCTTTTTTTGTTGTAGCACTGTGTTAGTAGTCATCCACCTTTACATGTAACATTAAAGCAACACACAGCGATTGGTCATTCTGAATGTCAATGGAAAGGCTCCTTCTTGTCAAAGTAGGTGACCATGTTAAGTGAGGAAACCCACAAGTTTTATTGTGATAGGAAAGTTAACATACTGGAACTGCCTTGGATTGGATTCAGCAGTAACCTAGAGGATCAGATGAGATGTATTTCTAATAAAGTTAACACACAGTAATTATGAGAATCTGGAGTAGCATTACTGTAAAAGATGTTTACATAATGAGTACTCACTCCAACACTGGTGACCATCTCTAGTTTGGAGTAGACTCCAACACACTTAAACACACTGATGAGATGATCAGTTACCAGGCTGTAAAACACTCTTACCTGTGACCTCCTGTGGGTGGGGCTAGTCTCCTACCTGAGTAAGGATCTGAGTAAGGACCAGATGCTGGTTTAAGAGGAAAAGCTGCACTGTTCTCAGGTCAGTAGTTAGTTAGTAGGTTATTTCCACCAGTTGTGGATATTGTGAGTGTACTTGTTTCAGTCTGGCTGCATTCATTAACACAGTCTTATCCAGGACTGGGAGAGAGGCAGCAGGATAGAGTACAGTAAACATATCTGTGCTTCATTCACTCAAACAGGCCCAGAGCTGTATTAGTGTCAGCTGGAAGGGTCTATTCAGCACTGCTGTAAGTAAAAATATGTGGCTGAACCTGATTGTAGAGTCTCCACCTCCAGCAGAGTCACGTGATAAACTGAACAGGACAAACTGGTTCAGAACAAAGCGAGAGAGACTCTGAGCAGGTCATCATTTTATGGAGAGAGAGGAATAAATCTAATTCAGAGGAAACACAGTGAGTATCTGACTCTGTACTGGAGTTTCTGAATCAGCACTATAGATGCAGTTAATACAGGAAGACTTTAGCAGTTACCACATCAGACTTGTAACAGCTTTTAACCAAAATGAAGAACCTGATTGGGCAGTTTGTCTGTGTTGACACCTGAAAAATGTAAAGGTGAAAAAGTGAAACTGAGTAATGGAGAAGTGAAATATGTCAGTGGAGGCAGACGGCAGAATAAAAGAGCTCCTCAGTGTTTCTACTGAAATTACACTTTCTCTTTTACTACACAGTGACATTTAGATATCATTGGCATTATTCTGTAACACTATTTTACTTTGATAGTTCATGTTTTAGACATGTGCACCATTTAGATACAATAAAAAGATCTACTGCTAAATTTTACACTGCACTTCTGCTGGTATTCTATGTACAACCCCATTTCCAAAAAAGCTGGGAATGCTGTGCAAACTGTAAATAAAAACAAAGTGCAATGATGTGCAAATCATTTGTACACATCATTGCATCATTGCAATTTAAAATAGGCACATATTTTATAAATAACAATAAGATTTCGCAGTTTCAACCTTTGACTTGTTGGCTTTGTACTAATTCAATTACATATAGGATTTAAAGGATTTCTACATAATTGCATTCTTTTTTTTTTAAACTGAACATCAAAAAACACATTGAATCTGACATTTTCAGTTCTGATTTGGGACACTTTAATATGTGGTACTGAAATCCGATATGTATCCAATATGTGACAGTGTGACTCAGTTTAAACAGCCTTTGGAACTTTTACATCAAGCCACCTCAACATTCATCTATTTTTTCATGCTGCTGAGACTTCAAAAGCATTTGAGGTAATGCTTCTGTATGAACAAACTTAGAAGAGACTTATCCAAACCTCTCTGTTCAAAGAAATTTTGAAAGAAATGACAGGACGTGGCTGTAGGAGAACGACGAGGCTGCAGCATCAAAGAACAGCTAAGTCTGAAAACAAAGTTTAAAGAATCCAAGAAGATGAACTAAAGAATTTACTTTATGTTAGTAATCCAGAACGTTAAGGGACGAACCACCTGGCAGACAATGAGGGACGATCTCAAGCAAAGACCAACTGTGGGTCTCAGAAAGATAAACTTCAAAAGGAGGTAAAAGGTTTAGAGCAGTGATTTGAATGAGAAAAGAAATAAAAGGGGAACAAACAAAAGAAAAAGGAGAGTGACTAATTATGGGACCTGGGGATCAAACCCTCAACCACTGTCATCCTTGACTAACGTGTTACGCACCGAGCCACTGAAGGGGTGATGGCCATGTTAAACTCAAAGGCTTAAAAGGATAAACGAAACTGAGAACTGCCCAAAACCGAACTTTAAAAACTCCCTTTTTAATCTCTCTCACTTCTCCTTGAGTGTCGGGGCGAGAGAACGCTCAAGAGATTTTTTTTAAATAGGATTAACTTAAGAAAAACAAAAGACTTGAAACTCGAGGGGGATACAGAAAATTACCAGTCAGAGTGACCTGCGAGTAGCAGAGTGAACTCAAGACTGAGCAGCTAGCAGCATGTGAGCACTCCTTAAATAGGGTGCCCACAGCTGCAACTGCTCAGCCCTAATTAATCGGCCTGGCTTAGAGACTTATCCAAACCCCTCCATGTTCAAAGAGATTTTGAAAGAAATGACAGGACGTGGCTGTAAGAGAACGAGGCTGCAGCATCAAAGAACAGTGAAGTCTGAAAACAAAGTTTAAAGAATCCAAGCAGATGAACCAAAGAAATGACTTAGCCCTGTTTACAGTGAGCTCAAACTCACAACCTTCATGTTAGTAATCCAGAGCTTTAAGGGACGAACAACCTGGCAGACAAATGAGGGATGAACTCAAGCACAGAGCAACTGTGGGTCTCAGAAAGATAAACTTCAAAAGGAGGTAAAAGGTTTAGAGCAGGGGGTGGGGATGGTTTGAATGAGAAAAGAATTGAAACGGGGAACAAACAAAAGAAAAAGGAGAGTGACTAGTTATGGGACCTGGGGATCAAACACTCAACCGCTGTCATTCTTGACTAACGTTAAGCACTGAGCCACCAAAGGGGTGATGGCCATGTTGAACTCAAGGGCTTAAAAGGATAAACAAAACTGAGAACTGCCCAAAACCGAACTTTAAAAACTCCCTTTTTAATCTCTCTCTCACTTCTCCTTGAGTGTCGGGGCGAGAGAACGCTCAAGAGATTTTTTTTTAAAATAGGATTAACTTAAGAAAAACAAAAGACTTGAAACTCGAGGGGGATACAGAAAATTACCAGTCAGAGTGACCTGCGAGTAGCAGAGTGAACTCAAGACTGAGCAGCTAGCAGCATGTGAGCACTCTTATAGGGTGCCCACAGCTGCAACTGCTCAGCCCTAATTAATCGGCCCTGGCTCTCCAGCTCCTCCTAGCTCAGAGGAGGCCTAATAAGTTGCCTAGACATTACACATTCTGGGTGATGAGCACAGTGGTCAGTCAATGAAGGTTCATGATCATCCTGTGATGCTGGTGAAGATGAAACTGAAACTTCCAGGAGCTGATTTGCATTCATTGGCAGTCATGATTGTTCACCTCTGTATGCGTTGTTCGATTGTGCATGTGGGTCAGTTTAGGAGCTGATCTGTTCAAACTAATGACATATATAGGTCACATTTAAAAGATAATGTGGTGAAAAAATCAGATTTGAGACACTTTTACCTGCTGTGTAAATGTAGCCATAGTGTGTCCTGCTCTATTTCTCATCATATGTCTGTTTGCAGGTTTCCAGCTGAAACCTGTAGGAGGAGACATGAGCTCCAAAATGAGTTCCTCTGGAGAACAGCACACAGAGAAAGACCAGAGGTGAGAGAATAGTGTGAAACTGTGAACCTCGTTTGACAAGCTCAGAAACAATTTCTTAAAAGAACATCTTAAGACAACCATGAGAAATTTTGGGCTCAATGCTAGTGGGAGTGAGGACTTTTCAGGGTGGGAATAAACAGTGTGAAATTCTTAGACCAATTCAAGGCCTTGTGAAAAATAAAGAAAAATCCAACACCCTGTGAAGTCATAGCTCAAAGAAGGTAGGTGCTGGTGTGATGAACAAGCTTGTCATTAGACCACGGATGTAACATAATTTAGCATGACTGAAAAGTTTCCCCGTAAACTCCAACTCCAATGCAGAGAACTCATTACATGCAGTAAAAATAAACATACAAGGGAAAAGCAGCTACATTTAACAAGAACATACATTAGCTTTAAAGGACATCAATAAGATAAAGTTGGGATATCAGTGGCTGTATGTGGACTGCTGTTCACAGTTCACACTCATTCATTTTGTAGAATAAATATTAGTTAATGACAGCCTTTCTCTAGCTAGCTTGTATTATTTCATCCCAGAAAAAAAGTCCTAAATTGTCACTATTATTATCATCTTCAGCACCTTTATTTAGGAAACATAATTGTGCTGTATTTGATCAAGATTTATTGATCATATTGAATATTATTTGAACTATATATTGAACTTCAATTCATATATATTTGATCTCGTAAACTTTATTTTAATTTTCTATGCTAATGCAGTGAATCTTAAAATAAGTTCACTTTTACACAATTGGACGTCAAAATTGTTACTGTATCCTAGAGATTACAATTATATTGTTTATACCCTGGTGAATAAAAATGTACAGTACTCTTTTTATGACACTGTATTATTGATGACTCCAGACATGTAGGGCTCAGGCTAGAGGGCTTTGTGGGTAGGTTTGAGAGGGGGCGTACCTTTGTTAGTGAAAAACTTTGTAGCAATCCAGCACCAAATGTTGTAAAAGTGGTCTCCAGATGTATATTCTCATTAGCAGATCACACCGGGCCTTACTGTAAATCAAGATGTGTGCTGATGAAGTGTTATCAATTAATAACTGGGCTCTGGATCAAGGGCTTCAATCCCAGCTGATGATTAGTTTGGTGATTTACCTTCTCAGACACACTTGATTACTTTCACAAGATTAGGTATCCTAGGTGAGTTTGTGCAGGAAATCTTCAACTATGCTGGATACTGATCCTCCAGGACCAGAACCGAACCCCTGGATTGGATAATTTACTTATTTCTGTGATTATAAAACACATTTGTCAAATACAGTGTTTGGATGTGTTTCAGTGTGATTCAGAGAGAGAGATCAGACTCACCTGAACCCAGCTGTGTGTCCATGAAGAGTGACCGATCAATGGAACATCCAATGAAGTTCAGAGAGGGCGAGTGTTCTCCAGTTGTGAGGTAAGAAAGATGAAATTAATGTACCTCCAGTCTGGAAAGACAGAAACTTCAAAACCCACCAGTTACATGTCATTGAATTAAAGGGCTGTAACAATACACTCAGTGCATGAATTGAACCAGTTCATGATATTTAATATTATCATAATACTTTGTACAAAATTTGAAGGAAGTAAAATGTCAAATGGAATGATGTTAAACAGTTAGGTAATGACACTAGAGATGGGAGGGAGGAGATGGCAATGAGGTGCCAATGTTAGTGAAGTATCCATTCTCCACAAAGTACATTGTTACAGTTTAGCACTGTGATATCACAATGTCATGCTGTTTTGTTACACCTCCACCAAACTATTTATATATAAATTTCAAATCTTAAGTCTTTTTTTTCAGACTCTTTCAAATCAAAGCTGAAATCTCTATTTACTCAGTATGGTCAATCTGTCTCTCATTAAATTCGTTTTATGATGTAGCCCTGTTATTGTGATTGTACAGTTTTTTCTGTATTTCTTAATTTAATTATCTCTTTATGTGCTATATGCACTGCACTATATAACTTTTGTGTTCTCCGCCTTTTCATTTTCTGGATATTTTTATTCTTATTATTATTATGATTCTTATTATTCTTATTATTATTATTATTATTATTATTATTATTATTACAATACACATTTGCTTTCTAACAGCCTTTATTTTCCACCGGTATGTTTTAGTGTGATTAACAGAATGAGATCAGACTCACCTGAGCCCAGCTGTGTGTCTATGGAGCTGGTTATTTTGTATCAGAAAAAACTCAGATCCAAATTGATGAAGAAATTTGACAGAATTAATGAAGGAATCTCCCAGCATGGAACATCAACCCTTCTGAATGAGATCTACACAGAGCTCTACATCACAGAGGGAGGAAGTGGAGAGGTCAGTAATGAACATGAGGTTAGACAGATTGAGGCTGCATCCAGGAGACCAGCAACAGAGGAGAAACCCATCAAATGCAATGACCTCTTTAAAGACAGACCCATCAGAACTGTACTGACGAAAGGAGATGCTGGAATTGGAAAAACAGTCTCTGTGCAGAAGTTCATTCTGGACTGGGCTGAAGGAAAAGCTAATCAGGACATCCACTTCATATTTCCACTTTCTTTTAGGGAGCTGAATTTGATGAAAGACAAAGAGTTCAGTCTGATGAAGCTTCTTTATCATTTTTTCCCAGAAATAGAAGAATTAAGATCCATAGACTGTGATTCTTACAGAGTCATGTTCGTCTTTGATGGTCTGGATGAGTGTCGACTTTCTCTAAATTTCCAGAACAATGAGAGCTTAGGAAACATAACAAATTCAGCCTCAGTGGATGTGCTGCTGACAAACCTCATCAAGGGGAATCTGCTTCCCTCTGCTCTCCTCTGGATAACCTCTCGACCAGTGGCAGCCAATCAAATCCTACCTGAGTGTGTTGACCTGGTAACAGAGGTACGAGGGTTCAGTGACCCTCAGAAAGAGGAGTACTTCAGGAAGAGAATCAGTGACCAGAGCCTGGCCAATAAAATCATCTCACACATGAAGTCCTCAAGAAGCCTCTACATCATGTGCCACATCCCAGTCTTCTGTTGGATTGCAGCCACTGTTCTAGAGAGAGTGTTGGGTGAAGCAGAGAATGGAGAGATCCCAAAGACTCTGACTCAAATGTTCTTACACTTCCTGCTCTTTCAGATCAAACACAGTGACCAAAAGTACCACGGAAAATGTGACACTGATCCTCAGCAGACTAGAGAGATGATTCTGGCACTGGGAAAACTGGCTTTCCAACAGCTGGAAAAAGGTAATCTGATCTTCTATGAGGAAGACCTGAGAGAGTGTGGCATTGATGTCAGAGAAGTGTCCATGTACTCAGGAGTTTGTACCCAGATCTTCAGAGAGGAGTTTGGGCTGCACCTGGGGAAGGTGTTCAGCTTTGTGCACCTGAGTGTTCAGGAGTTTCTGGCTGCTTTATATGCATTTCTCTCCTTTAACAGTAGAGATGAAACCAAACAGCTGACCACTGATCTCTCTGACATTTTCAAAGAGTCCAAAATATCAGACCTCCACAAGTCTGCAGTGGACAAGGCCTTACAGAGTAAGAATGGACATCTGGACCTTTTCCTCCGTTTCCTTCTGGGTCTCTCACTGGAGTCCAATCAGACTCTCTTACGAGGCCTACTGACACAGACAGGAAGCAGCCCCCACAGCAAAAAGGAAACAGTCCAGTACATCAAGGAGAAGATCAGGGAGAATCCCTCTCCAGAGAAATCCATCAATCTGTTCCATTGTCTGAATGAACTCAATGATCATTCTCTAGAACAGGAAGTCCAGAAATACCTTAGCAATGAGGATCTCTGGTATCACCCACATCTCAGTGGAGTCAGTCTCTCTCCTGCCCAGTGCTCAGAAGAGGATCTGGATGAAGAGGATCTGGATGAGTTTAAGCTGAACAGATATCATCCTTCAGAGGAATGTCTTCTGAGGCTGCTGCCAGTGATTAAAGCATCCAGAAGAGCTGAGTGAGTAGTTAGTGTGTGTGTGTGTGTGTGTGTGTGTGTGTGTGTGTGTGTGTTTATGCATGTAATTGCAACTTATTGTATTAATGTTATTTGAGTCTATTAAAATATTAGTGTTTTTAAACACAAAACATTTATATGGACAATTACTGTGTTGTTGGTTGTAAAAACATATCATTCCAATAATAACAACTAATATATATTGTGACGTCTGCCTGTAGCAAGACACATGGGAGGCCATTATTCTGCTGTGAGTAGTGTTCTTTGATTAAACGCCAGGACAGAAAGGCACATACAAAGCACTAAATTTGGGTGAGGCCACCACCAGTCACACCAGGGTGACCACCAACCCACATTAACTAAAGCCACTCTCTTATACAGAACAACAGAAGCCCCATGATTCTCTAATATTAGTGGTTTTTCTCTGAGCAAACAAACACTGATCCGATAAATACCTTTTTAAATCATATTTTCTCAGATTCCTAAAATGATTTGCACAGTATTCTGCATTAGCAGTAACAGCATGTTTGAAACCGAGAGAAAACAGACTACTGTACATATTGGAGCAATATAAAAACACTTCATGTTCATGACACTGTGGTTATTTCAAGTAAGTAATCCACTAAAAACAAAGTATATAGGTTCTGTGTGTATATAAGTTTACATACATGAAATTTTACATACATGAAAGTGAAACTTTAGTTCCCAAGAGACTTTTGAGTTTTGGCCTCCTTTCCTTTATTAACCCTTGATTTCTGCATAGCTGACCCCTTGTCTGTAGCCCACTGTATTGTGTGCTCATATTTCAACTCTGAGGTTGACAGTTAAATTTGTCTCCCAGGCTGTGTGGATGTAATCTCACAGAGAAAAGCTGTGAAGCTCTGGCCTCAGCTCTCAGCTCAAACTCCTCAAGTCTGAGAGAACTAAACCTCTGTTACAATAAACTGCAGGATTCAGGAGTGGAGCTGCTCTCTGCTGGACTGAAGAATCCACACTGTAAACTGGAGATACTGAGGTGAGATCAGCATGGTGTGTGTGTTTGTGTGTGTGTGTGTGTGTTGATCTGTAAGTGTGAGGAGTTTTTCTTCTCTCTGCAGACTGTGTAACTGCAGTATTACAGATGAAGGCTGTGCTGCTCTGGCTTCAGCTCTGAAATCAAACCCCTCCTCTCACCTGAGAGAGCTGGACCTGAACTACAATAAACCAGGAGATTCAGGAGTGAAGCTGCTCTCTGATCTTTTAAAGGATCCACACTGTAAACTGCAGACACTACAGTGAGTTACTGATTTACTGACACTACCCAGACAAAGATATGGTATTATTTTACACAAGCGTTACTTAAATAGAAATGTAATAAAGTAACAAAACATAGGTGAACAAATTAAAGTGATTCATCTGATGATTCTCTTCTATTTTTGGTCCTACAGCCTCCAACCACCATCTAGCTGATCTGCTCACACACAGAGGGCTATGAGGAGAGGATGAAGTCCTAATACAAACACACACTCAGTATATGATTCTTCATGGTAATTTTTGTGGTTTTGGGTTCTTACTGGTCAAATCTGTGAACACGGCTGCAACACAGGGCTGTGTGTTCTCCCAATGACATCACTTCCTGTACCTTCAGTGACCCTTTCATCAAACTCCTCACAATTAAAGATACCACTACATTGGTAAGGGTGTGCTCATGGAGGCAGGAGGCATCATGACAGCAATATAAGCTCAACACTCTAAAGCAGAGATAAGACTGTATGTTACTTTATCAGCACAGAGATCCTCTTGAACATCTGAAGGATCTCAAACTCTGCTGCCTTTCTGTTTTTATTAGTCATCAGTTTTCCTGGGGTTTTAAGATTAAAGAGAGTTTTCATAATGTTTTGTTCTGGTTAAACAGTACACACCATGTCTGGACTTCATCAGCACTCCATGAATGTTGGTGAGGTAATAAAGTAAATCTACAAATCAGTTTAAATGTGATTATGCTGTGAAGCAGCTGTAATACCTGCAGTGAACAGTAACAGTTATTTCATATTTTATTTTGATGTAATTAAATAATTCCATGTAATATTACATGGCACAAAATCTAACCTTATGTTCCAGGGACAACAGTCTTTTAAACCTATTTCTAATTTTTCTTTTATCTCTGTCTCTACAGAAACATCATTTATCATTATTGTGTTTTCATATTCTTTCACATGTGTATTATGCTAATAATCTTAACAAACCATAACAAGTATTTTAACTTAAAAAATAGTTAAGGACTACCATTTGTTATATGTGTGTGTGTATATACCGTAAAACATTAGAGGATGCTAGAGCGTGTCCTTAATGAATTAAATTCAACAATTTAAATTTAAACTGTTTAAAATAATAAACATGGTTAAAATAATCTCGTTAGTGAAACACTATTTTATAAGGGTGTTTTATATCAGCAAATTAATTTTTATAAAGGTTTAATTATTTGAAATTTGATATTTACTGCTTCTCCTTCATCATTCAGTTATTGGCTAAAATCCAGGTGCATTTCTGGAAATTCTTGAAATATTTTTCTCTCCATTCACACAGGAACTTCCTTTAATTTCTTAAAAGCTGAAGGATGTATTACTCACACAACGATGAAAACCTGCTGTTATCTTTCCAGTATTCTACAGTAAATATGTTTTAGGCTGTAGTACACTAGCATAACTGCTACTAAGTGCTGATTGGTTGATGAGTGGACTGAGCTCATTGGCTGAGTAAAGCTATTCTCACTCACTGATATCATCAGTATAAATAATATACTGTTAAAAAGTCATTAAAAAGAGCCATAAAAAGTTACATATGTGACAGCTTTGTTGATTTACGTTAGAGTTTATGTGAGAGTTCTCCAGCATAGAAATTCTCTGGTCTTGTAAAGGACCTGTTTATGTCCATCTGCACACTGTCCTGTTTGGTCAGACCCACATGGACACAGCCACAGTTGACTGAATGGAACCAGTGCCATTGGGCTGAGCTCATCTTTATATCAGTGAACTGATCCCAGTCTACATCACAACAGCTCTAACTCTGGAACTCTCACTCACCTTCTATATGCATATTCTGTCTCATTTACATATCATTTACGTATGAAGGATAGACCTGTGGGTGCCCCTCCCCCACCTCTCTCTGTTCGCTCTCCATTCATGTATTTAACTCTTTTAAACTGATATTTTGCTGTATTTATTTCATTGGTTCTGTTTAAGCTTTTTTATTTAAGATTTTCTCTGTGTGATGTAGTGTGTTTACGCAGATGTGCTGTCATGTTGAGATGATTTTTCAGTTTTATTAAATAAAGCTTTCATCAATCACCTTTATTCCTTTTCCTTCATTATTTTCCTTTTTCTGCTCTTGTAATTCTGGAGATAAAAAACACCCCTTTATTGATTTTGTCTATTAATCCTATTGATTAGTTCTATTTAGTGCTGAAATGTTGGAGGTATTTGTGATCAAATGTTCCTGATCTTCATCATGTTTGAAAAGTAGCTTGTGGTTCATCTCTGGATCTGTTTGGCTCCATCATCATTCAGTAACGAAGAACAGTCTAGTTATGGTTTTAATTTAATTAGCTTTTTATATTAAAATAATGCTTTTTTAGTAGTTTATTATTTAAATGTTGTAAATTTGTAGCAAAAAAAAAGGTTTGTATAACCTATTATTTAATTATTTAAATAGTCATTAATAATATATTAATTATGGAGTGGAAGCTTACTTTGAAAAAGTAGGGAAAATTAAATGAAACTTACAAAAAGTAACACTGCAGACTGTATGGGGTATAAGCTTTCTTCGTAGACTGACTGGTGCTTAATAAGGAAAATTAATGGAGGTCAATAAAGTAGATTAATAATTCTTAATGCTTAATGCTTAATGTGTCTATTTCTCTTTATCACTAACAGCAAGATTCCAGGTGCAGCCACATGAGGGCACTGTTGAGTTTCAGAAACTCCACTGAGTGATGAGTCCCTGATCTGCTTCTTGTGAAGTCCTTCTTCTTTTACAGGTCACTTTTCTTGGGCAAAAGCATCTTTTATTGTGTGCAATGTGATTGGTCAGCGCTGCTTTCCACCCTAAATTCAGTCAGAGCCTCTTTCCTTTTCATATGGGGTTGTGACCTGCTCACTCTGTCCAACATCACAGTAACGTTTGTGTCAGAAATGCAGTGCAGTGTGTTAATGGGGGCTGTTTCACCCTCACACTGACACAACACCCTCATTCACCCCCACTTACAGTATATTATTCTATTACTTAAACTTCCATTCAGTATAATTGAATACTGCACACTGATAACAGTGCTCTAATAAGTTTGCTGCATGTACCATCATAATACAGGACCATTTCTAGGATGGTCTTTAGGGCTTCAGCTCCAGTCCTGCACACATTCTTTGGGAAATGTTTACTGTGCTGATGTGATAAACAGAAGGAAAATAAAGCAACATGTTAGCCTCAGGTTTAGCACATTTAATGAAGGTTTTTAAATCATGCTGCTATCATTCCCTGTCACTGTTTGGGGTAAACAGTATTTACACTTAAACACAGTCAACATTTTCATTTATATGATCATTTCCACATCAATAAAATCTGTCACATCTACACAGTTCTGTTTCTCAGTTTCCTTCTTTAGCACTAAATAATAGAATTGTGTTGTAATTTACTCTTTGTTGGTAGAATAGATGTTATTGCTGTAGAAACAATGAAGATGTTTGAATTGAGTCCATTCAGAGCACCATTTGTTTTTTTCCCAGTGTGGTTATATATGTAAATCAATCTGCGAGATTTATTTTGTATGTGACAGTTTTCAGACAGTTTTGTATGTGTTAATGTACAGTGACTGTCCTGATGGTTTGTTTTAGTCTGATTCAGAGATCAGAGGTCAATGGTGAGTGGTCATGAAGAGTGACCCCAGTGGACTCTCTGTGGAAGAACAGCTCAGACCTTAGTACTAAGTCATGTTTGGAGAACATTTCTTCTTCCAGAATGATCCCTGTACTGATAATGCAACAGTGAAAGGTGTGACCATGTGTCCTTCCTGAGTCACTTTCATTTCTGTGAGTACACCTTCAGAAACAATTAGGAAATGTTCTATTACACTTTTCAGTGCGGAGCAGTAAAACGCTGCAGTTCTGGAAATGCATTTCTTTCACATTTTTACGTTTAATAAACCTGTTTCTGTTTCAGTTTAAATATTTGTAAGGGCCCAGACTGGGACTGGGCTGCCTGTTAGGCCACCCCCAGCTATCAGAGTGTGGCACAGAGCCACTCCCCCGCAGTCAGGGTCCTTCGGTGGTACCTGTTCATCCCATACTTAATGGGAGCTCAGCCTTACCTCAAACACTTAGTTTTGGGTTCTTTTTTCAGAGTACTGTTCAAGGTTAAGCCGGTAACTTGTTTTTTTCCTGGGTCTCCCCTTTCTTGACCATACCAGAATATTTCTCTCAGAGTTTCTCTGGCTCTACTCCCCTGGGCTTGAGTCCCTTTGTCAAGTTTCCAAAAAAAAAAAAAAGGAAGTAATTCTCCTTTGAGAAAGAGCTCTTTCTGTTAGCACATTCAGCCACTTTCTGCCCTCCACACCAGGGTTTGTGTGTAAATGTGTAATGTGTAAATTAGGTAATGAGGTGGTTTGTGTTGGTTTGCTGTCTGTCATCAAGTGGAGTTGTGTGGTTGAAGGTGACCTTTATGCTTCCCGGCCATGTCGGCCTGTGCTGCACGGCGTGTTCTCCACTGCTAAAAGTACAAAAGTACATCATCACATGGAAGGTGGTTTATGGAAGTTAGGAAAATAATTCTTAATACTTAATGCTGTGTTATCTATTATTGTTATGAAGTCAGCAGAGATCAGACATGCACAGAAAAAAGGGTTTAATTTTACTTGATAGTTTGGGAGTGTTACAAAGAGTGTAGTCATAACAGGCTAGGGTCAGTAACAGAGCAGGACAACCAAAACAAGTGGGACATAAACCAAAACCAGTCCAAGATAAAAAACCAAGAGAGCAATTAGTACACAGCAATCCAACCAAAAAAGGCAAACATGATAGGGCAGGTCAAAAACACACAAAGAAAAGGCTTTTCAGACAAAAAAACACTCAGTACACAACGGAAAGAATTAGCAATATTTTGCAATGAAGTAAACTCAAGCCCAGGCTTTTAAACTATGTAACTAATGAAATTGAATGATAAACACATGTGACACTGTAGAATTTGTCGAGGAGAAACATTAGAATGACTGTTCATTAGTAGTAACGATAGGAGGAGAGTCATGTGATCCCCCACGGACTCATGGGAGTTGGAGTTCTCTAGACAGTCCATGAACTCAAGTTATTCTGCAGGTGAAAGGGAACAGGCAGAGGAGGCATCCTCAGCAGTAGGCGTGACAGTTAGAACATGTCAATAACTTCACTGAATTTGTCTAAAAAATGACATACAATTTCAGACACAGGCACATGAGGACACTGCTAAATCTCAGACACTCCACTGATCTCTTGATTCTTAAGTCCTTCTTCTTCTACAGATCACTTTGTTGAGTCATTAATGTGTGCAGATAGCACTGCTGTCCACGACAAATTCAATCAAAGCCTGTATTTTGTTAATATGGGGTCATGGCCTGCTGAAAATGTCCAACATCACATTAACATTTTTTGTCAGAAATGCAGTACAGTGTTTTTTTTGGGCCTTTTTTGTTTTTTTCACCCTCACACACAGCCAGAATAGGACTACTTTTTCAGACCAGGAGTAACATGACACAGACCAGCCCACCTCAAATTCCCCTACACACTCACTCACTCACTCACTCCCTCACTCACTCACTCTCCCTCTCTCTCACACGCACACACACACACATAACACTGACTTTGTGCAAAAAGACTTAAGACTTAAAATTTTTATCTTCATTTTGTCCTCTTATTTATCATTTATATGCTACACTGAGCAAACTGGGGTGGTAAAATAGGTGAAAACAAGTTAAGTAAGTTAAGCTCATAATTTCTCACTGCCCACTTGCTTGTATATTTCCTCATCCTCCTTAAGCACCTTTTTTTATTTTTATCTTCTTGGTGCTACTGTAATGATTCAGTCAGCACCTGTCAACTTCCAGAGCCAGAGGAGGAGACTTATGAGGCACCACACCAGCCAAGGGACCAGAGATCACAGATCTGAGAAGGAAAACATGAAAAGTCAGTGAAATACAAAAAGATATAGAGGAAATTGAGGAAGTAGTAATTTACAAGTCAACTCAATAATTCTTTCCAGCACTTTAAAAGTTCTCACAAAGTAAGAGTTTCCTACTAGGGAGTCACAGGATGCTCACTGTGGCAATGATCAGCCTGGACCTTTTGATGCTGGACAGCTTCATGTATTTGAACATGTGTGTTCTCCCCTAGAGGCCACCAAATACTCATAGTGGCCAGTGGTGATGAAAAAAGCAGTCTTTTGCTAGGATATAGTGGAGTTATGGGATTTTAAAGACAGGAGGCCTAGATTTATTTTATGGAGTGGAGAATGCACGACCACAAATGGTCCTGGAGCCATCAGAAGATGAGTGAAATACAAAGAGCATTGTAATAATAATAAAAAAAACAGTATATTTCCAGTGGTTTCAAGCATTTTTTCTGGGAGAGCTAGACAGGTCTCTGCATGAGAGATTTTGTGAATGGCAGATGGAACTCTGGACTGAACTGGACTGGAAGTGCTGGAATGACAGTTTCCACCTGTGGTGTTGGACTAGCCTCATTACCAGAAACCTGGAGCTGCTGCAGAGTGCTGATGACTTCCTTCATAGCATTACTCAGCTGAACAAGTTCTCTATGATGTTACCCCAGCAAGGGGCCTTGCTCAGTTATGGCTTTGATGAGATCTCTGTTGTTGTAGCCAAGTGTAGTGAGTGAGAGGTGGGACTAAGGCAGCCTGGCTGAATGCTGAAGCTCAGAAGGAGGCGTAGACTGGGCTTTGATAGCCACCTTGTTTTTTTCTTATTTCTTGCTGCTGCTGCTCATTTTCACATGGTCAATGAAAATTGCTATATCAATAATGCAAAAAATGAAGCATGTTGTCTCAGTCAGCACCAGATTCACAGCATTGTGCTAAATTGATATATTAATCCTTCAAGGCTTCTTATTTTAATTTCTTTTCCAGTTTAAGTAATGCAGTAGTTACATGCTAACTATATTTGCATTTGAATATAACTGCTATATCATTTAAGATTGAAGGAGAAATAAGAATTTAACTTCAGCTTCATCTAATCTCTATTCACTGTATGAGACTCAGTTACATGAGAATCATGAGATTTAGCAAACTGTGGCTGTACTGTTTGAGGTGGGGGCTGCTGGTTTAATCTCTAAGTAACTACAGATATACACTTAGATGTAGCATTAATACTTTGTCTGGGGGTTCTTGGGCATGATTTTATACATTAACTCACATTAACTGGCCCAAAGCACTACTGGCTCACCAGGAACTCCATTGAACCCCATCTACCCCCACTTACAATATATTATTACTTTTACAGAAATATTAGTAATTGTTAGTATTATTTACATTTCCATTCATTATAATGAAGTACTGAATTATCTCTGATAACAGTGCTCTTATAAGTTTACTGCATGTACCATTGTACTATAGAACCATTTCTAGGATAGTCAATCTCTAGGATGTAGCCCCAGTGCTTACTCAGATTTTTGGAGATTTTAATGGACAAATAAAGACCAACTCAACAAAGTCAGATGAAATTCAAAAAGGATGTAAAATCTTTTCTGTTTGTTCCAAGAAATTTTATAGAAACATATTTATTTTACATGGATATATTATAATCAACATAGCAGGACTAGTTAGCTTCAGGATGGGCAAGGGTCAGAACAACAAACAAAAAGCAGAACTAACCACTGCACAGTATTTCTTTCCCTAATTTGAGGGAAAATAAAATAGAAACTTCTACTCTAACCCCTTAGGTGAAAAACAAAAGGAAAACAGGTATCAAAATAAATTACACTCACCCTACAACTCCTGTATGTTAGGATTTATATAACCAGTGAGTACACAGGCCACAAAGTATATCAACCACATGCATTATTAAAAAGCAACTGACTCGTAATAGATCCACAAAGGCTAAGGCAACTATTCTGTGTAACATTGATTTAAAACACAGCAGTTAAACACAGTACTAGGCAATTAATCTAGCAAAGAGAACAAGAAGCATTTCAAAAGAGTAAAGTGCTGTGGCTATGTGTTTGCTGCTCGACTAGAGCACCCTGGAAAGCCATTGCTCATTGGTCAAGGCTTTTTTAGCATCATTTCACAGTCTGTATTATTGAAGATTAGGTTAGGGTTATTGTAAATAAATGTTGTTTGGATGTTCTCTGATGGCAGCTCTAATTTGTGAAGAGAGGAACACAAAGCACTTTGGGAGAGAAACACAGTATCTAAGTGTGAGCTGTAAGTTGTGAATAAAATTAATCTGATATGAATCCTTAAAGAGCATTTCAATATGTTTGTGCTGAAGTCTTAACTAACAGAATTGACTCTCTGATCTGATGACTTGAATATTTCTCTGTAAGTGAATCTGAGTCAGTGATTTTGGAGTGGAGTAACTGTGTGTCCTGCTCTGTTTCTCTGTATGTGTCTGTTTGCAGGGTTCCAGCTGTAACCTGTAGAAGACATGAACTCCAAAATGGACATAAAGAACAGAACCCAGATGTGTGTTGATGAAGCGTTATCAGTTCATAAAGAACTCAGTGGTCAGACTGGGCTTCTCTGCCTCTGTAGCTAGATAATGTCATTCACTTTGGACAGAAACATCAGTGAAATGTAAATGAAGACCTGCATCAGACTCTTCTACTGATCTGAACTAAGTGGAGTTATAAAATAACTAATTTCTCTAAACCAGGGGTCTTCAGTTCTGCTCCTAGGTGGGCTGACATCCACCACAGTTTGGGGATTTAGCTGTTCAAACACACCTGATTACACTTATCTAAATGACCAGGTTGGTGAGTTTTTGCAGGAAATCACCAAATTGTTCTGGACACTGACCCTCCAGGACCAGAACTGAGGACCACTAGTTTAGAGAAATTAGTTATTTTTCTAACATAAAATACACTTATCAAATACAGTGTTTGGTTGTGTTTTAGTGTGATTAAGAGAGCAAGGTCAGACTCACCTGAACACAGTGTCCAGGAAGGACGACTTGTGCTGCAAAGTATAGATAGTGTAATGGTTCAGTAGTGTGTCATTGTTTCTCTCCCAGGTTCCCAGAAAAGCTGTACAGCTCTGTCTTCAGCTCACAGCTCAAACTCCTCCAGTCTAAGAGCTGAACCTGAGTGAAAATGAACTGCTGCAGGAGCTGTTCTCTGCTGGACTGAAGAATCCACACTGTAAACTGGAGATACTGGAGTAAGATAATGTTTATTTCTGTGGATGTAGATCACACACTCTTAGGACTGTCCCTGCTTATCATTTTAATAATCAACTATCATTATTATTCGAGTGAGGCCTTTCTTGAAGGCAAAACAATGGAAATTCACTTGTGTAGGCTTTTATAGATTTCAGTACAATTTACTTAATAAAGTTGAACAAAAAAGTATTTAAGAAGTCATCAAGTATTGTTGTATGCCAAGTTTTGGCATCCATGTCCAAATGACATATTATCTTAAATTTCTAAGTGAAAAAACAAACTCTGGACCACTAACATGACATACTTCATACATAATTATTTAATTGTTGGATTTAACATATAAAAAACAAACCAAAGTGTTGCATGAGCATAAGTTAATTGGTATTTGATAAAAACCTCTTTGGCTGACTTAAAATACACGCATAGGTTCACTGGCATTTTTGAATAGTAAATATTTCTATCAATATCAATACTTCTGTCGTAGACATCGATAACCCTGGTTCCTGTCACCAGCACTGTAATGAAATCAAAATCAGTAAGTTTTAATGAGTAATTTTTTCTATGATAATACATTTTCACTTGAAAATACAGTTAATAAAATGTTTTTCACCAGTGGTTTAGAGACAAATCACTTCAGTCCAGGCAAAACACTGTACTTCCTCTTCAAGAAACTGAACCAGTCCAAACCAGTTTAAGTGAAAGTGAAACCCTGCAGCTCCAATTTGGGAAGAGAGGAACAGAAAGTACTTTAGAAGAGAAACATGTTGAGTATGTAAATGTGCACTGCAGATTATGACTGATATGAATCTGCAGTAGATAAAGAGAATAAAGATCAGTTCAGTAGGTTTGTACTGAAGTCTTAACTAACAGAATTGACTTTCTGACCTGGTGACTTGAATATTCCTCTGTTAGTGAACAGCCTGATGAGGCAGGGCTGAATCTGAGACAGTGATATTGGAGTGTATATAATAATAATTTCTTCTATTAGCCTTGGCTATATACCAAAAACTCTTGAATTAGCAGAAATTAAACTTCTGATTAAGAAACCTAATCTTGATCCTTGCGCACTACCAAATTATAGACTTATCTCAAATTTTCCCTTTATAACAAAGATTTTGAAGAAAACTGTCTTCTGGGTTAATAAATAATATATTAATAATTAAGTATAAGCTCCTTACTTCATTTTAAAGTAAAAGATTATATGTCTGTCATAAAGTGATGTAAGAATGTTAATTATTGAATAATACCTCTACAAACCTGATTAGTTAATGATTAGTTTTTTGAAGTATGAGGTAATAGATGTCAAACTATTATAAGGAATAGTTTATAAATTATAAATTGCTCATATTTTAACAATTTTAAATTTAGCACCTATTTACTCATAGCTTGCAATACAAATCTATAAACTTTAACTCTAAATAGTTTCAGCTTATTTTATACACTGAAACAAGGTCTAAACTAAAGAATTCCTTTTTGATGCACATTCCTTAAGAAGTTTTCACTTACAAGTTGCCTTAATATTTAGCCATAACATAGGCACCATGTCACTTTATTAGTACACCGGAGGATAGACTCTTGACTGGATATTTTTGGGTGGTGGACAATCCACTCTTTGCCTAGTTGTGGCACTGTGGTACGTAGAATCCCATTAACACAGCTGTGTCTGAGACAATTGCACCAGCACCTCACAGGACCATGTCAATTTCACTGCTGATCTGAGAGCACACTGCTGTACACGAGCTGTCAATTATAAACATTTGTTCCTTTTCAAATTCAAATTAAATTTTGCTTTCTTTGAAAAATATGAATGCATGTGTTCCCAAATTTCATTTATAAACATTTGTTAATTTTCAAATTCTAATGGGCTAATTTTTTCACAGCTAATAATTTTACCAGGTAATGGTACATTAAAAAAAATATGATAAAGTGTTACTGTCCATATTCATCATTACCCCTTTTTTGCCAGCTGAATTCAAGTTTTATCAGCTGGCGATAAATCACATGTCTGAGGTTACCCTTAATTTTCTGTCAGCAGTTTAAAGGGAACTTCCTTGTTGTTACTTCAAACACAAGTTTCTGAGTTTGCAAGGAGTGTTTAAAGGATCCATTATGCTGCACCTCCTGCTTGGGAAACTGATCAAGTCCAAACTGGTTTTAATGAAAGTAAAATTCAGCAGCTTTGTTTTGTGAAGAGAGGAACATAAAGCACATCAAGGAGAGGAACATGGTGAGTATGTTTCTCTGAGCCGTAGTTTCTGAATGATATAAATCTGCACTTCACAATAGAAAAAATGTAAAAACAAATCAAGGAAAAGGTGTTAGAATCCAAGAAAATTATATGTAGTGATATTTCTACTTAATAAGATTTCTTACATTAAAAGAAAAGGCCTTGTGTTTTATTAATTGTAAATATCATAATCTTAACACCAATACATATCTGATGTCTTTAATCTGATGTCATGTTATCTAAAATTAGCAACAATTGACATATTAGTTCTGTTTCAGGCGTTTCCTTGAAATGCTAATGTTTGACCAGCTCCAAGCTCAATAGTGGAAATACTGCTTTTAAATAAACAAAAGTGTCTTTAAAATGGTCTCAAACTGTTATTGTAATGCTTCAAATAACTTACGCTCCTCATAATACTCTAAATGAGGCATTAAATATTCCGAAAGTGCATATGATACAAACTGCTTTATTAACTCTAAAGTGATGAACACACTGGCATTAAGTAGGAGAGAAGCAAAAAATGAGGGTTGGGTACTAACAAACAGACTGCATTGGGGTTGAATATTTGATGTTAATTAGCAAGCTTGTAAAATTTTAATATTTCCACAAAAAAAAAAACGATACAATTTAAACACAACTTTAATAATGTAGTGTTTCTGGAATGTTTTTCAGATCCAGTGTCCTGTCCAACTATATTCTTAAATAGTAAATGTAGTTCTTATATCATAATTCTTAGAATAAGGCTGTTTGAAATTCATTCTTTATAGTACAGAGCTTTGAAATGATATCGTTCCCTCAAAAAATTGTCATGTGAAAAATCTATGTAATTACCTAATTTGTCTAACTAAAATAATCATAGACAAAGTTTCTAAATGCTAGCTGACTAATGTATATTTGCAAATCTAGTCTAGTCTGTTGACATAATCTATTGTTTATTTTCTAGATTTTATTTAAGATTTCTTTTTTGCTGTGTAGAGCAGTTTGGTAAGTTTCTACAAAACTAACAGAATTGACTTTCTGACCTGATGACTTGAATATTCCTCTGTTAGTGAACAGTCTGATGAGGCAGGGCTGAATCTGAGACAGTGATATTAGAGTGGAGTAACTGTGTGTCCTGCTCTGTTTCTCTGTGTGTGTCTGTTTGCAGAGATCCAGCTGTGACCTGTAGGTGACATGAGCTCCAAAATGAGTTCCTCTGGAGAAGAACAGCACACAGAGAAAGACCTGAGGTGAGAGAATAGTGTGATGCTGTGAACACAGATGTGAGCTGATAAAGTGTTTTCAGTTAATAAGGTAGCTCTGTCATCAGAGAAGTGGGCTTTGGATCAAGAACTTCAATCCCAGCTGATGATCACTGATATATATATAGACACTGGCCTTTATTCATCAAAGTTGTGTAGAAATTTGATCAGATTTAAGAGCCTTGAATGATGTATGATCTGTTCCATGTCTGATTCACGAAATTTTGTATGAAATAAACGGTGATTTGAGCTCAGTTAATGAAACATCTTTAGCTGTGTGAATACATTATCATTTGCAGAAGGTACAACCTGATTTGCCCTAATATACATAAAACTTCCATTAGACATGCTTTAATTTATGCAGGTGAAGTGCTAGTAAGCCAATAAAAGACAAACATTAAATAGGTTATGTATGTGGTAAAAAATGTTAAGACCAAAATCAGGCTGAAAACAAATTGCTTTCCAACTTCATCCACACATCAGAAAGAAGAGGTCTTACCTTAAGTTAAGCTCTAAAATAAGTTTTTCATGTTATAAAAGCAGTCTTCAAAAGACTGGAGGTGGTCCAAGCACACCAAACCTGAGTCCTTGAGAGCAGAGATTAATGCATTTTATTTCTTAGAGTTTATAGAAAAACTCTAAGAAATGCATATCTGTCTCTTTAGGTATACTCAAATAAGGCAGTACAGTTAACCTGCTACAATGAAAACTAGGAATTAGATTTTTTGACTTATATTTACAACAAATGGGGTTCTAGATTATTACAGCTTCTTGAGATACAACCCTAATCTAGCATTAATGGGAAAAGCATAGAATAGCTTTACAGTTACACAGCTATGCTGTGAGACTGATAGGCTTGGCTGCTAGCATGGCTTTGTTCGGTTTTCAAGGATTTGCAGAAATAGTCCCAGTGCACCTTTTCAGATCCAGAGGTTTGCATGTCTTGTCTCATTTTCTGATGAGAAAGTTTCTGATTGAGTTCAGAGTAGGATCAATCAGAGAGTTTGAGCCAGAGGCCAAATATCCTGTCAGAGGTAACCTTGAGGTGCTGTGGCTAAAAGTTTTAGGTGTTGGAGACACATCAAATAATTGTCACCTCCACTTCACATCCTCAATGCTGATAAGTTCTCCTTCTACATAGGAGGTGCTTGTGGTGATTCATCAGTCTTACCCCACCCACCAGGCTGGTCCTGAGATAACTGAGCATAAAGTTAATTTCACATCCAAATTATGCAATATGTCTGTCAAACAACTTTTAAAATGATCTCAATATTTCAGACATGATATTACAAGATTGTATTTCACATACATGTTTGAGGGAAAATAATATATTACAGTTAATTAATGGAAACTTGTGTGAAATTATGTTTTTCCATTAAATGCCATGTGTATTTAAATGCTTGATCGTGAGTTTCGCAGGTCGCGAGAGAAGTAACACACTCCTGAAAAGGGTCCTCTTATAAGTGGTACCCTGTGCAGTAACATTGTATTTTGGCTTTGTTCTTGAAGATAGAAGTACAAACACTATCTTCCCCATTACCACAGTTAGCCTGGTCATGGTCTATACAACTTTTGACCATATATTGTTTTGCAAAATAGTTGGAACATCGGAAAAAAGCATCCATAAAACAGGCTGTGGAAGACCATGAGTACAATAATTTTTTAACATTTGGAAAACATGCTAATTATGAATGATTAATAGTGAAAAACATTCAAACAATTGAAAAAAATAGTTATTTAAACAAGCTGTGGCTGGTTGTTACTATGCATTTTATGCAGTTTACACTTCTTGTTTACTGGGTCCTTCTAATTTGTCTAAAGCAAGACCTAAAAATATACAATAGACTTTTGTTTTCAGCATGTATGCTTTGAACAGCATTGTTTCTTGCATTTTAGTGTGACTCAGGGAGACAGTTCAGACTCACCAGAACCCAGCTATGTGTCTATGAGGAGTGACCAGTCAGTGGACGCTCCATATAACTTCAGAGAGGAAGAAAGATCTCCTGCTGAGAGGTAAGGATAGTGTGATAGATTGGGATGGTGCTTCGCACTCCCAGTCTCGCCTGATCAAACTCACTCAGCTCATTATGAAGCCCTTCATGCATCAGGAGCAGGTAAGGATTAAACTGTGACCTACATCCAGTCTGAATTCTCTGATGGTCTATACCTGGAACTGAGTGTAATGTAGAGAATATAACAGTAATGTGGAGATTTATATCTGGAACTGAGCGTAATGTAGAGAATATAACAGTAATGTGGAGATTTATACCTGGAACTGAGTGTAATGTAGAGAATATAACAGTAATGTGGAGATTTATACCTGGAACTGAGTGTAATGTAGAGAATATAACAGTAATGTGGAGATTTATACCTGGAACTGAATGTAATGTAGAGAATATAACAGTAATGTAGAGATTTATACCTGGAACTGAGATAACTGTCAAAAATTAAAATAAAAAAATTCATCTCTCTGTATTGTTTTTTTCTGTGTATTCCCCAATTAACAGTATCCAAAAGGACAAAATGACTAAAATAAATGATCTGGAGTCTATATTTAAGGTGAGTATGTACAAATACATTTCATGATTGATATATCAGTTGTATATTCTTTTGTCTGTGTAGGATGATCATGATAAATTTAAGTTTAATTCACTATTATCAGGGTTTTAGTTAATGAGACTGATTTTTAGTTGAGTCTGTGATAATGGGCAGTAGTTGTCCATCGTATAATAAAATGCTACAATTACTATTTTGATCCTTTTTTCTATTTTTAAATCTATTTGTCAGATAAAGGTGTTTTATCTATTTCATCTGTTTATTGCTAATCAGGATGTGGAGCACAAAATAATCTCTCTGGTGAAAAAAGAGCTGAAGAGGTTCAAGAAACTGCTGAGTGCAGATTACCCAGCATGCTCTGAGAGAGAGGTGGACGATGAAGAGGATCAGCGCAGTTCCAGAGAGGGGGCGCTGAAGATCACACTGAACATGCTGAGGAACATGAAGCAGACAGACCTCGCTAACACACTACAGAGCAGTAAGAGCTGTGGGCGGGGCTTTATTACATCACTGTAACTTTAGAGGAAGAACACTGATCCACACTTAGCACACTTCTCAGAGTAAGAGACCTGATCTAGGCGCAGCTTTTACCCTTCATATACTAATGAAGTCAGTTATATGGATAGAAGGAAGTGATATTATATCAGCACTCTGACCTTAAATACAAATCAAAGAAAGATGGTCACTCTGTTCTGATCAGTGACTGATGGTGATGTTCATAGAACTTTTTTTTTGAATATTTTATTTTATATTCTTAATGTTATGTTTTATTTTTTAATACATTTTCATATTGTTGATGTTCAGATTTACATCCTATACTCATCGGCATTTTACAAATAATATTAAATTTGACTGTGGTGATGAAAATATTTATCATCATATTCTTTTTCTGTTCATTAGAGTTGGTCTTTATGTATCATGAAGAACTAAAATCCAAACTCATGGAGAAATGTAACAAAATTAATGAAGGAATTTCGCAGCATGGAGCACTAATCCTTCTGAAGGAAATATATACCAAGCTCTACATCACAGAGGGAGAGAGTGGAGAGATCAATAATGAACATGAGGTCAGACAGATTGAGACAGCATCCAGGAGACCAGCAACACAGGAGAAACCCATCAAATGCAATGACCTCTTTAAAGACAAATCCATCAGAACTGTGCTGACTAAAGGAGTCGCTGGAATTGGAAAAACTGTCTCTGTGCAGAAGTTTATTCTGGACTGGGCTGAAGGAAAAGCAAATCAGGACGTCCACTTCATATTTCCACTTCCTTTTAGGGAGCTGAACTTGATGAAGGAGAAGAAGCTCAGTCTGATGGAGCTTCTTCATCAATTTTTCCCTGAAATAAAACAAATAGAATCAATAGACAGTAATGCCCATAGAGTCATGTTCATCTTTGATGGTCTGGATGAGTGTCGACTTCCTCTAGATTTCCAGAACAATGAGAGCTTGTGGGATGTAACACATTCAGCCTCAGTGGATGTGCTGCTGACAAACCTCATCAAGGGGAATCTGCTTTCCTCTGCTCTCCTCTGGATAACCTCTCGACCAGTAGCAGCCCATCAGATCCCTCGTGGGTGTGTTGACCTGGTAACAGAGGTACGAGGGTTCAGTGACCCTCAGAAAGAGGAGTACTTCAGGAAGAGAATCAGTGACCAGAGCCTGGCCAATAAAATCATCTCACACATGAAGTCCTCAAGAAGCCTCTACATCATGTGCCACATCCCAGTCTTCTGTTGGATTGCAGCCACTGTTCTAGAGAGAGTGTTGGGTGAAGCAGAGAGTGGAGAGATCCCCAAGACTCTGACTCAAATGTTCTCACACTTCCTGATCTTTCAGATCAAACACAAGGACCAAAAGTACCATGGAAAATGTGACACTGATCCTCGGCAGACTAGAGAGAGGATTCTGGCACTGGGAAAACTGGCTTTCCAACAGCTGGAGAAAGGCAATCTGATCTTCTATGAGGAAGACCTGAGAGAGTGTGGCATTGATGTCAGAGAAGTGTCAGTGTACTCAGGAGTTTGTACCCAGATTTTCAGAGAGGAATTTTGGATGTACCTGGGGAAGGTGTTCAGCTTTGTGCACCTGAGTGTTCAGGAGTTTCTGGCTGCCTTTTACGCATTTCTCTCCTTCATTGGGAGAGATGAAACAAATCAGCTGACCACTGACCTCTCTGGTATTTTCAAAGAGTCCAACTTGTCAGAATTCCTCAAGTGTGCAGTGGACAAGGCCTTACAGAGTGAGAATGGACACCTGGACCTTTTCCTCCGCTTCCTTCTGGGTCTCTCACTGGAGTCCAATCAGACTCTCTTACGAGGCCTACTGACCCAGACAGGAAGCAGCTCTCACAGCAAAGAGGAAACAGTCCAGTACATCAAGGAGAAGATCAGGGAGAATCCTTCTCCAGAGAAATCCATCAATCTGTTCCACTGTCTGAATGAACTGAATGATCATTCTCTACTGCAAGAAGTCCAAACATACCTGAGTAAGAAAGATTACAGTCGTCTCCGTGGACTCAGTCTGTCTCCTGCCCAGTGGTCAGCTTTGGTGTTTGTGTTGCTGAGCTCAGAAGAAAACCTGGACGATTTTGACTTGCGTAAATATGACAGATCTGAGGAATGTCTTTTAAGATTACTGCCAGTCATCAAAGCATCCAGAAGAGCTATGTGAGTATTTTCAGTCATGAATGTGTTACTGTATTATTTCTTATTTACTGCACCGATTAAGAAATGCTTTTCATTAGTTACTCCAATCAGTAACTTCTATTAAACCATTAGTGGTTCAATAGACTAGAATGTATGTGTGTGATATTGTTCTAATTGATCATCATTTCTCTCCCAGATTGTGTAATTGTAATCTCACAGAGAGAAGCTGTGCAGCTCTGTCCTCAGCTATCACCTCAAATTCCTGTCTAAAAGAATTAAACCTCACTAATAATGACCTGCTGCAGGATTCAGGGGTGGAGCTGCTCTCTGCTGGATTGAAGAGTCCTCACTGTAAACTGGAGAGACTGAAGTGAGATTATGAGGTTACTTCTCACTGTGGGGGGGTTGATGGTGGTGGTGGTGGTGGTGGTGGTGTGTGTGTGTGTGATATTGTTTTGATGTATTGTCATTTCTCTTCCAGGCTGTGTGACTGTAATCTCACAGAGAAAAGCTGTGCAGCTCTGGCCTCAGCTCTCAGCTCAAAATATTCAAGTCTGAGAGAACTGAACCTGAGTTACAATGAACTGCTGCAGGATTCAGGAGTGAAGCTGCTCTCTGCTGGACTGGAGAATCCACACTGTCAGCTAGAGATATTGGGGTGAGATCATCACTTTTACACTGTGTGCAGCTGGACTTTGTTTCGGTGGAGGAGAGGGTTGCCTCAATGTGAATTAAAATCACAGAGAGGAAAACTCTGACTGTTGTGTGTGATTAAGCACCAAACAACAGGTTGGAGTATCTGGCCTTCTTGGAGCAAGTTGGCGGGGTTCTGGAAAGGGCTCTGCCTACAGACTCTATAGTCTTGCTGGGAGACTTCAATGCACATATTGGCAATGATTGGGAGACCTGGTGGGAAGAACTGCCTGCCTGATCTAATCTCGAATGGTGAATTCTTATTGGGTTTCTGTGCTAGGCATGGATTATTCATAATGAAAACCAAGTTCAAACACAAGGGTGTTCATAAGTGCACATGGTTCCAGAGCTCCTTGGGTCAGAGGTCAATGATCGACTTTTTTGTCGTTTCATCTGGCTTGGGAACATTCAGGTGAAGAGAGCTGCTAAACTGTCAGCCAATCATCATCTGGTGGTAAGTTGGATCAGATGGCAGGGAAGACTGATGGTCAGACCTGGTAGGCCCAAGCGAATAGTGAGGGTGTGCTGGGAACAACTGTCAGAGGCCCCTGTTCAGACTGATTTTAACTTCCTCCTCTGGGAGAGCTTTTCTCATGTTCCAGAGAAGGTAGGGGACACTGAATCTGAATGGATCCTGTTCAAAACCTCCATTCTGGAAGCTGCCAGGTGTAGCTGTGGTCTGTTGAGGTGGTTCGGGCATCTAATCCGGATGCAGCCAGGATGTCTCCCGGTGGGGGTGTACCAGGCACCGTCTACTGGGACAAGACCCCAGGGTCGTCCTAGGACCTGCTGGAGGAAGTATACCTCCAATTTTATTTTACCATAAGACACACATTCCTACTAGCCAAAGATGATCCTGTAAATGGAATATGGCATCTTCAGCATGAACAGCTCCTTCATTTTTGAATCATGTGCACAAAGTAACTCTCTCAAGAACAATGAAAACTTGACTGTAAAAACATGCCACATAATCATTTTTCCTTTGCTAGCCATGCTGTATTGCACAAGCAGCCATGCACAAAACTAGGGTAGATTTTTTGATGCTTCTCTTTAGAATATATGCATAATACACTTCTGTGGCGTTTTCACTCTAAAAGCTGCACCAAACAAAAGCATCACAGAAACATTTCACTTCACTGACTGTAATCTAAACATCTGTTTTTCTAGTATTGGTTTATGTTCACAAATAAGCTATTGCTGTAATTTCCCATTAATAGTACTAGGTTTCTAAATTGCTGAGTCAGCTTCATCAGAATTCCAAAAGTAGTTTATTCTCACAATGAATTCCTCACAATGTGTGAAACTGGTGTGTGTGTATTGATCTGTAAGTGTGAGGAGTTTTTCTCTTTCTCTGTGCAGGCTGTCTAACTGCAGTATTACAGATGAAGGCTTTGCTGTTCTGGCTTCAGCTCTAAAATCAAACCCCTCCTCTTGCCTGAGAGAGCTGAACCTGTACAATAATAAACCAGGAGAGTCAGGAGTGAAGCTGCTCTCTGATCTACTGGAGGATCCACACTGTAAACTGGAGAAACTATAGTAAGTTACTGGCCTAATGACTCTACACCCACCTAACAACCAATATTCAGGAACTTTCTATTTGTGTACCAATGGATAAAAGCTATCAACAAGATCAAGACAATAGAGAAAATGAAAAATTTGGGAGGAGTACCATGGACTGTTTAACGTGACAGAATGAGCCAGATGCTCGCAGATAAAAAGGAAAAAAAGGCTTCAATGTTAGAATCGTTATCCAAAAACATGATCATAATTTGTGGACGTAATTTAGTCAACAGTTATCCACTAATCATGCCTTTGTGGGGATGGTCAAAAACAATTCAGAATTCCTTCAAAACTGAGGAAACTGTTGGGGCTTGCTTATGGTTCAGCAGTACTCCAGGTTTGACGGTGGTTGGCTAGACCCACACTCGCCATGAGTTGTACCAGCTGGGCTTGTTGCTGTTGTGCCAACGACTCGAGTGAATGAGTAACTCCTGCTAATACCTGCTGATGACAGCCCAATAAGTGGCCCAGCTCAATGAGAGATTTCTGAAAAGCCTCCAGATCCACCGTCTGCATTAGTGGTGAGGTATTCTGTAATGTCACAGATAAAAAAGGAAAAAAAGGCTTTACTGTTAGAATCATTAGGCAAAATCGTGGTAAGTATACATGCACAGGTTACATCTTAAAAAAAGACTAAAAATACAAAAACACAAAACATAACACCAGGCAAACAGTCCAAAATACGGGTCAGGCAAAAAGGCAAAGTCAGTTTACAGAATGTCAGTCAGAACTGGGAGATCACAACACAGGTATGAACCACTCAGTAGTTCTAGGAAAGAAGCAGTACCTCGCAAGGAGCTGAACTAAAAGCCCAGGCCTTATACTAAAGGACAACAGGTGAAATAAATAAGTATTCAGGAGACAGGAGCAGTGATTGGAGCATGATAGGTGGGTCAGGAGTCATGTGATCCCCCAGAGGGTTCTGGGAGAGGAAGTCTATGGAGGCCTCTGAGCTAGAGGGATGCGTGACAAACTGCAAGCGCACATTGCAGCATCATGGAACATTCTGTGCTGCATTTTCTCACATTATTCCTCTGATCTTGAAAGTGAAATTGTGATTAATTTTATGGCAAAAATTCTTTCTGCAGTTCTTCAAGGCTTTATCTAAAACTAGCTGATGCTGCCATTGTTGATGAAAGCTTTCCAACAACATGCTATTGAGACACTAAAGCAAATTTATGGCTGATTTTAGAAAGTAGAGAAAATTGAATGCAAAATTGTCAATCACCAGTTCTTTTGTAAATCAAGTGGCATACATACTCAGCCACACTTTTAATATCTCTCCCCTTTTTATGAGCAGTTCTCCTATGTTTTCCATGTTGCTTCTTCAAATGTATTTGCATACTGGAAAGAAGCATATTCTGCATTTTTCACTGCACATCTCATATACCTTAGGGTCGCATATCAGTGTGACACAAAAAGTGAAAGGTGCATAACACAAAAGGCAAAGCTTGCATTATGGTGTTGAATCCTGTACAGTATTTATATTTGTGTGCCAGTTAGAGGAAAGAGACAGATGGATATACGTTTTTTATTAGGATCACTCTAGCAGTTATGATCACAGTTTATATTGGGGGTTGAAGAACAGGCAAAATTGGTGTTAGGCAAATCCAAATCAAATCAAACAACAAGTCACTTTCGTTGGGAATCTTCTTCTGTGCTGCTAAATGAGAGTTCAGGAGACCCAGGGTTGCAGAAATGATGTCTTTATTCAAAGAGAGCACTCTGTCCATCTACAGAAAACCCCATCTGAACAACAGGTCTGCATGCAGGGTTTTAAAATATTTGCCCTGTAGCTGTTGGATGTGCATCTGTTATGTTTTATATCACGGCAATAACTATTCTATTGTAATGCAGACAAGTGACTGTTTGTGCATGTACTAAGGACAGTAAACATTAGTTGGAAACCTATCAAAGTAGCTGTTTGTGTCATTACTAGGAACAAAAACACCCAGGAAACACCTATGCAAAGTAGACATCTGCTAGCCAAGTGATCAGGGAGCGCTCTGCAGTTTCAAATTAGGAAGAAGCAACTTAAATAGACATTAAATAAACAAAACAAAGACAATTTATACACAAGATATATTGAAGAAGAACAAGGACTACTGTTGAATAATTTCTACAATTTCTTTTCTGAAGAAAGGTCAACAATGCTGTTCATTTGCTACAGCTCTGCATTCAACATTGTTATCAGATCCAAGCTCACTGAATGGCTCCAGACCCGTGGACTGACACCCTCCTTGTGTAACTGGGTGCTGGATTTCCTGATGGGCAGACACCAGTCTGTCAGAATTGGGAAGTACACCTCTAGAACATGTAATAAACACAGGGAGCCCCCCAGGAGTGCACACTGAGTCCAATGCTGTTCACCCATGACTGTGTTGCCTTCCACAGTAACACCACCACCATCAAAATTGCTGATGATACCACTGTAATGGGGCTGATTGCTGGGGATGATGAGACTATATAGGGCAGAGGTGGCAAAATACTGGCATTTCAGCCAGAACTCTAAGAAATTTCTATAGGTGCAGCATAGAGAGTATTCTAACCAGTTCCATCACAGTCTGGTTTGGAAACTTCTCAGAAGAGTTTTTGCTCTTAAACTGAACACTTCACATCTTCTGTTGTCCCAGAACCCCCTCACACCCACGCCTTTTACCCCTCTCCCACTAAATGGCTGCTAGAAATTGATATAGATTTATTTGCCTCCTGTAATGAGTATGGCTACCACAGCGTAAGTCTTTGTACATGTTCCAGCCAGCATACACCATGGCATGTAGACCCTCTGCTGCCCAGAACAATATAAATCAATACATTGGTCTAAATATATTTTCAAAGTAAACCAATGACATAAGAGATAAGTTCACGAAAATAATACAATTACCTTTACAAATGACCATGATCGTATAGTGGTGAAAGTGCTTGTGTTTTCATACTATGTTCAGTTTTTAAATTTATACACGTCTGCATTTTACATTTTTATTCAGGGTCAATTGTTAAAGTGTCAATATGGATTATATTTTACAGCTACATCATCCTTTAACATAAACCAAAAGTAAAATATGAAATACTGCCATCTGGTGGCGAACACAAAATATGGCATCCAGACCACATGGTACCGCTAAGGATAAGCTAGCTAAACCAGCTAGCATTGCTGTGCTCATTAATGTTGTTCTTAATAAACATTAAATATGAATGGAACACACCTGTAATGAGTATGGCAACCGCAGAGTAAGTCTTTGTACTTGCTTCGGCCAGCATATAAATAAAGAAACAGGCTAATGTCAGCATTTTTCAGGTTTAGCTTCGAACTCTTTAAATAATGTGTTTTGAAAAAGCCCAGCTGGGTATATTGGTCACATGTTTTATATATATATATATATATATATATATATATATATATATATATATATATATATATATATATATGTATATATACAAAAGTGGAATATCACAACCCTTTACTGCTGGGGCCGCATCAGTTGTAATACGCTGACCAACCGGCAGGTGGTCCCATTTAGCAGAAATTACACACATAACATTTATACAACCGTTGTACACCGTCATATATGTATGTGACAATAAACTCTTGAAATTTGAAAACTGAACCTTAAGTGTGTAGTAAGGCTGTTTCTGCTGATTATGTTCTTGAGTGGAGTCTGATATCTGACTGGTTTGAGTTCATGTCTGATGATTCTCTCCTCTTCTCTGTCATACAGCATCTGAACACCACCCAGCTGATCTGCTCTCACACCCAGAGGGCTATGAGGAGAGGATGAATTCTTAGTACAAACACACACACTCAGTATATGGTTCTACATGGTACCGTGTGTGTTTGGATTCCTGCCTGTCAAATCTGTGAATTCAACTGTGATCAAGTCATAACATCACTTTCTGTACATCAGTGGCTGCAACTCCAGCTATTCGTCTGTCAAATAATTCATGTTGGTGGAGGATGACCCCACACCGGGGACAGAATTAATAAGTTTGGCTATTTTAATGTATCACTTTCTATGTGACAGGACTGTGTATTTTTTCATAGTACATTTATATATATATATATATAAATTCAGTTGCGCACATACTGCATACTGCACTTGCATTCTGTTTTTATATCTATCATGTCAATGGTTCTGAATTCTGTTTTAATGAATGTTTTTTACAAAAATCTGAAAGATCAGAAAGAAATCTGTGATATTTATGTTTTAGTGATATTTATACAAATGTACATTTATTTAAATGTATAAACTGTATACATGTTTTGAGGGAAAAATTGCTTTTTACCTTTCACAATCTTTCATGACTTTGGCTAGCAAAATACATAAAAACATGGAGAGGCATCTTTCGGTTCTTATGCTTCTGAACTGTGGGGCTCAGTTCCACCTTCTATTAGACAGTCAAGCTCAATTCAGACATTTAAGAAACACTTGAAAAAGTATCTCTTTAATTCAGTGTTGGATTTAAATTCTACGTCTCTTCTGTATTTCTTTTTAACTTGACCTTTTGTTGTTGTGTCTATTACTCTAAAACATTATTACCTGTCTGTAAACCACTTTGAGCTGCCACCAGAATGAAAAGTGTTCTATAAATAAAGATATTATTATCACCATTATTATTACCATGAGCCTTAAATGCCTCACTGGTCATGTCAACATGAGCCTTATGCTCATTCAATCATGGCAACATGCAATGAACTTTGTCCCTCCCTTGTTAACCTTTTAAATTAATTCAAGTCTATTTTATAAAGATGGTCAGTTGGTCATTGAGACTCATTCATAGGTCCTCAAAATGTTAATCTTAATCAGACTTTGTGGACAAGGCTTTGGAATCAGGGAACACCAAAGCTGCTGAGTGATCTATCACAGCAGGACTAAATTTTTATGATGGGATACACACAAAAAAATAAAAGAGGAGGACCATGAACTGGAATCCAAATAGAAAGATGCTAAAACTTAATAGAAAAAAGATGCTTTTTATGATTACAGGAACATGAAAAGGAGGATGGAGAAACTGGAAAAATATACAATATAAACACTAAAAGGGAGCAGCAAGAGAAAACTGTGCTATGCCAATTTGCAGGACCAAGACACAAATAACAATTTCAGATGATCTCTAACAGAAAACAAACATGTTGACCAGTAAGTATTTTTCATTTGCACTTCATTTCCACCATGAGCTAAAAATGGTGGAGCTCCAGGCCAAGGAAATGCAGTATTATGTAGACCAACACTGGACTTATGTAATGAATGATTATGATCCAAGAAACTGTTGGTAGAACATCAGGAACATCACTGAGAATTTTAATTAATAATAATAACAAGGATAAGTTATATGACATGACCATAAGACAGTTCTGAAAGCCCATTGATGTTATTTAGCTGTAAATAAAGAATCTGTTCTTATCTGCATTATGTGAAGTGTTAGCTGGTAGTATTAGCTATTAAAATTCAATAATGCTAATAAAAATAATAAATATCATAAATAGATAGGACAAATAAGCAAAAGTCAAAAATGCCCCCATGATCTAAAACCACAGGAACACTACTGTACTATGACATGACTATAACAAGTTCACAGTGAAATTCTGAAAATTGCTACAGGACTCTACACATTTATTATAGAGTACTATAATAATCTGATTTATTCACTTTGCTATAAAACTATGTAATAATAATAATAATCAGGTTCACTCATAAGATGGTAATAGGCTCTGAATTATATGATGTAATGAAATATTGTTATATTTGCATTGTATGAAAGGTTAAGCAGGGTTTGCAGGTAGTATTAGCCAGTTATGCTAACAGCAGGTGTGGGTTTCTATAGAAACAGTAATCACATTTTTACAGTCTGTAACAGTTTTCAGTGTTTTCAGCAAAGTGATAACGCATCCAGTAGATGTTCTTAAAGAAAACCTCAAATGTTCTGTCAGCAGAGCTTTAATAAAACTGACTCAGCCTGTCTTAGTGAGCCAAATGTTGGACACGCCCACTTCTCTCTTCTCCAGAGTTGTGTGATGGTCTTAAAGGGCTCTGTTCAAATCAACAGGAAAAAATGTGCTTACCGTGAACATTATGCTGCTTACTAAAGCTTCTATAGACACTTCTATAGTCCACTCTGGACTTCAGCACCTCTGGACTGTGGAGGATTAATTCAGTCATTCTCTCATGAAGGAACGTCAGCAGACAGAAGGGAAAGGTTTAGCTTTTTTTAGACTTAAGACCAGTTTACAATCTATTTACAGCACATTTGTATTGGATACCACGCTTTCTGAAACTGTTGATAGTATTTCAGGTATAAGAGCACCAGAGAGTACAAAGAATATCTCATATATCATTGTGGCTTTTTTACATTAGCATGTATGTTGCAGCATTAAACTACATCACCTACAAACTCTAACAGTACACAGAGTGAACAGAAGGGGGCAGGATAGTGCTCTTAAGTTTAAACTATATTACTTAAGAACTCATCCTTAAGACTAGTTTATCAACAGTACAAAAACACTAAACAACACTGTGCTTTTTTATCTAGGAAAATAAAAAGTTAAATAAAAGAAAATGTGTTTTCAAGGATCATCTGAATGCACCACGTCAACGCCCCTCCTCCACAGGAAACTAAACTAGTTCAAACTGATATCAGTGGAAGTGCAGCTCAGCAGCTCCGTTTTGGGAAGAGAGGAATAGAAAGCAGTTTACGAGATAAACACAGTGAGTATGTAGATTATGACTGATTTTATTCTGCAGTAGATAAAGATCAGTTCAGTAGATTTTTACTGAAGTCTTAACTAACAGAATTGACTCTCTGACCTGATGACTTTAATATTTCTCTGTAGGTGAACAGCCTGATGAGGCAGGGCTGAATCTGAGACAGTGATTTTGGAGTGAAGTCACTGTGTGTCCTGCTCTGTTTCTCTGTGTGTGTCTGTTTGCAGGGATCCAGCTGTGACCTGTAGGAGACATGAGCTCCAAAATGAGCTCCTCTGGAGAAGAACAGCACACAGAGAGAGACCAGAGGTGAGAGAATAGTGTGACGCTGTGAAGTGCTGTTGTTTAAAGTGTATATATTCTAGATTTTACTTATGTATATACAGACATTAGAATTGTCTGTGACTGTGTGTACATGAAGTGTGACCAGTCGAAGGACAAGCCAGTATAATTTATAGAGGGAGATGTTTTATCAAGCTTAGGTGAAAGTGTAAACACTGTACGTTTCTCAGATATCAATTGAACCTTAAAGCTAATACAACTAAATGTGGCACAGCAGTACAGGACACAGTAAAAAACATGTCTTTGTAGTGTTTGTGAGAAAAGCAACGCATGAAAACTCTGAGTGTCTTTCATTTTCTCTTCCAACCACACAAGAGTGCACTCCTTTTTTTGTCATTAATCAGGCAACACAGCATAAATTTAAAAGAACAGCACTTGGCTAGGCCTGAATTTTACAATAATGCTCATGTTTTTCTCACTACATTTTTTCATTCTTATTCTTTAACAGTGGCCTTATTATGTATTTCACAATCTCACACTTTAGGTGATGTTTCAAATTTGAAACTTTACACTATACAGATACATTATATGGCTGAATGTATGTGGACCCAATTCCTCATTGTTGGGTTCAGGTGTTTCATTGTGTAAATTCAGGTGTTTCAACAGGTGTGTAAAATTAAGGACATAGCCATGCAGTCTCCATAGACACACACTGACAGTAGAACAGATCGTACTGATGAGCTCAGTGACTTTATACTTGGCACTGGCATAGAATGCTGCCTCTGCCACAAGTCAGAAATTTCTGCCATGGTAGATCTGCCCCTGTCAACTGTAAGTGCTATTATTGTGAAATGAAGCAGCAACAGCTCAGTCACAAAGCGGTAGACCATGACAACAGAGCAGGGCCAACAACTGCTGAAGCAAGTAGTGCAAAAAAATTGTCTTCTGTACATCACTCACTGCAAAGCTCCAAACTGAAATGAAAATATTAATAAAAAATAAACATCATGTCAATATAACATCATGTTAAATGTTTAATAGTGGTTTGTATAACTAGATAAGCAGACACTTAATACTATAATAAATAGCATGTTTTTATATTTTGTTAGATATTATGATACATATGTATTTTGTAGCATTTATGGGCATAACAATATATTTTCTTCAATGGTGTGTCTTAGTGTGATTCAGAGAGAGAGATCAGCCTCACCTGAAACCAGCTGTGTGTCCATGAAGAGTGACCAGTCAATGGACCCTCCAATGCACTTCAGAGAGAGAGACAGTTTTTCTGATGTGAGGTAAGGACAGTGTGATGGTTTAGGACCGTGTTCCTCATAATCAGTACCACCTGAACAAACTACAGTTCTAGCACAGTGTCAGCAGCAACATTTTCAACAAAATCATTACTTTTGTTTCTGTCAGTTGTTTGTAATGTTTGTCTTAGTTTATTTTCCAAAATAAAAGACTGTGTGCATTAAAAATTTGTTTAAGAAGATTAAAAATTAGTTAAACCCTGCATGCAAGACAATAATCTTGGTGGTCCAAGGGTGTACCAGTGGTGGCATACAGTCAGCAGGGTGCCGACCTTATCAAGCCAGTGAACTGACATATGTATGCTATCTGGGTACTGCCAGCCAGATTATGTCTTTTTTAGGGAAGGCCTTGATTATTTCAGCAAGACAATGACAAACAACATTCTGCATGTATTACAACAGTGTGGCTCTGTAGTAAAGAGTCTGGGTGCTAAACTGTCCTGCCTACTGTCCAGACCTGTAAACATTTGGAGGGTTATGAAATGAAAAATACGACAAAGGAGACCCCGAAATGTTGAGCAAGTGAAATTTTATACCAAGCAATAATGGGAAAACATTTCACCTTCAAAACTACAACAGAAGGTCTCCTCAGGTTCCAAACACGTACAGAGTGTTGTTAAAAGAAAAGGTGATGCAGCACAGTGGTAAGCATGCCCCTGTGCCAGCTTTTTAGAAGCATGTTGCTGGCATCAAATTCAAAACATTTCAACATATGATATGTTATTATTTGTACATCATTGCATTCTATTCAGTAGGTTAATCTTGGTTTGACTTGTGGACAATAGCAACCACTGCTAGTGGCATATTAACACTCACTAACCAGGCAGAGAAAAATCCTGTCCAAAGTAATTTCCCTGTGGAAGTGATTCTTGACTGACTAGGAGAATTTATGACTGGCACAAGCACCAATATTAGTGACACTGTGATTGAAGGCTTGCAGGACTGTCGGAGGAACAGTAGTCCTGATTTTAACACTGCCCAGGACTTGTCAATGCCTACTCTGCTTTAACACACCCGTTACAGATAGTCAGTGGCTGTTAACAAGCTGCTGTTTTGTGTGGTAGTGATTCCTGACTGACTAGGAGAGTTTTTGACTGCTACAAGCACCAATGTTAGTGAAATGGTGACTGATGTTGCGTCCTATTCAGTTCCCCCTCAAATTCATGTTCCCCTTCACTAATCAAGTCTCCAGGAGCTGCATTTATTGAGCATAAAACAGCAGCAAAGAACACTGCAACTATGGAAAGTGAAAAGATATGGGAAAGGTATGAATCTTTGCTTTGGTGCTAATTAGATTACTAATCTGAGGCATAAAGCATTTTGACCCATTATGCTTCCCTGAGCTGGAGGAGTCTGAGCTGCTGGAGAGGAAAACAGTAATGTAGAGATTTATACCTGGAACTGAGTGTAATGTAGAGAATATAACAGTAATGTGGAGATTTATACCTGGAACTGAGTGTAATGTAGAGAATATAACAGTAATGTGGAGATTTATACCTGGAACTGAGTGTAATGTAGAGAATATAACAGTAATGTGGAGATTTATACCTGGAACTGAGTGTAATGTAGAGAATATAACAGTAATGTGGAGATTTATACCTGGAACTGAGTGTAATGTAGAGAATATAACAGTAATGTGCAGATTTATACCTGGAACTGAGTGTAATGTAGAGAATATAACAGTAATGTGGAGATTTATACCTGGAACTGAGTGTAATGTAGAGAATATAACAGTAATGTGGAGATTTATACCTGGAACTGAGTGTAATGTAGAGAATATAACAGTAATGTGGAGATTTATACCTGGAACTGAGTGTAATGTAGAGTATATAACAGTAATGTGCAGTTCCATTCATTCATTATTGTTACATATTTCTTTGATCTCTCGATATTGTTTTTTCTGTATATTCCCCAATTAACAGTGCTCCAAAGGATAAAATGGTGAACATAAATCACCTCGAGTCCATTTTTAAGGTGAGTGTGTACAATACACCATGATGAAACCTTTAATTTCACTCTTCTTCATGTCTCAGTCTTATGTTGTTTGTCTCATAGACCATAATAAGTTCAATCCACAACTATCAGGTTTTAGTTAACGAGATTGATCTGTGGTTGAATTATTAATAATGGATAGTAATTCTCAATCTTATAATCAAATCATGATATCAACTCTCTGTAAGATAACAGTGTTTTTATGATTTCCTTTTTACTGTTTATTGCTAATCAGGATGTGGAGCACAAAATAAACTCTCTGGTGAAGAAAGAGCTGAAGAGGTTCAAGAAGCTGCTGAGTGCAGATTACCCAGCATGCTCTGAGAGAGAGGTGGAGGATGAGGAGGATCAGAGCAGTTCCAGAGAGGGGGTGCTGAAGATCACACTGAACATGCTGAGGAACATGAAGCAGACAGACCTCGCTAACATACTACAGAGCAGTAAGAGCTGTGGGCGGGGCTTTATTACATCACTGTAACTTTAGAGGAAGAACACTGATCCACACTTAGCACACTTCTCAGAGTAAGAGAGCTGATCTAGAACCAGTTTTTACCTTTCACATCCTAATGAATGCAGTTATATGGACAGGAGCGAGCTGATTTTCGATAATGTGTAACATGACATAATGAGTCAGATGCTCATGGATAAAAAGGGAAAAAAAGCTTCACTGGTTGAGTCGTGAGCCAAAATCGTTGTCAGAAAACAGGCACAGATCAAATCCAAAAATGACAAATGTACAAAGAAACAAACATAACATCAGGCAAAAACAGTCCAAAAGAGTCAGTTAAAAATGGCAAAAAAAGTCAAAAATACAGAAAAGCAGTCAGAACCAGAAACAACAATACAGGAATAAATGCTCAGTAGCTCTTAGAAAGCCACAATACCTTGTAATGAACTAGACTAAAAGCCCAGGTTATACTAACATTAACTGGGCATGTGATAACAGCAACAGGTGAAACGGATCAGTATTTGGGAGAAAGAGATCAGTGATTCGAGTGCGGCGGAGGGACAGGAGTAATGTGATCCCCAGAGGATTCGGGGAGATGGATTCCTTGGAGGCCTCAGAGCCAGAGGGATGCGTGCCAATATTACTGTGACATGTTAAATAGAATCAAGATGGTCTTTCTGTACAGATCAGTGACTGATGGTGATGTTCACAGAACTTTAGATTTTTAAATAAATATTCATATTTTTATTATAGGATGTAAATTTAGAATGCACTGGTGCTTTAAGAATAATTTTAAATTTGACATTAGGTAAGTGCTCATAGAACAAAATATTTATCATTACATTCTTCTTTTGTTGATTAGAGATGGTCTCTGCATATCAGAAAAAACTGAAAGCAAAACTCACAGAGAAATTCAACAGAATTAATGAAGGAATCTCACAGCATGAAACACCAACTCTTCTGAATGAGATCTACACAGAGCTCTACATCACAGAGGGAGAGAGTGGAGAGATCAATAATGAACACGAGGTCAGACAGATTGAGGCAGCATCCAGGAGACCAGCAACAGAGGAGAAACCCATAAAATACAATGACCTCTTTAAGGACAGACCCATCAGAACTGTGCTGACTAAAGGAGTTGCTGGAATTGGAAAAACAGTCTCTGTGCAGAAGTTCATTCTGGACTGGGCTGAAGGAAAAGCAAATCAGGACGTCCTCTTCATATTTCCACTTCCTTTGAGGGAGCTCAATTTAATGAAGGAGAAAATACTCAGTCTGATGGAGCTTCTTCATCAATTTTTCCCTGAAATAAAAGAATTAAGATCCATAGACTGTGATGCCCACAGAGTGATGTTCATCTTTGATGGTCTGGATGAGTGTCGACTTCCTCTAGATTTCCAGAACAATGAGAGCTTGTGGGATGTAACAGATTCAGCCTCAGTGGATGTCCTACTGACAAACCTCATCAAGGGGAATCTGCTTCCCTCTGCTCTTCTCTGGATAACCTCTCGACCAGCAGCAGCCCATCAGATCCCTCCTGAGTGTGTTGACCTGGTAACAGAGATACGAGGGTTTAGTGACCCTCAGAAAGAGGAGTACTTCAGGAAGAGAATCAGTGACCAGAGCCTGGCCATTAAAATCATCTCACACATTAAGTCCTCAAGAAGCCTCTACATCATGTGCCACATCCCAGTCTTCTGTTGGATTGCAGCCACTGTTCTAGAGAGAGTGTTGGGTGAAGCAGAGAGTGGAGAGATCCCTAAAACTCTGACTCAAATGTTCTCACACTTCCTGATCTTTCAGATCAAACACAAGGACCAAAAGTACCATGGGAAATGTGACACTGATCTTCAGCAAACTAGAGAGTGTGTTCTGGTACTGGGAAAACTGGCTTTTCAACAGCTGGAAAAGGGCAATCTGATCTTCTATGAGGAAGACCTGAGAGAGTATGGCATTGATGTCAGAGAAGTGTCAGTGTGCTCAGGAGTTTGTACTCAGATCTTCAGGGCAGAGTTTAAGCTGCACCTGGGGAAGGTGTTCAGCTTTGTGCACCTGAGTTTTCAGGAGTTTCTGGCTGCTTTATATGCATTTCTCTCCTTTAACAGCAGAGATGGAACAAAACAGTTGACCACTGATCTCTCTGGTATTTTCAGAAAGTCCAAATTATCAAACTTCCTCAAGTCTACAGTCGACAAGGCCTTACAGAGTGAGAATGGACACCTGGATCTTTTCCTCCGCTTCCTACTGGGCCTCTCACTGGAGTCCAATCAGACTCTCTTACGAGGCCTACTGACACAGACAGGAAGCAGCTCTCACAGCAAAGAGGAAATAGTCCAGTACATCAAGGAGAAGATCAGGGAGAATCCCTCTCCAGAGAAATCCATCAATCTGTTCCACTGCCTGAATGAACTCAACGATCATTCTCTAGAACAAGAAGTCCAAACATATGTGAACAGTAAATATTACAGTCATCTCAGAGCCAAGCTCTCTCCTGCCCAGTGGTCAGCTTTGGTGTTTGTGTTGCTGAATTCAGAAGAGCAGCTGGATGAGTTTGACCTGGATGATTATGACCCATCAGAGGAATGTCTTTTGAGGCTGCTGCCAGTGATCAAAGCATCCAGAAGAGCTAAGTAAGTATTTCACTTACAAATGTGTTACTGAACAGTTTATTCATGTAATGTAACACTGGGTGACTAGTGAATGCGTGTGATTGTGTGCATTTGTAAATCTATGTGTTAATGTGTGTGTTTGAACATGTGTGTAAATTCATGTATGTGTATTGGCGAGCATTTGTATGTGTAAGAGTCTGTATTTGTGTATGCCTGTGTCAGTCTTTGTGTTATTGCATGTGTTTACAGTGCATTTAGTGTGTGAGGATGTTTTATTGTGTATATGTGTGTGTGTGTGTTTGTGAGCATGTGTGTGTATGTTTGTGTGTGTGAGATGTCAGTTTTCTAATGTATCACTATTTCTCTCCTAGGCTCTGTAACTTTAATCTCACAGACAAAAGCTGTGCAGCTCTTGCCTCAGCTCTCAGCTCAAACTCCTCAAGCTTAAGAGAACTGAAACTGAGTAACAATAGCCTGCAGGATTCAGGAGTGGAGCTGCTCTCTGCTGGACTGAAGAATCCACACTGTAAACTGGAGACACTGGAGTAAGATCATCACTTTATCACTATTTGTGTGTTTGTGTTGATCTGTAAGTGTGAGGAGTTTTTTCTCGTTCTCTCTACAGGTTGTGTATCTGCAGTATTACACATAAAGGATTTGGTGCTCTGGCTACAGCTCTAAAATCAAACCCCTCCTCTCACCTGAGAGAACTGAACCTGAACTCCAATAAACCAGGAAAGCCAGGAGTGAAGCTGCTCTCTGAAGTACTGGAGGATCCACACTGTAAACTGGAGAAACTACAGTGAGTTACTGTCTACACACACACGCAAACAGTGTACACACACAATATGGCTAAATGTATTGGGACACACCTCTCAACAACTGAATTCATGTTTTTCGTTCAGTCTCATGTGTATAAAATGAAGCATCTAGCCATGCAGTCTGCCTTTACACACATCTGTGAACGAATGGGTCATTCTAAAGAGCTCACTGAATTTGAGCGAGATACTGTAGTAGGATGCCATTACTGCAGTGTTTCATTGTTGTCAGTTTGCAAAATTCTTTCCCTCCTAGATATTCTACTATCAACTGTGAGTGGTATTATTAAAAAGTGGAAATATAAAGTAAAGTTGCAGAGCAGGGTCACAGAGTGCTGAGGTGCATAGTGTATAAAAGTTGCCAACACTCTGCTACTCAATAACTGCAGAGTTTCAAACCTCATCTGGCTTTACCATCAGCACAAAAACTGAGCACTGGGAGCTTCATGGCATGATTTTCTATGACTGAGTAGCTGCCTTACATCACAAAGCACAATACCAAGCGTTGGATGGAGTGGTGTAAAGCGCTGCCACTGGACTCTGGAGCAGTCAAAATTTATTCTGTGGAGTGAGGAATCAGCTTCTATATGTCAGTCTGATGGACGAGTCTGGGTTTGCCGAATGCCTGGAGAACGTTACCTGCCTGGCTGCATTGTGCCAGCTGTAAAGTTTGGTGGAGGGGGGATAATGCTATTGGGTTGTTTTTCGGGGTTTGGACCCCTTAGTTCCACTGAAGGGAAATCTTAAAGCTTCAGCAGACCAAGACAATTGTACACTTCCACGTTTGTGGGAACAGTTTGGGGAAGAACCTTTCTTGTTCCAGCATGACTGAGCCCCAGTGCACAAAGCAGCTCCATAAAGTCATGGCTGGGTGAGTTTGATGTGGAAGAACTTGACTGGCCCACACAGAGCCCTGACCTTAATTCTATCCAACACATTTGGGATGAGCTAGAATGGAGATTGTGAGCCAGAACCTCTCGTTCAACATCAGTGTCTGACCTCACAAACGGTCTTCTGGACGAATGGGCAGAAATTCCCACAGACTCTCTCCAACATCTTGTAGAAGCTTCCCAGAAGAGTGGAAGCTGTTAGAGCTGCAAAGTGGGACCAACTCCATATTAATGCCAGTGGATTTAGAATGGGAGTCATAAAAGCTCCTGTAGATGTAATGTGTAGTAGTGGTACCCACGCCTCCTTGTACAGTCATTATTGCACTGCCTTTTTCATCTCAGGTTATAGATCGTATTGCAGATTTTTGTATATTTCTATTTGTGTACTTGCCTGTAGATAGTTTTTTTTAATATTTATTCTTCCTTTTATTTTGTTTCACCCTTATTATTATTACTGTCCTGTGTTGTGTGACTGATACTGGCTGCTAAATTTCCTTCGGGATCAATAAAGTTTCTATCTATCTATGTATTTATCTATCTAGTAGTAGTTTTTTCATGGAAGTCCATGACGTGACAGGACATGTTCTAGGTGTGCTGGTGTTGAATGACCCATCAGTGTGAGTTCATGTCTGATGATTCTCTCCTCTTCTCTGTCTTACAGCATCAGAACACCTTACAGCTGGTCTGCTTTTACACACAGAGAGTTATATGGAGAGGATGAAGTCTTAGTACAAACACACACTCGCTCAGTATATGATTCTATATGGTACCGTGTGTGTGTGTCCGGGTTATTATGGGTCAAATCTGTGAACACGGCTGCAACGCTAGGCTGTGTCATCTCACCATAACATCACTTCCTGTACACCAGTGACTCCAGTGGCCCATCCATCAAACCCCTCATGCTAGTGGACGACCCCACATTGGTGATCAGAGTGTGTTCAGGAGGCACCGGGCATAATGGCAAAAATATGAGCTTGACAGTTAGAGGTTCATAAATATTATATTGATATTGTTATGCTGTTCTGTTGGATGAACTTAATGAGCTGAATGGAACCAGTGCCACTGGGCTGAGGTGCAAGAGTTCATCTTTATATCAGTGAACTGATCCCAGTCTACATCACAACAGCTCTAACTCTGGAACTCTCACCCACTCTCTACACACACATTGTGTCTCAATTACATATCATTCACATATGGAAGATAGAGCTGTGGGTGCCCCTCCCCCACCTTTCTTTCTATTTATGCATTTAACTCTATTAACCGATATATTATTGTGTTTAGTTATTTCATTGTTACCGTTTGAGGTTTTTTGTTGTCTTAGTTAAGCTTCTCTGTGTGATGTAGTGTGTTTATGCAGATGTGTCAATATTTCTGTTTCAACAATCACTGTTATTGATTTCCTTCATTATTTTCATTTTTTTTTCTGCTTATGTAAAGATAAGTTCCACCCCTTTACTGATTTTCTCTGTTAATCGTACTGATTAGTCCTATTTAGTGCTGATATGATGGAGAAGTTTCTTATCCTTCTTATTTATTTAAAAAATAAATTAATTTGTTTTAAAGTAATGTTAAACACTTCACAATAGCATACTTTGCTTTCATAGACTGACAGGTGCTTAATAAGGAAAATGATTAGATGTAAATAAACAGAAAAAACTCTGCAATACTGGAACGTCATTAACTTCACTTTTCATAAACACAGATCTGTTTTTGTTTCAGCTCAAACAGCACAGTAAAAAAGAAAAAAGCATAGCATTCACTCATTCTGATTTACTTGCATGCAATATGTTTACACTTTATTTGAAATAATCAATAACAGTATGATAGAACAAGCAGTGTTTGTGTATTTGATGTGATTTGTATGAATATCTTGTACATAAATATCTTCGTATTTGAAAGAGCCTGACTATCAGTGTATTAGGAGTGTTCTCCTTGCTCGAACAGGCTAAACCTGCTCACCTTCAGCCACCTGCACACCTGAACAGGTAGCTAATGGACAGATTCCTGTATTGTGACTGTTATCCTGCTTTAGAGGAACCATTTATTTACTTTAATATCTGATTCATGACTAAATTTACAGTTTAAATTAAGTATATATACAGTCATTATGTCAGTTGGTCCTTCTTGTCAAGGTAGGTGGTCCCTGGCCATGTTCAGTGAGGAAACCCACAAAAACCCAAAGTTAGCCCAGTGACACTGCCTCAGCAGGGACTCAGCAACAACTGCTTTTTTTTCTGCTGAGCACAATATCTATGTCTGAACATGGAGCAGTGTTAGTGTAAAATGTGGTTACATAACGAATATTCAGTCCGTTATGGGTGTCCATCCCTAATTTGGAGTAGACTCTTTTAAAGCACACTGATAAGGTGATCAGTGAACAGGCTGCAAAACACTCTTACCTACTGTGGGTGGGGCTAGTCTCCTACCTGAGTAAGGGACTGTCTCTGATCTGGGAGCAGATGCTGGTTTAAGAGGAAAAGCTGCACTGTCCTCAGGTCAGTAGTTGTAGGTTATTTCCACCAGTTGTGAATATTGTGAGTGTACCTGTATCAGTCTCTCTACATTCATTAACACAGTCTTATCCAGGACTGGGAGAGAGGCAGCAGGATAGAGTACAGTAAACATATCTGTGTGTCATTCACTCCAACAGGCTCAGAGCTGTACCAGGTTCAGCTGGAAGAGTTCATTTAGCACTGCTGTGAGTAAACCTATGTAATTAAACCTGATTGTAGAGACTCCACCTTCAGCAAAATCATGAGATAAACTAAGCAGGTTCAAACTTGTTCAGAACAGAGTGAGAGAGACTCTGAGCAGTTTCTAACAGCTTTTAACAAAAGTGTTAGCAGGGAATAAATGAAGAATATTATCAGTCTATGATGAGACTAAATTAAAAAATAGAAAACTGAATTATTAGTCAGTGGAGACAGACAGCAAAATAATAAATCCACTAAGCTTCCACTGTCTTATGATACAATGTCATTTAAATATTATAATAATTCTGTAGCATTCCTTTAATTTGAGAGTTCATGTTTTAGCCATATCCATGCAAGAATACTTTCTGCTTTTAACTTTTACCCTGCACTCCTATTTGTGCTCTATGTAGTTCATTTGTTTACTTTCTTTTTAGATCAGACTGAGGTGTGGCACAGGGAAACATCTGCATCGGCTCAGAAACCACCGAAATTCACAGCATATACTAAACCACAAAACAAGACCAAACATGGCATGGAAATACACTGAAATACCCAGATAATAGCTTCAGTTTTAAAAGCTCTGACATGATCACCACATGCCACTCAACCTCAGCTGTTAGTGTGTGATTCACTTGGTGACACCACAAAGTTTTCAGGGATGGAACAATATCATTGCAGTCAATGTAAACTCTAAACACTGCTCCAGTCCCAGATCACTGTAATCGCTGCAGCACCACAGAATTGGCTTTCTGATCAGTGGCTGTATGTGGACACAGTTCACACAAAATCGAGCATTCATTTTGAAGAATGAACATTAGTTATTGACAGCCTTTTGCCAGCTAGTTTATATTACTTCATCTCAAAAAAAAGGTCCTGAATTGTCACTGTCATTGTCAACTTCAGTACTTTTACTTAGGGAACATAAGTGTACCACATTTGGTAAAGTTTCACTGATCATATTCATCCATCCATCCATCATCTAAACCGCTTATCCTTCTGGGTCGCGGTGAGGTGCTGGAGCCTATCCCAGCTGTCATTGGGCGGAAGGCAGGATACACCCTGGACAGGTCGCCAGTCCATCGCAGGGCAGACAGACATACACATTCACACACTCACTCACACCTAGGGGCAATTCAGCATGTCCAATCAGCCTAACTGCATGTCTTTGGACTGTGGGAGGAAACCGGAGTACCCGGAGGAAACCCACGCAGACACGGGGAGAACAGGCAAACTCCACACAGAAATGACCCTGGTCACCCAGCCGGGAATCGAACCCAGGCCATTCTTGCTGTGAGGCGACAGCGCTACCCACTGCGCCACCGTGCCGCCCTGATCATATTCAATATCACATAATCTGAATTCATATATGTTAAGTATCGCTTCCCAAATCTTACTATCTATCTTAGATAGTACCAACTATCTTAGTCACCAACTATCTTATGGATTCCAACTCTCAAGATGCATCAGCCAGTCACACGACCCAGCCAATCATCCATCAGTCATCAGATCTCAGTCACCTGTTATCTCTTGTATATATAACAGTCCTTGCTTTGTTCATGGTGAAGTATTACCTCTGTATTGCCAGTGCATACTGTTTGATCTCCTGTTATGACCCCATCATTTTTGGGGTCATAACTGTTTTGATCTTTTGGTTTTTGACTCTACTCTTTTGGCTCTTCTTCCTCTTAACAAACCTTCTCATTAATATTTCTATAATAAATACAGTGAACCTTAAAACAAGCACACTTTTACACAAATGGACCTTAAGATCGTTGTTGTACCTTAGAGATTACAATCACAATGTTTAAACCTCAGTAAAGAAACCTGTACAGTACATTTTTTTCTGACACTACAGTATTGATAACATAAGACATGTAGGGCTTGTGCTGGAGGGTTTGGGGGGTAGGTTTTAGAGGGGGGGTACCCTTGTTGGTGAAAAATTTTGTGGCATTCCAGCACCAAAAGTTTGAACAGCAGTCCCCAGATGTATATTCTTATTACCAGATCCCATCTGGCCTTTTGAGATGTGAACCTAGATGTGTGCTGATGAAGTGTTATTAGTAAATAACTGGGCTTTGAATGACTTGATTACTTTCACCAGGTTCCTAGAAGAGTTTGTGCAGGAAATCATCAAACCATGCTGGATACTGATCCTCCAGGACCAGATATGGAGACCCCTGGATTAGAGAATTTACTTATTTCTGTAATATTGTAAAACAGATTTGTGAAATAAAGTGTTTGGATGTGTTTCAGTGTGATTCAGACAGAGCGGTCAGACTCATTTGGACCCACCTGTGTGTCCACGAAGAGTGACGAGTCAATGGAACATCCAATGCAGTTCAGAGAGGGAGAGTGTTCTCCTGCTATGAGTCAAGTCAAGTCAAGAGGCTTTTATTGTCATTCCATCTATGTACAAGTACACAGTGGAGCGAAATTACGTTCCTCCAGGAACAACAACCTGCAACAAGGAACAAAAGTACAAAAGTACAAAAATACAAAGTGCGAAAGTGCAGACAGTGTGCAAACAAAAAATAAGCTAGAAAACAATACAATAAATATGAAAAATTAAACAGACATTAGACACAGTAAACAGACTTCTGGACATGAGGTAGTGGAATAAGGTGCAGACATATTTAACATGATGTGATCTGTAAGTTACGTCAGATAACATACATAAACACAGCAGTTACTGAGGTAGTAAAACAGTTACTGAAAACACTGTATTGGCAACAATGTTCCAGATAGATATCCAAGTAGAGCATCAAAAGAGGTGTGTGTGTGTGTGTGTGTGTGTGTAGGGCGGGGGGGTTTCAGTTCAGTCCTTGTGAGTTTAAAAACCTGATTGCTTGAGGAACAAAGCTGTTCCAGAGTCTGGCAGTGAAGGCACGGATGGTCCGGTACCTTCTGCCAGACGGCAGCAGTGAGAAAAGTCTGTGTGAGGGATGGATGGATGGATGAGGTAAGAATGATGGAATAAATGCACCTCCAGTCTTGAAAGACAGATTGTTAACTGCAAATTAATAACTAACCAGTTACATATCATTGAATTAGAGGACTGTTGTTGCACTCCTACCAAATAACTTATATATAAACTTCAAATAATAGTGCAACGGTGGCATGCAGAACCAGACGCACACAGCAGAGGCTTGAGTCCAAAACTTTAATATCAAAAGGTCAATGCAAACTCACAGTCGGTAAACACAAACAGAAAGTCCAAAACCAGAGAATCAGAACAAGACAAAAGGGAAAGACTAGAACCGTGGTCACGAACAGAAAATGGGTCATACACAGAGTAGCAGAAAGTAGCACAGTGGAAACACTCAGTACGTACATGGGAGTGACGATACTTTACAAAGTAACTTAGCTAAAGCCAGGGCTTATATACTAAACTAACAAACACAAGAAACAAGGAACAGGTGTGGCTGATTAAAAGTCAAGTGATCTGGAACAGGGATAAGTGGATTTCTGAGAGCCCTTTGTCATACGCTGCAGCAAGGGGTTCTGGGAAACGTAGTCCTGGGTGACATGCTCAGCCAGGTCTGAATGAGTCATGACTATTATATAAAATCTTCAAACTCTTTCAAATCGGAACTGAAAACTCTGTTTACCCATTATGGTCAATTTGCCACTTTCTCATTTCCTCTGTTCTACGATGTAGCCCTGTTATTGTCGTGTACAGATTTTTTCCTGTATTTTTTTTTATTTAATGATGTCCTTATGTACTGTGTATTAGCGTTTTGTATGTGTATGTGTTGTATTGTATAACATTGCGTTTTCTCTGCCCTGTTTCTTATCTTTAATGTCATCTTTTTTATTTTTTGGATATTATTATTATTATTATTATTATTATTATTAGTGGTAGTAGTAGTAGTAGCAGTAGCAGCAGTCACAGTAGCAGTATTACCACAAAACAGCATTTATTCTCCAACGGTGTATTTTAGTGTGATTTAAAGAGAAAGAGACTTACCTGAGCCCAGCTGTGTGTCTATGAAGATTGATGAGTCGATGATGAATCATCCATTATACTTCAGAGAGAGAGAGAGACAGTTATCCT